TCTGTCTTACATAGTCTCGCAATATTTACCGCATATGATACACGTATAGACGCATACATACACACGGCATGCTGCACATGTACTCGCGAGCGGGCGCGTTTCACGCTCTGTTTATACGTTGTAGTATATGATGTATATCTTTTACCGCTGTGCAAATGATACGAAGAGAAATTTTCGCATGAATAGACTTTGCGCTGCTTTGGGATCCGAAACACGACGAGAGCTTATATTATATATACACCGCATGTATATCACTAGTGCACAGCTTTCATGCATACAAACACACGCTTATATTGGTCGGTCATCGTGTCAGATTTTAGACCAGTACACATGAGTTACACAAGTTCAAGGCAAAATGCCTATAATCGCGCGAAAAAAAGCTCCCGCGACCAAAACCGAGACTAGCGGCATATCTCTGCCTCGCTTTCTGTTTCGGTAAGTCGGCGCGCGATAAGACGCACAGATGTTTAGCCGCGTGGAAGGTCTCGAAATATCGATCAACGATTCACGCGTGCACATTTGCATTTCAACACGTGTGCCTGGGATTATATTTGACAATGCGACATTTATTGAATGAAAAAAGGAATGAAGGTGAATGTACAACCGGATAGCAAACTTTGTGCCTTTATACGCTATTCTTTACAGCATCCTTGTGAAAAGGAAAGGATGATACGAGTGTACGTATAATATAAAGCGCGCCCACACCAGCTTCACTCGCACAGCCATAACACGAGGCGGCCTTTCGCTGCGAGATGGTCACGCTCAAGGTCACGGATCTGTGGCTGCTGACCGTTACACCTTACATACGTATATGCGCTTTAAATGTGTATAACCAGTGCGTTCGAGTAAAATCTGCTTCTGCTCCTATACGCGAAAAGCTGCAGACGCAGCAGTAGCCGTAGTCCTTCGTAGATGTATCGTTATGGAGGCGAAATCAGTAATCGCGATCGTTTCAAGATAGTCTTTCGATTTGCAGTGCAGTTAGTGTTGTTGCGTTCTCAATTTTTGTGCCTACTATTTTATTCTTGTGTGTTTAATTCGTGTTACCTCCTTTACGACGGGATTATTAATAGTTATAATGTGCAATTGTGAACTCGAGATAATTCGGTGCAACCGTAAGTAATAATCGCTAATAATGGATAAACCGCCTAGTAAGCATTAATAATTTTTTCCCGCACTCGTCTAACAGGGGAGATTCCCAAAGCTGTCAAAAAGTACAAATGTAGAAATCATTAATCATGGATAATTTTTCGTTGCTCTAAGACATCTCCAAGACAAATAAACAAGCTAAAAGTAGAATTATATAAAAATAGATTCAAGAGCTATGATCAGCATATTAATAATGCACAATCGTGCAAAATAAAACGCCCATGGGGTGTGTGTGTGCGAGTACAACACACAAACTTATCGCATCGCGCAAGTATATAGTATACAGCCGATTGTGTGCGATCGCTCGGCGCAGTCTTATCTCCACGAGATTATAATAGTGAATCACGCGAATATGTGTGCATGTGGGCGTATTATGTATATCGCGCAGAATACACAGACAATGACATTGCTGGTTTCATTGAAATTTCCCGAAGACTCCTCGAAGCCGCGGCGATGATCGTTTACACAAGTGCACAACGACGACGCCGACGACAACGATGATGTTACGAGCCTTCACGATTTTCGAGTTCGTCTATACGTGGCTGAAGTGATGGTACTCCGTCCGATTTTACTATCACCTTTTTTTGCGTTTTAAATATTTCGAATGCATCGCTTATTAAAAAAAACCTTGATATATCATTATTCTTATCACGATCGCGAAAAAGAAAGAGAGAGAGTGAGAGCAAACCTCGAGTACGTCCAACCGCGTGTCCGGCGTTTGTTATTGTTTGCTATTTGATTTCCGTAAATATAAATAATTATATAAACTCGCCGGAGAAAGTACAACCGTGTCGGCTTGCGATATAGTATACAGATCCCGATCTTGCCATAGAGGTCAAGACTCTAGTAGAGCTAGCTCTGCTCATCCACGTTTTTTAAACCTCTCGATTTATCGGTGTGTGTACAAACACTACCACGGCACGTGGGAATTATCCAAAGACAAATATTTAAAAGTCGTGCTTTTATCGTTCACGATAGTCATGAGGTGGTTATTGATGTGCGTGTATCGATACTTATAAACATTCAACAGTGACACGGCACAAAATCAACCCGTTGACAGTTGTATTACACATAATATATTTTGTTTTCCTCGCAAAGTTCGGCGTTTCATCATCTTCTATTTTTTCACACTCTTCTCGCCCGCGAATTGTTTGCCCGTGCCATTGAAAAGAAGAATGGTAATTTTGATCGATCAAAAGAAAAAAAAAATTGATAAGGCCGCAATTTCTTCCGCGATTTTGAGAAACAATTATACAATCGGATCGTCGAACTGTCGCGCGCGAGCTTAGCTCGGCAGCTCAGCGATGTAATACTCGGTATAACTCGTTGAGTGCTGTGCAGTGCGCGTCGCGCGCGCTCCTTGTGTATTTTAGGATCAGATGATGTTTGTACGCAAATTGACATGCACACGCGCTTCCGAGATTTATGATTGTTAAGGAGAAAAAAAAGTTTGATTTCAATTCAAGGTGTAGTTGAGAAAATACCTCTCGACACGAGGCAAATAGAATAGGCTCACTCCTGTTGCCGAGGGATTTTTTTCGTCTCTTTCACGTTAAGATCTTTATCTCGTCTACATTAAATTGGCCTTTGATTGTTTTCTTCCCGAAAATATGACTTATATCTGATCGCTGCATGATCGAAATGCACACGCATCGACATCAAGGTTGAGTTAATATGTTTCTCCCAAAGCGCGTCACATCCACGCGCATTTTCTAAATGCAAGGAATGGTTTTTTTTTGCTCTAACGCTCCAATCCAAAGTCAGTAAAATAACCTGTCAATCTAAGCCCAATAAAATCTCATTGTGTCGAAGGCACACACTCATTTTCATTGAGGCCGATATATAGACAGCAACAGCAGCAGCGCGCGAAACAATATAACGTTATGACCGCAGATATATAGATTTTATTTTATCCGCGATATAGCTTCGGTATAGATGACGTAAAAAACCAAAAGTCGTATCCGCCGTAAAATTGACGAGAAGATATTTAACGATGAAATAAGGATTATCCGTAAATACAATAGTGTATAAAAAAAAAAAACAACATATTACTTGATAACAGACGTAATAACGACTCTCGATTTTTATACTATATCATACTTGTTATATTTTTATGTAATTGCTCTTGGCGCGTTAAATGTGCCCGCACGTAACTTATAATAATTCAATCATTTTTTTGCTCTCCTCTTATATTTCTTAAAACACAATTACGTGAGATGAGCGACTACTTGTAGTCCGTCGCGGTAACCGATCGTCGATGACGCGCATAATCGTCCAATACCTCACATCTAACAGTTCGAGGCTCCCGCGCGTGAGCGTGAGCGCACAAAATCAACGTAAGAGATACAAAATCCTGTATAAAATAGATAATTAATTACATGCGCGTTATCCTGGTGCATTAGCAGCTGCAGTAGTAACGCGTCAGCGTGTACAAAAACTACGTCACGCTACGCGATTCGACCGTAATACACGTCTCTGACGTTTTAAGCAGTCCGGTAATATATATATGTACGAGGAAAATCGACTGCAACAACGGTCGTTTACCTAAATACCGTGTATGAAAACACGATTGATTGAGGAATATGTAAAAGTACAGATAAGTTTTGACTGAAATCCACGCTGCTGGTATCGAAGGAAAAAACAAAGAGTTGAAAAAAATGCGTGTCACCGCGCCGCGCGTGTATGCATTATATTATATTGCGAGCAATAAGGCAACTTTTTTTCTGTGGGCGACTCGCAAGCGCGCGCACATCGATTAAAATGATAAAAATGCAGCTTGGTATAATCCGTGACTCTCGCGAGCGTCGTACGTAAGTACCTGCAGCGCCAGTGCAATCTCATCGTGGGAATTTATTGTCCCTGCGTATAAACATTGTATATGCGTGGCGATCTCTATGTGCGCGGGTTTCGCGCCTGTATAGTAAAATAGCTGTATAACACAGCCATATATTGTTTGTAATATGTAACAAGATGCTGAGGTCGCTCGTACTGCACGTTGACATTTATACAGGATTGAATATTATAAAAACCGGAACTGCTGGAACGCACACAACACACCTTCCGCACGTTACACGATGTATTTGTACAATAAATAATTAAACTTTTTTACTTCGTTGGAGCTCTAAAGCCCCACGTTGTAACGATGATATTAAAAAAAGTAAAAAAAAAAATTACGCGCTAGAACTGGAGATTCAGGTCAATCGAGTCCTCGCGCGTAGTATTCACTTTCTCGAAAATACGCTACATTTATAAATAAATAATATGCATTCAATATAGATCGCGCTAAAAGAGTCTTATCGATAGGCAAATATAGATCGTCGTTATAGTACGCGCGCAGACGTCGGAGCAAACAGCCCAACGAATGTATCATCCCTGGGATTCGCAACTATAGAGCCGCAGCGGCGCGTATAACCAACTTTATACTATAATCAGATCACAGAATCGCTTCCTTATCGTTTCTCGGGGCAATAGCAACAAAAAAAACCTTCGTTATACACATCGCTCGCGAATCGTTTCGCGCGCGGATTTATGTATGCTATTGTAATATTACATATTATATAGTCCCATTCCCGAGTCATCAACACTTTATTCGCGCGCCGCGAGCTTGTGTTTATGTGCGCGAGCTTCGAAGTAAGTGTGTGCGTGTGCAAACGTTGTACAATACACACAGGTATACAACAATTATAAGCGCGAGAAATGGCTCGTGTATATAAGAAGAAGATGTTGAGCGCGAGCGTTTGAGTGAGTGAGTGATTGGGGAGGGGGACTTGGTTTGCTGCCGCCTGCCACTGATAGTCAATCAGTCATCAAAGTGTGTGCTGAAGACAGAGAGAGAGAGGCTATACAAGCATGGCTGTTTGGCGCTTGTAAGCTTCATATAAAGTCCCACCGCAGGCATCATCGCTCTCAGATCTCAGTCACAAAGTTTCGCGACTTCTTGCGCTCTCTCTCTCTCTCTATCTCTATATCTCTCTATCTTTCTCTCTCGCGTACATCAAGTATATCTTACAACGCGTGTACGGGGATACATACGCGCATTATGTAGTGTGTGTGTGATAGTTTTATTTTTGGTCGCTTTTTGATTTTGGCCCCGCTCGTAATTATATACACACACACGTACATTAACGCGTTTACAGTAGCTGCTACATAGGTAGCTCGTACACGTGCACGTGCGACACGATCTCGGCAGCTCTCAGTTACGATCGACTCGCGTGTCGAGAAACACGAGTGCGTTAAGTGGTGATCAGTGGACGATCTCGGGATACATATCGGACTCCGTTATGTGGGCTTTGGGTCCTAGGAGACGAAATTTGTGAACAAAAAGGGGATAAAAATTAACGGGACTTCTTGCCCACGCTTGTGAATAGATATAATTTATACACTAACGTAACGTAAGAGGAGCACAAAGGGACTTTAATTAGTCGTAAGTATTTTCTATATGTCATCCGTGTTACTAATTGTATGAATGTTCGAGATAGACGCATACGCACACGCACGTGCGTTTTGTGTTGAAATAGTCGCGCTGCGACAGGTGCTGACAGCCGACATTGACGAATTTAGCCGTCTGTCGCGTGTGCGGCAGCAGCAGCAGCATAAAGCACAAAGCAGGAAGAAAAAGTTTCGAGTCGCGATCGGCAATCATCAGGCATCACATAGATCTCGCGTATAGGTAGTAATTGACCGAGATTAAGAGAACAGGGAAACTCGATCCAATGCAACAATCGATGATAATTAATCGGATCGCGGGCGCAGCGATTGATACATATACACATATGCACACTGTGTGCACACACAGTCAATCGTGGAGCCTTCAATAAGTTCGATAATTTGTTTTTACTTTATAACGAGATCGTCTGGATTAGAGTTAATCAGTTTATATTTTTATACTCTCGCTGCAGCTGCATGTCGGTCAGAGTCACTCTCTTAATCATACACTCGTGTTGCAAATAGCTTTTGATCGAGTTGAGTTGCATTATATAGTCCCACGAAGAAGAGCGAGCTAGTGCACCTTTTTTTGCCGCTTTTCATTATTCAAATCTATCCGCGCTGCCGCTAGGCCACTGCTGCATTTTTGCCGAACAAAACGAAATTTTTTTCACTGCAGCCGCGCGCTCTGTGTGTGAGCTGATTTCGCGCGCAAATCACAAAGTATCCATGACTAATGCATGTCTCGTTAGTCACTATATTGGACAAAAAAACTTAGAGAGAGAGAGAGAAAAAACGACGTTGGACATTATTCATACGACACCTTACAATTATATTCACTGAGCGTGAAAAAAAAATGAACTCGATTTGGATGCGAGCATATCATTTACATGGCAAGCTCGTCGAGAAATAATCGCGATACATATAAACACACTCTGCACATGGACGAACTCTCCGATTTTAATTGCAGCCGCGCGATCTGCGATGGACGATCTTCGCAAATCGATATGATCCGATCGTTTGATTGTTTTTTTAATCAACTGCCATTTTACAATTAATATAGTATTTTCTAACGAGCATTGCATTTTTTGTACAACAATAACATCCTCTCTCTCTCGCGATGTGATATTAATCTGGAATTTCCTGGTTGACTTGGCTCGGAGTTATCTTCGCTATTTTTACCTTCGATCTATAATGAAAAAAAAGAGGAAAAACACAATTGGCACCGAAATCTCGATCGAAAGCTTCGCGCGGAGCATATTGTTATGGAAAATTTTCTCATATTTAATATCCAAAAGTCGCAGTGGTCTACTGTTCTGTATTGTCGCCGCTGCCATAATCGCCCCCGGATAGAAAATAATGATGAGCAGTCGTCGATAATGTATAACAGGCTTTAGCCGATTATCACACGCTTAAAATTTCCCAGAGCTCGATCGAAAAATCGTCTGAATAATTTGACAGTCGATCATTATCTTCTGTATGCGTTCACGTTTTCAACTCGTGTCAATACACGTATATCGATGGTATTTACATAGTCTACGCGTGGCGAGGCCTGTCTAATTAAGCCAAAAAATCCATCAACATTCGCGCGCGCTACAAGGGGCATATTTCACATACCCAGACTCGTCGTTTATTCGTCGTTCTCTATTTTTTTTTTTTCATTTTTTTCTTATTTCTCACTCTATGTTTTATGATCGGGTTTAAACTGGTTCTCGCCTTGAATTATTTATTTATGTGATTTCTTTTTTCGCTCCTCTTTTTTACATTGTGTATTGGGTGTTTACGCCGCATACGCAACGTTGCATTATTGATTACAGAGATAATCTACAGACACAAACATCTGTATAAATATGAATTATATATATAGTTTATAACGAGTGTCAAGTATTCGGAATTTATCCTGTATGCCACGACATCGTCATCGTAATCGTGATTTATTTTAAACGATCTCAAAGTCCTCGGCGTCCTCGGCTAGGCCGTAAAGTATCTCTAATTGGAAAAAAAGAAGCACCAAAGTGTCTCGCAATACCCATTGTTGCAATTCGATGCGATAAGACTCTTCGGCTCGCGTAGTCGATTTAAATTTCGTTGCTTGCTCTACACGCGAGGTAATCAAATATGACAACTTGGCGAGATTCTTTATCCGTCCATATGTGGAATATTTTTTTTTCCAAGATTCCATCGTCACGTGATACGGCCTCGGACGGAACTCGCAAAATTTTGCGATCGAACAATCGAAAGCCTTGCGCAAAGAAAATCGCACCGATCATCTTGATCGCGATGCATTTGTGCAGGATCGATAATCGTCTCTATTTTTTACGCGATACGAAATCGATTTGGAATCTGATCGCCTACTGATAAAATTATCGTTATTTATAATGAGCGATCGTTGAACCAAGGCGACAAATATAAATGATCACCTATTAATATACGATCGTCCCCAAGCCCGATACATAAATGTATTTATAATAAGGCAAGCATACTATGAACTTATAAGAATCGCAAAAATGAATCGATAAAATGTGAAAATCCCCGGCTGGATATAGAGCTTTGAACAATTGAAAAGATGTCGAGACAGGCCAAAGCGGGATTTAATGTACAATGTATACGAGGCGCTTCTCCATCATTGGCTCGAATTTCATTATCAAGATCTGTAATTAGTGTATGCAAGCGTGGAAAACAAACCGCGAGTGCGTGTATGATTGTGACATACATATTGTCACGATAATGATAATAATGAACTCGCGCATGCGATCGCACGCGTTGAAATTGAATTGACGAATTTGCTAACCACACCCCCGTGTTTCTTTCGTATTGCAGGCGAATCTGACTGATACCTTTGTCCAAAATAAAAGCCAAAGGAGACATGACGCTGCAACAGGAGAAAAAGGCCGAGGAGGGCACGGAGGGGACCAGGCCTCGCATCGAGACCTTCGACGACATACTGCCTTACATCGGCGAAGCCGGCCGCTATCAGTGGTTCCTGTTCGTCATACTGCTGCCGTTCACCTTCGTCTACGCTTTTCTCTATTTCGCCCAGTTCTTTATCACCCTCGTGCCCGAGGAGTACTGGTGCAAAGTGCCGGAGCTCATGAACGCCAATCTCACCGATGAACAAATGTGAGAATAAATTTTCGATAATCATGATACATTACATCCATATAAAGCGATGAATTGGTACTCGATTAAGCAACGCGTGCAGCGGGAAATTTTGGGCCGACCGGAAAACTTTGCGTTATTCGCGTTGTTTTTCTTTCAACATTTTTAGCTGCTGTCAATCGGGCGAGAAACAATAAGAAAAAACAGCTGTAACGCACGCATCGATGGACATCGACTGCACGTGCGTCGTCGTTCACATACATAATACGTTTTTCAATAATGTTTCGCGATCACTCACATTTTTGCAGATGACTATATAGAAAATTAATTGCACGTCAAAAATTGAAAAACCACGCTAATGAATAATCCGCGCGCGATTTTAATGATTTTAATCGTTAACACGCCTATACATTGCTCTGCAATCAATGACGAGTATTAAAAGACAAAAAAAAACACATCCTTTAATTACGTGCCAGACTCTCATAATCGCGATCGATTCAATATTTTTTTGTCGTTCTATTGCTTCTTTTTTATGCTCGCTTAAGCTTAAGCTTAAGCTTCGAGGTATTCTCATTCGCGTGTGTGGGTGTCGGGCAATTTTTGCCAGTTTTTTCTCGTCAGCTCGTGCGCTCGCGATTTTTCAAGCAGCAGCGCAACACACAATCGCGATACAAATAGTATAAATAACAAAATCAATGAATTGTGAGAAAAAAGTTCTTATCAAAAGCAAATCCCGGATTCGCAATACACAAATGCAATGTAAATATTTACGCTCGCGCGCGATGCGTCATGACGTGTCACGCATTCGCATTTTCATCATTATTTAACAATTATTAAATCGTTTCTATAATTCTCTCTCGTCCTGTCTTTTGCAGACTCGCCCTTTCAGTGCCGCCACCACAATTCGAAGAATTGAACGGCGACCATCCGTCCAATTATTCGCGATGCTCGCAATACATCACGAATTGGGACGAGGTGCTGAGGTCCGGCAGGACCGAGGCCGATCCGTCCTGGACGATCGGCAAGTGCCAGAACGGCTGGAGCTTCAATCTCACCAACGTGCCGTATCTGTCGATCGCCGCCGAGGTACGTAAACATCGTATATAACTTATAACGCATTTTCTCTCTAATCTATTTTATTGTCATTTACGCAATATACTGCGTGTGCATTCCGTTGTAGTGCCGACTGTGTAAGGACATCGTAAAATAAATCGGATGTCTTATACTATTTTTTTTCCTTCGCGTGTGCGTGCACGCGTCGAATTAGAGAAAAGATCCGTGCATACATCCGTGCACTTTCAGTTGCTTCGCGACGCGGCGCGCCGACAATTATACAAGACGCGCGTTGCAACACGATTCACGAGCAATTAAGCTCAATATAGGCACACATGCGCTACTGCGTTGCGTCGCGTCGCGGACCGATAACGACGTCGACGACGACGACGACGACGACGACAATGCAACGACGAAGTGACTTTAACACGTATACGCACTCCCGCGCTATAATCGTTGTTTTTATTTTTTTTGCAATTTCCATGTAAAAGCCGTTGTTTATTCGTTTGTTTATTTTCGCTGCAGCTCGAATGGGTGTGCGACCAGTCGTACCTGGGCACGACGGCCCAGTCGGCCTTCTTCGCCGGCAGCATCGTCGGCGGTCTGATCTTCGGCTACATAGCCGATCATTACGGCCGCCTGCCCGCCCTCGTGCTCTGCAACGGGGTCGGCTTCTTCGCCTCGATCGGCACGGCCTTCTGCACGAGCTTCTGGTCGTTCGTCCTGTCGCGCTTCATCGTCGGCACGTCGTTCGATAACTGCTTCAACATCATCTTCATCATCAGTGAGTACAAATTTATGATTATAATAAATAATAACACGAGTTCGTACGCGGTACGTTAAAAATGCGACACGATCTTTCTCCAGTCATCGAGTACGTGGGTCCGCGCTACCGCACCCTCATGGCCAACATGTCGTTCGGCATCTACTTCGCGTTCGCCTCGAGCATACTACCCTGGATCGCCTACTGGGTCTCCGACTGGAAGATCCTGAGCGTGGTGAGCGCGCTGCCGCTCGTCGTAGCCTTCGTCACGCCCTGGATCGTCCCCGAGAGCGCCCGCTGGTACATCATGAACGGCCGCGTCGACAAGGCCATCGAGCTGCTCAAGAAGTTCGAGAAGGTCAACAAGAAGACGGTGCCGCCGGAGGTGTACGAGGAGTTCGCCAGGAGCTGCGACACGGCCATGAAGCAGAGCGACAAGCAGGCCGGCTACAATTACACCGTCGTCGATCTATTCAAGCTGCCCAGGCTCGGGCGCATTACCACGATCCTCGTTATATACTGGTCAGTATTTTTGTATGATACATTTTTCGTCATACATATGTGAATAATAATGCACAATGAACAATGCGCTTATTGACGATATTTTTTTGCCTTTTCGGAGTGCGCGCACCACTCGAACGAGTTCAATGCTATAGCTGGGCAATAATATCACGCGGTCGCATTGTCGCGCAAAATGCCGCGCGCTCCGAAAACAATGCGACATCCTCGATTCTGAAATTTTTTCATTATCTTCTCTTTCTCTGTCTTTGTTGCGCGTAAAACAGGCTGGTAATGATCATGGTGTTCGACGGCCACGTCTGGAACATGAAACTTTTGCACTCGGACGTGTTCACGTCGTTCTCGCTGGCCTCCATCACCGAGCTGCCTGCCGCCCTCATTCTCGCCCTCTTCCTCGACAGATGGGGTAGGCGCTGGATGGGCTTCTTCTCGATGGTGCTCTGCGGCGTCTTCTCCTTCGTCGCTCTCGCTCTGCCCAAAGGTGAGTTTGTATGAAGATCCCCCCAGTGTGCCGCATTCAACGCGGTACGCTGTTCAAATTTTCAACGATCCATAATTTAATATTGTATGCGTTCGTCGCGCTCGCAGGTGCATGGGCCATGTCGATGGCTATTTTTGCGCGTCTCGGCGTCAACATATCGGCCAACATCGGTTTTCAATACGCCGCCGAGATGTTGCCCACCGTCGTTCGAGCTCAGGGAGTATCGCTGATTCACATTATCGGCTACTTTGCCCACATCGTTGGCCCGTACGTCGTTTATTTGGTAAGTCCATAATGTACTGTACACGTCGTCGAACGGCTTGTTACATCGTTACTTATCATCGACAAATATTAATAACGCGATTTGCGCTTGCAGGCCAAGATCCACGCCGCGTTGCCGCTCATAGTGTTGGGAACCCTGTCGCTTATCGACGCCGCTCTTACGCTCACTCTACCCGAAACTTTGGACCAAGAACTGCCCGAAACGCTCGAAGAGGGCAACTCCTTTGGCAAAGAGCAGAGCTTTTGGTGGTTCCCCTGCATCAAGAGGTACGTTTCTTATTCATTTTCGATAGTATAATGTCGAACGTGTGTCCCGTGTATGATGAAATGTATACTACTCATGCTCTCTGTTTTATCTGCACAGCTCGCAGGAAAAAAGAAAGAAGTATCGAAGGAAACTTGGCGCGACGAACGCTGGCTTCAATCCAGGCAGCTTGCAGAGGATCGAATCAACGAGATTATAAAAAAATATGTCTCCTTTTTCGGTACTACGCGCTTGCCAGTCTTTTCACACTTCGTTTCTTGTCACGAACGAACTTCGCTAAAAAAAGTCATGTTAAGCGCCTTTACGATCGGCAGTATTCTATGATACTGACAGCCGCTTTTCTGCGGCTTTGTTGAACTGTGACCGTTGTTTATGCAATTCCAACGTGTTACTCCATTTAAACGAAAAGCGCAGTGAAAGATGAAAGTAATGGATTAACAGAATAATTAATAGATAATCGACGGCTTTTTACAGTGATATTTTACTTTGACTCGCGTTTTTAAATTGCTTGTGATCAATTTATATGAAAAACTCAAACATCCATACAAATTTATATACACAGTTCAAACATATCTGACGTACATTAACTTATACGAGACAGAACAAACTAGTATGTGCTAAAACTGTAATGGTAAAGTTAGATTTACTTTTTGCTGCACCAGATCCAGACGTTAATGTAAATTCAATTGTGTGACTTTGCTTTCTCATTGTAACTATTAATCATTACAATACTACTCATTACGTGAGAAACTGTAAAAAATGAAAATACTGTAATAATAAGATTTCGCCGCTATCGCGGCCATTTTTTGAAAATGAAACAATAAGCACTTGACAATACGATATTTTTGATCGTTATTAACATTTTTCAGAGCTCAATCGACTACGACAATAATTTGGGCAAAGCTCGAATTTTATTCGATACTTGTTACGATTAATTTACGTGAGATTTATGTGCATGCAATAATTGGCACCGCAGGATAATTTTTACGAATTGCGATGTTGAAAGTATTACACAAAAAAGACTGATGAACTTTTCGTGAGACCCGATGATCAGGATTCTCGATAACGTTTCAGTGTGTAAAAAACAAAAAAAATTCAAATAGTGCCAGATGCGTTTTATAAAAAAAAATTATAATCAGAATGTATAAAAAAATTTTTATAAATTGTTTTCTATGTTAACAGTGATGTTTCGTCTAACAGAAATATAAAAGTATGATTCGCGTACTTACGAGAGCACGGCGCTCCCTCTTTGTGCCTTAAACCTCGAGGCGAATTAATTATCAATGACATTCCGCGAGTGCTGTATAATACATGTTCGCATCGAAATACTTTCTAGGACAAGGAAAAAACTTTAGAATATTTAAAAAATAGTGTTAACTTTGTAAAAGTATTTGCATTGAAACGCGAAAAAATTCGAAATAAGAGTGATTTCCGTGAGTGCTGTGAGTGTACATGCGAATTAACATTGTTACAAATCAATAGGATATAAAAATAAGATACTAACGAAGTGCCTTGAAATTAATCACAACGATTTTTTTCCGTTGATCTATAGTCTACCTAGTAGAGCTTTAAGAAAAAAAATAGGCTAATTAGGAATCATCGATTGCGTAATTGTAAAAATGAATTATTTTTTTTTAGTATAACGTCGAATGTATGACAAATGTAGTAATAAATGAATAACAACAAAGATTTCCGAAAAAATGTTAACGACTGCTTATCACCTACCCTGCATAAACAGCAACAGACTAAACTTTATTGATCGATTCAAATTGAAAACACAATCGCTGAGATAATATTGTACATTATATCACAAAAATACTTGTGGCATGACTCGGCTCGTTTTGGCACGTGCATGTACACTCGAAGTGCAGTGCTCGAAATCGAGTCTGGCCTATACGGTGACATTGCATATGCGGTAAATCTCTTCGATATACAAATGTCACAAATGTCTCTTCTCGCCCCGTACGCGTGCGACTCTCAAACGACTTTCGGCAACGAACGTCAATACGAGAAATTATTCGGAAAATTGTCTCGACGTCGTTTTGGCTGTTTACGAACATCTCCTTTAACGCCGTCGTTATCTTGGTCGTCGTCGTCGTTCGCGTAACACGAACTGCAGCAGGGACTGCTCCAGAATCGTTGATTCTTGCCAAAGTCCTCGCCTTGCTGAAGAGTCTGCGGCAGATCGTGTCCCAGGGTCTCGGGCAGAAAGAGCACGAGACTCGCGCACAAGAACGCGATCGCGCTTATGATGGCCATGGGCATGTCCGACCACCATTCCACCTATGCAAGGTATAAAACAGAGAGTAGCTTTAGATTTGTACAACTAGATGTTTTTCTTCTTTGTATTCACCGTGTCGATGATGTAGGGAGCCACCGAGTGCGCCAGAATGCCGAAAATGTGAATCATACCAACGCCTTGGGCTCGCACCGGGGTAGGCAGCAGCTCGGCCGCGTACTGCAGTCCCACGTTGGCCGCCATGTTCAGGGTGAATCGTGCGAATATCGACATGACCAGTTTCCACGCGCCTATACATTTGCGAGAGTAATAAGGTGGGAAAATTAAACGAAATCCACGCGACTGTAAAGTCGAATGATGCATCGTTCGTAATAACATATTACCCGACTCGACGAGTATCTCGGCGATGGTGAAGGCAGTGGTCAGGGCCATGGTGACGAAGCCGCAAAAGCGCCGACCCCAGCGATCCAGCACCATGGTAAGGAGCAGGGCCGCGGGCAGCTCGGTCGCGCAGGCCAGCGAAAACGAGAGAAAGACCGAGCTCTCGAGCAGCTTGAGCGAGTAAACGTGCCCATCGAATGCCAGCAATATTAGCGACCTGCAAAAGCGTAAGCATGTGTGAAAAAGACAACGATGCTTTTATGTATATTTCATTTTGATAATCTTCCAGTAATTACCAAAATAACGTGAGGATAATTGTTATTCTGGCCAGTCTTGGCGTTCTGAAAAGGTCGAGCAGCGTCGCGGTCTCCTTTTTACCCTCTTTGGCGCTTAAATTTCTCTATCAAATCAAAAATGAACCATGTGCATGAAAAAAAGCTGTATTGTAATAATTATTTGCACATATTAAGTACTTTTAATAGACTTTTGATGGTTTTTTATGGTTACTCTTAAAATCTGATGATTTTTAAGTGACAAAAGTACCAATAATAAAATCAAAGTATTGTTTTTAATATTAAAATTATGAAATTTAATTACAATACTTGAAAAATGCAAAACTCAGATGAGTTGAGAACTAAGACAATCGTGTTTAAGTTGATTTTTTCTGGCTCGTAGTAGTTTATAAACTACCGCTAGGCAGCGTATGGCCGAATTCTCGAAAACCAGAAGAGAAAAGGCAAAGTTTTAGCATTAAATCAGAGCGAAGCTGCATAAGAAGTTAAGCCTTCAAAAGTGACATTTAGATGAATAGTGAAGAACCGCCTATTTTGACGCTCCTAACGCATTTTGAGTATTCAGGGGACACATACACCTTAAACTCAAAAAAATTTTTATTACATTATTGAGTAGGATTTTTCCGTCCCTTTTCATTGCATTTTTCGAAATTTCAAAATTTTGATTTTGCCCTGAGATACAGCTGTTTCCGTGAACCCTTTTCCTATACTTTACGTGTTAAATTTTTTCTTCTTTTGCGTTTTCTGGCGAGTAGTGTTTTTGGTCATCTATCGTAACTTTCAGAGGGTATCGATTGAGCTTCAGCACCAGGATCGCGTACACTTCTTCAGAACATCAATGGTTACGGTCACTACCTCGGATGAGACGATCGAACGGGCAGATTGCTCTGCATGAACAGTTAAGCACACATTTGAATCTGAAGAAGTGTACGCGACCCTGGTGCTGAAGCTCAATCGGTATTCTCTGAAAGTTACGATAGATGACCAAAAACACTACTCGCCAGAAAACGCAAAAGAAGAAAAAATTTAACACGTAAAGTATAGGAAAAGGGTTCACGGAAACAGCTGTATCTCAGGGCAAAATCAAAATTTTGGAATTTCGAAAAATGCAATGGAAAGGGACGGAAAAATCCTACTCAATAATGCAATAAAAAATTTTTCGAGTTTAAGGTGTATATGTCCCCTTAAAAAAAAAGTGTGCTCGATGATATGTAATTCTAAACCGAACATTTTATTCCTTTAATACCTTAATCTTTGAAAATGCACCCTATCTACTTTCTATGAGAAATGTATTTATTTTTTTATAAACAAGGATTCTAAAAAAGTTGTCACTGTGCCACAATCGGCTCGTTTTTCACCTATTATGGCGCATAGGCTTTTCAGGCTTTAACCGTGATGTCTGTATTCGAGGTGCACATCAAATTAACACGTAAAAAAGTGCGCCATAATTGGCCCCGATGATGCGCCACAATAGGATAAAAACAATGCTCTCTCATATTGCAAATTACTCAATTACCAATTGATGAATCGTCGATAATAAAGCATCATGTTAAAGTAAAGCACAAATACTTCATCGCCATATGTACTATAAATCGCGTTTGAGCTGGGAACACTCTATATTCTCAAGTTTAAAACTCGTAATTATTAGATGATAACAGCCGAATTTTTTATATTGCTTGTCATTTATTGTTGATGATATGAGCAATTCTCTAAATGAAACGCATTTTTGGAGGTAGAATCGCGGCAAATTTTTTTTTAAACCTACGCGGATACGGACCCCCGGGAAATGTTTTTGGGGGTCATAGGAACATATTACCACGTAGGAACCATTGAAATTTCAATAGTGCTTATTTTTATAGCTACTTTTGTGCTTTAGGGCCCGAAAAGTCATGTTTTCGCGTAAATACGACAATTCACTCAATTTCCAAGTGGCTGAAAAAGTATCAAAACTCATTTAAAAAAAATGACTAACTACTCCATTCGATAGGAAATTTTCTCAGCTTTCCGATGGTGATATCAGATTTTTCGATACATTGCATATTCACCGAGAAAATCATCGTCAAACATGCCAAGCTAAATATCTCGAAAAACTCGTTACGGAATAAGTGAATTTTTTTGGTTTATTTATGGTTTTTTCTTATGAAAATTGAATATTTCGGAAAATCTGATATTGCCATCGGAAAGCTGAGAAAATTTCCTATCGAAAGCATATCTTCATTTATTGTTTGAGTCGCATTATAATGTTATACAAGGGAATTTCTTTTACTTTGTTCGCTGTTTTCTGTTTCCGAGCTGTATTCAGCACGGTCGCGAGGTTTTCGGCTCGCTACAATCAAAACTAGCTCGTAATTCCACTGAAAAAATAAATGAATATATGATTTCGATAGAAAATTTCCTCAGCTTTCTCATGGTGCAGTCAGATTTTCCGATATATTTCATTTTCACAAGGAAAAATTAGAAGTAAACCTCAAAGATCACTTTTTCCGTATCGAGTTTTTCGAGATATTTAGCTTGGCATGTATGATGGCAATTTACTCGGTGAATGTGCGACTTATCGGAAAATCTGATACCACCATTGAAAAGCTGAAAAAATTTCCTATCGAACACTGTAGCCAGTTATTTTTTTTAGATGAGTTTTGATACTTTTTCAGCGACTTAGAAATTGAGTGAATTGTCGTATTTACGCGAAAACATGACTTTTCGGGCCCTAAAGCACAAAAGTAGCTATAAAAATAAGCACTATTGAAATTTCAATGGTTCCTACGTGGTAATATGTTCCTATGACCCCCAAAAACATTTCCCGGGGGTCCGTATCCGCGTAGGTTGAAAAAAAAAATTTGCCGCGATTCTACCTCCAAAAATGCGTTTCATTCAGAGAATTGCTCATATAAAGCAATAATTTTTTTGCAAAAATTAAATGATGACATGTATAGAATATTACTACATAAATTTTAGTTAGGTGAAATATCTCAAACTATGTCAAATGAACGTGCGCCATAATAAGCGCTTTTTCCCTACACCTTTCAAGGTCTAGATTTGAGAATGCTTTAGAATTTTTGATAAGTAAATTTCCAGGCATTGAAGAGGAACCTGCATAGTACTTACGTAAAACACATCGTAAAAGTGCGGATCCGGCCTGACGTCATTCACGCTCGCAATCCTCTTGAGCTTCTCGATGACTTTGTCGGATCTTCTGTTCGAAACGTACCACCTTCGACGGAACAAAAAAAAAGGGTTTAATCATGTGCAAGACAGATTGTCACCAAAGCTCAGCGAAACTATTATATTATTATATGATTGCATGGAAAAGCGTCGCGCCGATGTTCGGAATCACGCTCGCATCTATTGTACATCATACACGTGCTTTCCAAGGCTCTTCAAACGTGTGTATGTGTAGATGGGTTTGGAACAGAGGGTTTACATAAGCTCTTCGTTTCGTGCTCGGTGCGTTCAAAGGACGGCAGAACGAGAGGAGAGAGAGAATACAAAGGACGAATGGCACGTCGTTATCACAGAACGTTATTCATTCTGGAGCTTTTGGGAGGCTTTGACGATCGTATATAGGAAAAGGGCCATTATGAATGTTGGATCGCTCGTGCAAATTGAGATCAATCTCCGCTCGTGCAGTGCCCCTCACCCACGATGTAGTTAAATTCTACTGCGGCAAACTATACGTCGAATAATATACGCATTTATGGAGAGCGCATAAGAGCTGCAAAAGGGAGAGGGGAGAGGGCGAAGAATCGTGTCACGCTGTATAATATCCGAAAGTGTATAATAAAATATATACCTGGCGCTCTCGGGCAGGATCCAGGGGGTGACGAGGCAGAAGGCCAGCGGAGCGGCGCTCACGTAGCTGAGCAGGCGCCAGTCGGCGATGTAGTAGGCCAACCACGGCAGCAGAGTACTGCCGACCCCGAAGTACAGGCCGAAGGCTATGTTGACCACGACGGTGCGTCGACTCACGCCCATGTACTCGACGACTGCAAGCACGAGATAATTTAATAAAACACAATATACGATTCAAATGATTGCGATCGAACGTAGTGATTGCAGGTCGATTGTTTTTTTTTATTTCGTTTTATTTTACCGATGATGAGTGGTATGCTAATGACGTTGTCGAATGCGAGACCGGTGACGAATCGGCAGAGGGCGAACGACCAGAACGAGTCGGCGGATGCTGTGGCGACGCTGCCCGCCACCCCGCACGCCGTGCACAGCCACAGGGCCGGTATGCGGCCCTTGTTGTCGGCTATCCAGCCGAACAGGAAGCCGCCCAGGATCGAGCCCGTGTAGAAGATCGCCTGAGCCGTGGAGATGAGGTAGCCCCGATCGCATACCCAGTCTAGCTGCAAATAAACGTTACATCTCTTGTAGAACGATGTCAGATGTGTATGCGATTTCTTGTGTGCATAGACTCACCTCGGCACCGATGCTCGGGTACGGTATCTGGCTAAAGTCGTACTCCCATCGATCGCACTTGACTGTTCGGTTGTTCGTGGCCAATTGCCACAGGCTCGAGTTGGGCTCGATCGTCGTCTGCCCGAGAATCGCGCTAAAGTTCAGATCCCATCGCGAGCACGTGTCGTAATAAGGATACTTGTCGTTGGCGGGCACGGCTATTTTGCGCCTGTCCTCGGGGCTCGGGTACGGCCCCAACAGTTCGTCGACGCGACACCAGTGCTCGCGCGGCACCAGCGTCAGGAATATCTGCGAGAAGTACAGAATGGAGTAGCTGATGCCGAAGGGCAGCAGAGCGGCCAGCAGCCAGAACTGGTAGCGGCCGAAGTCGCCGACGTAGGGCAGCGCGTCGTCGAACGAGTCGAGCCGTGGTATGAGCAGGGTGTGCTCGCCCGGGCCCTGCATCTCGAAGTACTTGAGTCGGCGTGTGCTGCGCATCTTTCTTTGCTACTTTCTCTCCGGCTTTGTTTTTGTCCTTTATTTTTTCGTTTTTTTTTTCTTACTTTTTAATTGTTCTTCCGCTTGATTAGTTTGCGATCGAACCACGTAAGGCCTGCTGCTGCTGTTCCTGAAATTATAATTATATGCGAAAACATGAAATATCGAGATAACAATTATTTGAGCGCACACATTCCACTTGGACATGTGTGCCACCCTGCGATCGATCTCTTATCTCGACTACAAATTTTCTACTCGACAAGTCAAAAATCTCGTACGATGTTTGACGCGAAATTATGTCGAACCTCAATCGTATGTGATGAAAATTAATTTAATTATGTTAAATCGCCCGGAAAAAAAGACCACGTCAATATTGATCCGAGCAAACAATAATCTAGGCGTGCACATTTTTTTTAAAGGCGCCGACGCAATCGACATGCGTGTATAAAAGCAAATTTCTTTTTCGATAATACGATAAACACGTGCTGCTCTTGTATATTATTGTATGTTATAACGCAAAAAGTGTCGATTTTTTCCGCCTATCTCTGGATCGAATCTTAAAATTATTGCTACTTCATACCGATCAACGCTTAGCGATCGTGAGTCTATATGCGAAACTCGCGCGAGGTAGACATGTCGTCGTCGTCGCCCAACGGAGCTACGCTCATCATCTGCATCGTATCGTTGTTGCCGTTTATTTCCTGCTGCCTCGCGAATCCCCTGGATTACAATGCAAAAAATTCGGACTACACAATGGTGGACTCTAATTCACCGGATTGGCAGCGACGGTCGTCGTCGCCGCTTCGCAACGTGCAGGACTCGATCGTCTGTCTGGGCAGTCCGGACGGCTGGGCGCACTATTTCGAGCAGCTGATCTGGGACACGACCGAGCCCAGCAACGTGCAGTTTTACTTCGCCACGAGGCGCCAGCGCAACTACACGATGGTCGAGTTCGTCCCAGTGCAGAAACAGCAGCCAGAGGAAGATATTAGTGGCACGACCACGACGACAGCAGCAATAACAACAACAAAAACAACAACAACAACAACGGTGGATGCAGCAACAGGAGATGTGCCAGAAACAGAAAAGATGATCTTGGCTAATCTGGAGTCGAGCGATTTCGATATCGGGCGTGACACTTATGTGCTGGTGCACGGATTCATGTCGAGTGGCTGGGAGCCTTGGCTGATGCAGATGAAGGATGCATTGCTCGATTACGTAAGTTGTATTATAATATCAAGTTACGTAGATATATGTATAACAATAAATTGACCGTGCATTTGTTTGATATATTTTTTTTAGGCCGATGCCAACGTCATCGTGACCGATTGGCAAAACGGCAGCAATACGTGGAACTACATATCAGCCGCCTCGAGTACCAGAGTCGTTGGGGAAACAGTGGCCAAGTGCGTACAATACACAAATATTTTGTTTACTTTTTGTTTTTGCCTTGTCGTCGTCGTCGTCGTCTTTTATCGATCACGTTTTCGTTCTTTTCGATTTATCTCCGCATTGTATCGCGTTGTATTATAGATTGCTGAGTAGGCTGAAAGGAAGCAGCAGCGCCGAGTCTCGCGGCAAGATCCACGTGATCGGCCACAGTCTCGGTGCACACATAAGCGGCCGAGCCGCCCACGTACTCAAGAAGCTCGAGGCCAATTCCAGCGAGCCCTGGCTCGTGGAGAGGATCACGGGCCTGGACCCGGCCCGACAGTGCTTCAACTGGACCGACGCGTCGTGCAAGCTGTCGCGCGAGCACGCGCCCTTCGTCGACGTCATACACACCAACGGCAAGAACTCGTTCTATCTGGGCCTGGGCATGTACCGGCCGCTCGGCCACGCCGACTTTTATCCCAACGGCGGCAGAATACAGCCCGGCTGCGAGGAGATCGATCCGTCCTTCTGGGCGTTCCTCACGCTGCCGGCTGCGAGTAAGCGTCGAGACGACGAGCTGCTCAGTCTGCTTAGAGATTTATTCGATTTTAATCGTTCGTTTTTGTTTTGCAGAGATCAAAGAGACGATATGCAATCACGGGCGAGCCTATCGCTACTTCACCGAGTCCATCGTGAGCGCCACTCGAAGTAGCAATTGCACCTTTCACGGCTACTCCTGGGACATGAACTTGCAAAACGTCGTGAACTTGCTCGACACTCGATGCCAGGAGGAGGATCACCTGTGCGCGAGAATGGGCATTCACTCGGTGCTGGACTATCCGAAGAACAATACCGGTGTTTACTTCGTGCCCATGGGCATGGAGCCACCGTTTTGCGGTAAGCTTTTCTCGCGACCAAAAATTATTTAGTCAAACACCATTGCTGAATCGAGAATTTTTCAATCCAGATTTGGAAGAAGATTACCGTGCGAGAATCAGCGAGGATATAGAGCAGGCGAAGCTTGGTTTCAGAAGAAAACGTTGATCATATGGGGCTTCAAGTATTTTAGGGTACAAAAAAAAAATTACAATTCTCAGCGTATTGGAGACTGCTAAACCTGTATTGAACTTTTATATAATTCCCGATCTTTGTTACTTCGTTTAGGAGTTTTTAAAAACAAATGATATAGCCACCTAGCGATCTATCGAGGTAATTTGCGTACGTCGCATTGGTCAAGGTGAATTACAATGACTTCTCTCAAGGACTTATAACGGTGTACATTTACTTTTCTTCGTTACTCAATATCATGTGTATCTCTTCTTTGCATATGTTTAAAAAATTTTCTTATTGACAATCATGAAAATCAAAATCAAAATCAAATTTAATTCGGTGTACCTAAGTTCTAGTTGAATTTGTCTTGTTATTATAGAAAAAATTCCGTTTCTAATTTTCGCAGCTTTTATCTCGTAAAGGAACGACTTTGATGAAAAAGCGCAAACAACAATTTTTTTAGAATTAGTCGAAAAATACGAGTGAATTTTTCCGAAAGTTGTCAAAGCCTTTTTTTCAAAATGAGCATAGCCTATTAATCTTTTTGGACGGAAAAATTACTTTATAAAAGAGTAGGAACCAGCGTGCATTCTTCTAAACTCTGTGAAATACTTTTTTGTAAGCACAGCATTATAAAGAGAGGAAATACCGGTATTAGATCTCTACAAAAATATTCACTGCAATTCTTTAATTCTTTTTTACATCCTATAACTCATTGTCGTATCGATCTCGAGCTACTTTCGATTTTTTTCTTTCTCTCTCTTTCTCTCTCGACGTCTCGTGTACACATGCACGAACAGAGCAAAATATACGCATATGTATGGAAACAGAACACTGTCGCTCGGGTATCAGGTGTCGTAGCCCATGAGCTGCTGCCGCTGCTATTGCACATGCATAGCCCCGACGACTTATTACCGCATCGCCTTCGCTTTCGCGCAACGAATTCAACGTAATGCACATGATAATATAATCCATAGGTTTCGTCCTACACCAAAACTCCCTACGAGTTGCTACACCTACACGAGTCGTTAAGAAATAATGAAGTTGTAAATTAGCAAATAGATAAAAAAATAAGATTGTACGTAAGTTCGAGAGTTCACGCGAGCAAAAAAGAAAAAAAGAAGAAAATTGCCAAGACCAGGCGGGTATAGAGCGGCTTGAAGGGTGTTCGGAAGAGAGTGTCGGAGGGGAGAAGCTTGCAAAGTTAATGCGGGCGTTCAACTTCGTTAATTGAAAAAGTATAACAATGAAAAAGAAGATCGAGCCGACTAATTACTATAGAGAGTAGAATTAAGGCATAGACTGTAAGCTGTAAAAAAAAAAAAATTGTAAAAAAATTTTCTTAACGAACCGCGCGAAACTTTGAACTTCGCGTACAAAGTTGAGTTCACTAGTCAAATGCAACATTTATCTTAATTGAGTAATCAATCAATCTAGCAAAGTGTAATCGATAAGTAAGCCAATAGAAACAAAACAAACAAACGACTTATTGAAAAATCTGATTATACAATTACTGCAAATCTGATGTTAATCGCTGTCTACGAAAATCTATCTACAAATAAATCGTACTAACTCTTTTCAACGGGATGTAGTTGAACTGTATGTACCTACGTTTAAGAATTCAGCCCTGTACTTGGTCACGAAATCGCGAAAAAGCCAGTAAAACCCTCGGGGTGGTTGGGCATCAGTCCAGTTAAAAATCGAAGCGGCGACATCGTCACTACAGCGTGGATGATATACAGTGCGGATCTGTGTGTGCAGCGGGGGTGAAGCGTAGAAACGAACTAACACCACGCGTTGCACCGTGGCTACTTCTATGCGCGCTGCCCATTACCGTAAGTATAATATCGGCTGTATATACGTACTCACTGACGTAACTCGTCGAGAGCTCGCCGTAACACACGCGTTGTTGTATACATTTCGAAGCGTCGTGCGTATTACGTTTGGCCCAAGTCGCATAGTCGCGTTCGAGCGCCGATATCGTTCGGATGATTGTTATTATATTAATAATAAATATTTAGGTCATGCAATCTTATAACACGCGTGCGTTTGCCGTACTGCAAGGTTGATCCGTGGTTTTGACTATTTACTCGATTGGCTCCACTATTTTATGTACAATATTTTATGTATACTGTGCAAAAAAACCTTTGATTTACTGCACATTCATACTTAAGAATCAAACATTTAAAAAGAAAGTACCCAATACCATATTTCATTGAAGATACTTTTACAAAATAATTACACAAAAATGCTTATAAATGCAATCAAATACATTACTTTTATGCAAACTTAAACGAAACATATTTCAATTCTATACTCCAATTAAACCACTTTGAGCAAAAATTAATGTTTTTCTCTGTTTTTTCAAGTGCTGCTACGCGTGTTGGTGCGGGCTGCTCCGTACCTACACTCGGAGACGTTTATTTTTTAGATAAAATTTAGAAAGTTTAAGACTAGCGAGGTAGGGCAGGGTCTAATGTGTTTTTTTTTTTAATTTTCATATGGATCGTAGTGTATACGTGGTGCAGTACGTGTGAAGACGCCGGCAACGGGCACAGTACAAGATCGCATCGAACGCGGCACGTAATTCAAAGTAATAAGTTTCATGTAATAAGTGACTGTGTTGTGTGAGTGTATATAAAAATGGCTCCGAGGGATTGAAGAGTATGCGACAAGCGGTCAATTGGAAGATCGAAAAAAAGCGAAGTAAATTTCTTCATTATCTCTTCGAATTCGGCCCCTCGAAAAAACTGCGTTACCTACCCCTAAGTAAAGAAGACGCTTGTATCGCGCATCTGTGCGAGACACTGTCAAGGAGATTTTTCTTGCGATGGGCTGGAAATTCTTTATGGCAGTTACTGCACCACCAGCTGCCGATTCTCTGCTGTCATATGGTCATAGTTATGCGTGACATAGCATCTAGGCCATGCGTGAATGCGCCATAGTTAAATTAAAAAGGTTTAAAATTAATTTCATCAGATGATAATCAATGTTATTCTAATTGGATTCAAAGAATTTTATTATTAAATTTAATGCGATAAGATTCATGAAAAATCTCTCTTGTGAATTCTTCTGTATGAAAGAAAAGAAACTTCCTCCTGTTTTGCATTCATCATCATGATAATTATCATGTTTTAGTAGTGTAAGTACTTTATTACGATCAATTCGGAGAGGTTGAAATGATGACAATTTGCGATGTTCTGTACAAAGGCACATAATAAATTTTTATTTATTGCAGTTCATATTTTTTCATACATATTTTCTATTAACATTAATGTTATAATATTTAATGCAATTATTTACACGTGTGATTTGTTAATCGTAATTTTCTTTCTTTATTTTTCTTTACTTTACTTTTTTTTGTTGATGCTCGTACAAATATTGTCTGATAATATATTCAAAAATAACCGACCTTATCGTTATTCATTACGATAAGTCAACACGGTACATAATCGAAAATTCAGTGCAATCGACCTTATACGCACATTATTATCATCGATCGCAGATAATCTTGATCTGCAAGCGAAAATTGAATTTTAATATACAAGTATAACAATAATTGATTTTTTGCTCTTACACGTCTAAAGAGAATAAAAAAAAGGAAGTTAAATTCGTTAGGTCTAAAATTGTATTCTTACGCATTATGAGTAACTATATATACATACGCGTTTATTACAAATGCGAATGAAATAATCTATTTATAGAAATTTAAAGTAAAAAAAAAACAATAAAAAAAAAGTCGAACCGAAAGAGACAATGTATCGATGTACAATTGTATTAATTCGTACGACTACGTGTCCGTTTGAATTTTGATCAGTTTTTATACTCGTAATTTTATATACTTCTATATGGCAGTATCGTTGAAGGAAAACGACGATCGTAATCCGTTACCCACGATACTCGGTAATTTTTTATATCAACAAGCACGAGTGAAAAAAAATCGTTCTAACAATGATGTAAAGCAGCTGCAGCCTCGCGCGTAATACTGTCAAGAAGAAAATTCAGCATAGTGAATAAAAACGAGGCTCACAAGTGAGTGAGCGAGAAAGAGAGAGCGCAAGAATAATAAGCCGAACTAAGTACTCGGATTGAGAAAAAAAATATTGAATAAAACCTACGATGAGTAACGCAACATGCGTGCCTGGGTGAAGATGCTATTCGTAATGTAATAAATACCGGCAGTCTCCGCCTCCGCAGCCCGGATTCTCTCTTCCTCTCGACAATTATTAAAAACTATTACCTTATCGATACAATGAATAAATAGGAACGCTCACATGATATTTCATAAATGTATCGTTATCGGTGAAAATCCGAAATCGATAGTTTTACAAAGCGAGATCGTGACACGTCACAATTGAGTTACAAACGATCATATATAATTTTTAATGATACACACGCTCGCGTGTGTATGTGTCTGTATAACATAAGTAAAATGAAAAAAACGCGAACCCCGTTGTTTCCCCCTCTTTCTTTTTCCTCACATACATTCTCGTCGTAATTTTTTTTTGTTATCTAGCAAACGATCAATAATAATTTACAGAGACCTGCGTCTACGACTGCGCCTGCGGCGCGATCTACAAGCCACGGGCTAGAGTCTCTCCTCCTCGACGGTCGGTGTTGTAGCGCTCGCTCGCGACCTGATGCTGGCGCGCTGTATCATGCTGCTCCTCCAGGTCTCGCCGCGTATCGAGGCGCGCCTCGAGCTTCGCAGAGTCGAGCTGCGCCTGATGATGGCGGGCTGTGGTCGGCGCGCCTGCTCCGCGTCGTCGGCCTTCTTCATCAGGCACGGCATGTCCCATAAACCCTGATCGCGGCCGAACTCCTCGCCGTCCTGCAGCGTCTGCGGCAGGTCCTTGTCCAGGGTCTCGGGTAGAAAGAGGGCCAGGAAGCCGCCGAGTATGCCGAGGACCCCGAGCACGAGAAGCGGCAACGGCTCGGCGATGATTTTGAGGTAGACGACGAAGGGCGCGATTATACTGGCGACGTAGCCCATTATGTGGATGAGGGCGACGCCCTGGGCGCGCACCACCGTAGGGAGCAGCTCAGCGGCGTACTGCAGACCGATGTTGTACGAGATGTTGACGCAGAAGCGGCCCATTATCGCCAGAGTCGCCGCGTAGATGTCTGCGATGGATTTGATTGTATTTGTATTTTTTTCTTTTTTTAATAATCGATTCGGATCATCAAGATGTGTGTGTTCGATCAACGATACTCACTGTTGCTGACGAGGCAAGCCCAGAGACTGAAGACGCCGGAAACGACCATCGAGCCACAGGCGAGCCAGCGCCGGCCCCAACGATCGAGCACGAGCGTCAGGAAGGTATCGGCGGGCAGCTCCGTGGCCGAGGCCACGGTGAACGTCACGAACACGTCGAGCCTGAGATTGTCCACGTTACGCACGTGACCGTCGAACACCAGCGATATCGCCATCCTGAGTGCAAAATATAAGTTGTATTTCACAAAGCTGACTCGTTTATGACGCAAGTAAAGTGCAAAAAACAAAAAGCTCACCAGATAATGACCAGAAGCACGGTAATGTTGCGCAGCCTCTTGGTCCTGAAGAGATCGATGACCGAGTAGGACTTGTCGGCCTCCTCCTCCTTCTGTATGCGGGCGCAGGTGTCCTGAAAGTCGCGATAGACCCGGCGCGGCACGTGGGTCCTGTTGATGCGCTCGAACTTGGCCAGTATCGTCATGGCCCGGTCGACCTTGCCCTGGCTGACGAGCCAGCGGGCGCTCTCGGGCACGAAGCAGGGCGTGAGCACGGCCAGAACGAGGGGCGCCGACGTGGCCAGGCACAGCATGCGCCAGTCGGCGATGAAGTAGGCGATCCAGGGCAGGCCGCTGGCGGCCAGGGTGAAGAACATGGCGATCGACATGTTGGCCACGAAGGTGCGCCAGCGCGGACCGACGTACTCCAGCACTGAGGGCGGTAGATAAAAGAGGATGATCAGATTGATTCGGAGATCGGAAAATCAGATCACAACGTATACGCGTGTAATGTTTACGAACGCGTCTCGGCACGTGCGAGCCAAAAAAGTACATCGCTTGCAAAAGCAGACGCGTGAATTGACTGTATTTATTTTTATTTATTTATTTGTTTTTTTTTGTCTCTAAAGAAATGCGATCCATGACTCGTCCCATTAACGACGAAGGATGCTCAGACGCTTACGAAGTCGGGGTATACCCACAGAACCGGCTTCCGCGTGCGCGCATATCGTATACGCAGTAGCGATCGTCTATTTACTCTCTCGATGCATTTCTTCGTGGTTCTAAAATAACAAATAACGTTGACGCGCGCCTCTCGCGTATCTGCGTCACATCTGCGAGGATCGATTATGATCCTTATACTCGAAGGTTTTATGCCTATACACACGAATCGACCGAGAGAGTTGCAACATTCCTGCGAGCATTGATATGACGCGAAATTCGTCGTCACGGCTCGACGCACGCGGGGGCACAACAGCTCATTCAAGTCATAATTTGCAGCACACACACTCGCACACATGCAACGCGCATATCGAGCGATATTACGTCAACGGATTTCTTTTCGCTTTGAATATTCCAGCGTATATATGTAACTACTGCTAAATTGAGAGATGCGCGTGGTGTTATTCAACTTGCGAGCTGTATTATTGGATAACATTATTATTAGAGACAGTTTACGCTTTTATACATTATTTCTTTTTTATAGATCAGCGCGGGAGGATATATTTCAGTGTCGATCGTATGAATGATTGTTAATAAACTTTCCCACGCATCGTTAATGCACTGTGCTACACGTGCAAGAGTTTAGATTCATTTCTAAATTCGAGCCGCCATACTTGACATTAATAATGGAGTATAATGATCAAAAAAAGACCATTTAAAATGTTAAAAATACATTAACATTAATCGTCTAGTTTTTGGCAATTGTTTTGTTATAATCTCATAAATATTTAGCGTACTTTAAGTAATCCAAAAATGACGAATTATTGGTTTGCAAGTGGCAAATTCCAAATAATTATATAAGTTGAAGCGCAGATTTAGAAAGTTACTGTCATCCATGTATGGTATCACGCAAAAAAAGTTTTTTTTGACTCCACCCCCTCGTTAGTCAGAGGCTGTCATGAACCCTCCCCCCTGAAAATGACGTCATATTTCAAAAACTTACCCCCATATATTAACTAAAATTAACAAATATGTGAACATTTTTTGAAAATTTCATATTTTTTCATTTTATTCTATATATAATAAACATATTAAATATGAACAATATATTACTTTAAAAAATAGAACAGATTTTAAGCTAAGGTAGCTCGAAAATGGGAGTCATACATCAATTCACTCTTTGTCATTTTTGTGATATAAATCAAAGTTTAATGTCAATCTACATTTTTAACATAAAATTGACACTTTTGATCCCCAAAAAATGTGAAAAAAGTTGCAGAATAGGCTTCGGCATCTAAAAATAGCCTATTTTTGTTATTTTAGACTTTCGGCACTGTGCGCAAGGTTCAGATCAGAGTTATTCAGGTGGGGAACCCTGATAGGAATCAAAATCTTCAGTAAAGTACCCTTTATGGGCTGAGTTTTGTAGAATTTTGATTTAGACCTTCATATCAGTTCTATTATTCAATATTATGTGCTCAAAAACATTAACAATTTTTTTTTTGCTTTATTTCTAACGATCTATGCGGGATAAAACCCCGTTTAGCAAGTCTTTCATTACGCCTGTCTGAAGTACCGCTGCGAAACAAGCGGCGACGCGAGCCTTGGATCCAACCGCTAGATGTCATAATCGAATCCGAACATGAAACAGTAAAGTCTGGCTTTATATCCCACTGAAATTCGCTTCTGAGCTTCATTTTTATGCTTCGACCTGACTGTCTATGTTTAGATCATCGAAGTTCGTTATGTTGTCAATAATTATGTTTGATTCTCGTAAATAATTGACAATCTTTTTGAAAACTTCTATTTCGTTGTTTGCCGTGTTTTTAATTTTTTCATGATCGCTTTCACGGCCTATTTGGCTACAATCAAAGTGTAGCGTCTGCTATTCGACTACATTAATCGGACCCGGTCGGGTGCAATTCTGGTCGATCACAACTATATAATTTATAGATGTCCCCTATGTAGAGTGTCTATCGATATTCCGAAAACCCAACAAGTGCCAAGTTAGTCAGTTTTCTCGACCTCATCAGGCTAATCACGAGGACAGTTGAGTTTAAAACGACGAAACGTCGCACCACACGAAAATAAACTGACTAATTTGACACTTGCTGAGTTTTATATTACCATCATCTTTTTATTCTACATTTATTGCCTAAACCGATCGACAGGACAATTCCTGTTAATTTGATTATATTCAAGTTACCGTTGATGTAAATCGCGTTCTAAAACTTTAATCATATTTTAACTTTTAGGCGTGATCCCCCAAATGGGGAAAAATACTGCATTTTTTCTCATGGGTGTGTAATACACTACAGATTAAATGCGTTCACGCTTATTTTTGTCCGTGAGAGATACCGACCCTTGCAGATCGATGTGCAATTTAAAAAATATAACCCGACACAAAGAAAATCGTCGATACGGACGAAGGGGTCGCGAGCTCGACAACGCGCTATTTACGCGAGTGCAAGCAGTATCAGCAATCGCGTCGTATCGAAAATTAACATTCGCCGCTCGAATTATAAAACCAAATCCGCATTCGCTCGAGGTTCTTCGTCGTCTCGCCTCGTAATTATGGTCAAGCACAAGGTTCGATACGTCCGAGTAGCAGCAGCTATTTTTATACGCTTTATTTATTTCCTATCCACAGTAATCGCAACTACGCAACTCTCTTTGTGTGCATTGTATACTTGCCTTAATGCCATTTGTGCTACTCACCTAAAATGTACATCATGGTAAAGCAGTTGTCGAAGGCGAAGCCGAAGACGAATCGGCAGAGGGCGAACTGCCAGAAGTTGGTGGCGAGCATCGTGGCGCAGCCCGAGACGAAGCCGACGCAGTTGGCCCCGACCAGGGCGGGTATGCGGCCGTAACGATCGGCGATCCAGCCGAATATCAGACCGCCGAATATCGCCCCGACGAAGAAGATGCTCTGGGCGAAGGTCGGCAGCGCCGCGTTGTCGCACACCCACTCGAGCTATGCGTCACGAAAACAAGAAAATAAATAAATAATCATGAAATAGAGATAAGGGGTGCGGCGCATCGAGTTATTATGGTATTAATATGCAATCGTCATTATTGTATTACGATTTTGCGATTCGCGAATGCGCTTGTCACAAATGAATGTACATAGTTTCATACGAGCATCGACTGCACAAGTTGCCGGGACACTTTTGATTGGTAATATTGATGCGTTTGTGGTGCACGAGTAATAATAAATCAATTATGCCGATGAACAGCAGCATAAGCTGCCGCACCGGCGAGTGCCAACAACACACGATACACACGACCCATTAAAAAAAAAGCCGCTGCTTATTATATCACATTAATATGACCACGATGCGAGGGCCGATGTACCGGATTAAGCTGGTTATACGCTGCGCTGCAGCATCATACACACAATAATAACAATGATAATCCGCATATTTCTCTTCGCCGATGTTATACGGCTTGACGGCTCGAATACAGCTCGAGCCGCAAAAGAATGAAATGATCGATTAGCGTCATATAATTTCATCGCCTTTGTAGTAATAATGCTCCATTGAGATACGATCTCCAGCGCGTACATAAACGCGTAAAAGAGAGAGAGAGAGAGATAAAAAATATGACGCATTGCTCGCGCGCTCGCGGATCGTCGTTGCGCGCGAACCTATACAGCGTTGATAGAATATACAGAACGCAGACAATAGAGTCCACGCGCGAGTCGTCGTCGACGGTGGCGGCGGTGAAGCATGTATCGTTATTTTTTTTTCATGCGGTTGGACAGATCTCGGCGCGAATATGTGTGTATATAACATATATAATTATATATCCATGAGGATTTAATTAAGCCAATGTCAAGCTGTATACACGAGCTGATCTGCATGCCTCGCGCGAGAGCTGCTGCACGATCCACTGCTGCAGCTGCGCGAGCTATAAAACGGCCCGATAGAGATCGCTGTATAGGCCACACAGACTTATACACACATGCACAGGACATTAACGAGCAGCAACGCGCGAATATATCAAGGGATCCGTGTGTATACATTGCGATGGGATTTTTTTCGCCTTTCCCATTTGCAGATATCAAATCATAATTGTTCTGTAATGATCGAATCGTTGCTGCGCGCTACTGTTGTTAAAGGGGAATTTTTATATGTGGGATACGAACGCCGCATAGGACGTTTGGTCAATTAAGCGCACATACACTCGATGCGTGTAAATAATAATGAAACGATTGTGCGCGCACGTGTGCGCAACGCCGCGTGCGTATTTAAGACTTTTTCCGCTATAGTGCGTAACTCATTTTCATTATATGTTATTTTAATCGTGGCGCAATGCACACCGATATAAATATTGAGTATATACTCTCATTTTACTGGTACACATAAAATTTCATAAAGACACGATTGTATTTCATAATTAATGTGTCATGCGTGTACAGTGTGGCTCCTAGGTCAGTCGAGCTTACGAAGAGTCGTATGACAGGCCCAGCTGAATTTTCCAAAAATTGAATGAATATCATCGGTAAAAATTGAAAAATACAACCAATTAATGATACAAAAAGTATTAGTTATTTATTCGTCAAGTGTCCAAATGACTCAAGCATGTCGAGTTTTTTTTCGAGTTCGAGCCTGTACGTATACATTGAAAATATATAATCGTCCATATCACTTATTATCCCAGCAATGGTTACTAGAACGCTACAGTCGAACGGTAAGTAAACAGTGAAGGATCCAATGGTGTCAACCGAAAAATCTAAAAACAGCTGTCAGTCGCTGGGTTTACTAATAGCGCTCAAGTAAACAATACAATTTCATACTTTCAATGTAGTCAGAACACGTTACGATGCCCAAGTGTGAACAGTCTAAACAAGATAGAGTCGACTGCAGCAAGTGATTTTAGTGAAAAAGAGAAAAAAATCTTAAATTATGAATCGTGTGCCTGTCTACAATTGGCGGGACGTAGGAAAGTTCGAAGAAATTGTTTTTCCACGGAAAATACAAGAATTGAAGCATTTACGAGAAAATGTCAACTGGGAGATCGAAAAAGAGCGATACAATCTTCTTGATATACTTTTACCTTTCTGTGGACAATTTCTCCATCTGAAGAACAGATATTTTAATCTCCGTGAAATTTTTCAGCCCGAAGAAATTGAGCGTCTTCTCATGGATTCCGTAGCTCGCGATCAAGATTCACTCATTCGTTTCGTTGTCTCTTGCGGCTTTAAGGACGAGCCCAAAGTCGACGAAGAGGGCAATCTACTGTTGCGTCACACTACTGCCCTGCATCGCATGGTCAATTTATTGCGCTATCAAGAAATCACCCCACCAACATATGAGTTTCATAGAAAGACGTGGGCAGATGATCAAAATCGGGCCTCGTTGATGGTCAGTTATCTTTTTGAGATATATAATAGATTTGACGTGAATTACACCGACGAGGACGGATTTACTCATCTTCACGCGGCCTGCAAGTATGGCTTTTACGGTGTCGTCGAAAAATTCCTAGAGCTCGGCCAGGATCCCAATTGTCTCGAACATGTAACGGGTAATTCGCCGCTGCATCTGGCTGCGACTTCCACCCACAAATCGCATCGCGTGATCGCATTATTGCTGAACGGCGGCGCTGACCCGAATTTGGCCAATGCGATTGGATGGACACCTCTGCACATTATCAGTCAGAGATACCGGGACGACGACTTCATGGAGGTGTTTTTTAACATGTGCGAAGGCAGAGGAATAGCATTGCAAGTCGATGCTCGTGACAAATTGGGCCGGACGCCGCTTCAATGGGCCGTGCTGGGTCTCAAGCCACGCGTAGTCGATGTACTCTTGGATCACGGTGCCGATCTATCCAAATTTGTTTTCCCCACCGAGAATTACCTTGCCGATAGGCAGCTAGTCCAGGAGCGGCAATGTGAAATAAAACCTTATTTTAAACTGAGACTAGGTTCTGGCGCGTTAGCCGTCGCTGAACGTCTTGAGAATAGAGGATACAAAATGGACCGAAGCCACGCTCTGAGCATCATGAAATTTTTCGCCAAATACGGATTATTCGAGAAGTCGGCGAAATATGTCGAGGAACGCTGGTACGACGACGAGTTCGAAAGCGCAAAAGGTATTTTTATAAAATGGAATCTGTCGCTCTACGACCTGATTCAGTTACGACCTAAAGAGGAAGACCAACGACTCAAGTACGAGGATTACTTCGAGTTCGCCGACACGTGTCTTTCCTATATTAGACATAGCGAGGTTTGTGCTGTACATCTGTGCGAGAAACTGTCGAGGGGATTTTTCCAGCGATGGGCGCTCTACCCATTCTGGGAGTTGATGCACCAACGACTGTCGATTGAGATCTGTGAAATGATCATCGAGAAGCTGAGAAACGAAGACTTGTATAATATTTGTTTGGCGGCTGTCAATCAAAGTGATACTTACAGTGAAAGAAACACAATAACAAGTACATACAAAAGTAATAATAAAAGGCCAAGGGAAAATGAGGACTTGAAACCCTCAAAAAAGCTACGAGATTAGCTAGCTTTAGGACTAATTATCGTGACGATTTTGAGGGTTCTTTTTAATTCTCTCTATGAAATTTATAAAAGGAGCAAAAATCGCAATGTCAATTTCTGCTGTTATGCAATTTTGCATATTTTCCTGTACATTCAAATAAATAAATTGTAAAAAAAATGTATTTCCGTTTTATCTATTAAAAAAAGTCTTCAAGTTTCATTTTCATTTTCAAAATTTTACCCTGGTTTTCTGGGGCGATTAATGAAGAATATTCGAATGGAAATTTGGGATGTAAAATTTAAGATGGAATACAAATTTGACGTCAAAACATCTTAAAAGTGGAAAAATCGCTCGAAGGTCCAAAATTTAAGTAGCTCGCATCCTTCAAATTGAATAGAATTGTAGTATGTTCCTTTGAAGAGCAAAAGACAAAATTGAACAGTATTCGAAGGATGGAAAAAAACGAAAATTCATTTCATTTTTAGTTCATATCCACACGCAGAAACATATTCTGTCACTGGGCCTATGATAATCTTCGCAAGCACGATCGATATAGCCACATCGTACGAGATTAACCCGTCTAACTAACGAAGCATCGCGCACCTTTTTATAATATAAAATAAACACGTAGTTCGAGCTGGCGCACAAAGTGTCGCACGCTCCGAGATCGCTCAATTTTATATAAATACGAAGGCGAGCTATTAATAGCTTCACCGTATACGCTCCTGCATTTTCATATAATATTCGACGAAAACGCGTAGTTGCGCAAAGTGTACTGCTCCCGATATAATATTGGATAATAATGATCGGACATACCTCGGTGGCGATGGTTGCGTAAGGAATGACCGTGAAGTTGAACTCCCAGCCGTTGTCGCAAGGCTTCTTGGGCCAGCTCGGATCGCCGACCATGATGCCCCGCTCGAGGATGTCCGTGTAGTTCACGTCGTACATGAGGCACTTGGCGCGGCCCTCCATCGTGCCGTGAACTTCCGCCGGTATCGCCAGCGCCACCCTGTTTTGAGAATCGTACAAAAAATCATTCCAGCTCGTTGTTGCCATTTTTTTCTTCTTTTTTCCTCGAGTAAAGTGCGCGTTATTAAATATTTATCGCAGGGCGCGTGATTTAATGCGCAAGCAGATCGGCCCGATGATCGATGGTAAATAATTGATGCGTCTCGATCGTCTATAAGTAAACATGTAATACAAACGATAACGCGGCGCGCCGAGGAGGATAGATTATCGTCAATTTTTTCTCTCATCTCTCTTTTTTTAATTTTTCTATCTCTCTCTCTCTCTCTTTCTCACAAACATAATTGAAACAAGAGATGTATAATATGCGTGCCGCGAGCAAACGAAATGGTCAAGGCGATATTCATTTTAATGCTCGTCATCGGTTTCGCACGTCAAAATATTAATGCAATCGGCACGATGCGACGCGACAGAAAAACTCATACATTCGGTATTTAGTTTGTCGATTAGAACGATGCTAAATGTGTATCATTAATCATATGTGTGTTAATAAACAACTTTGCATAAATAAATAAATGCATTTGTGCTTCTAGTGCAAACATGATATGTGAAAAAAAAATACAGAAAAACAGAAAAAAAACAACAAATGTATATCATAATAAACTGATTTGAATAATATAATTTTCTCTCTCGCACGGATCGCTACACACAAGTTATATACAAATTGTATAATTATGTAATTATGCCCACAATGTATATACGTGCGTTAATATTATTAAGTAACCATTGACGAATTGTCATATAAACATGCCAGCACCTGCGTTGTATAATGAACTGCATCGCGCGAGCGCGACATCGCAAATTCATAATATACACTCTAATGCATACATATAGAATTGAAAAAAAGTGGAAAGATATTCCAACATTTACATCAATTTTTTACCATGTATACTTTTTTCGCGCCCATACATTATATTCGCATAACGAACGAAGCTGTGGTGCAGCGAAGTTTAACTTCTCTCATTCATTACTCCTGTAATGCCGGAGGAAATTTCGACACATGATAATCATCCGATCCGATCGATGCATAATCGTTACAACAATTGTTCGCGCACACGCGCTCGATTACCGTTGCGCAAAAATATATAATATGCATATATTGTAGCGCGGCCAATGTATATCATTATATTCATCGATACGTATATTGATATGTAAGACCGAGAGAAACCGCACACAGACACGATGGATAGAGAAAATTCTGAGAATCGAGAGAGGAAAAAAAGGCGCACGAGAGCTCGTGGTGCATTATGGCGGATGTGAGAATTGTAAAAAAAAGAAAAGATTCCGACGCGAAGATTCGTACGTATAAAATGAAATTAGCATTTCTTTTTCTTACGTCTTCATCTTCTTTTTTTTTTTGTTGTAATTCAAGTACATGTTAAGCGTGCTCGAAGTCCGGGATTTTGATATGCGTTAAAGATATACTTTCTGTATGTGTGTATTTCATAGAGGCGATAATGTTTCAAGAAGTTGATCGTCGAGTAGTGAGATTTTATTCAGAAGGAAAAAAAATTATAAAATCACACAATATCGACGATCTAATTGTTCGATCACGATTGCTGCGCGCGCGCGAGCGAGACTTGCTGATTGGATAATTTCGCCTCAAAGAGATAAGTCGCAACAAATGATTTCATTGCATTATGTTTCTTTTTAAACGTAATCTAAGAACCGGTAGTGTGTATATTTCTTTTCTTTTTTTCGTATTCCGTTTTTGCAAACACTTGAAATTTTGGAAATTTTCTCGCTGTCTTGTCGATTAACGCTTGCGAATTATCGAAAATTAGTGCAAATTTCCCACGTGTTTACCGTATACGTGCACGTGATCATCGAACTACTAATTTTTTTCTTCATTTCCACAAAAATTTGAAACGCTGAAAATGTTTTTCTCATATCGGCACGGTTGAAACGCTCCAACTCGAAAATTGATGCAAATTTCCCACGTGCTTACGTATTCGCGCGTCAACATTGAACTACTAATCGACATCCTCTCGTCAGGCTTTGGAAAATCTCTCGGCTGATTCACCATCCGAGAACGCGTGTACAGTGTACAGCATTAGTGCGATCTCGCTTTTGCACATGCACACACGCGGCGCGATCAGTGTGAAAAGGAAAGAGAGAAGAGAATTGAAGAAGAAAAAAAATTACGACAATGTCCGGTTTTTCCTCGATCCGAGGTCGTCGTTCTCGTCGCGAGCTGCATTACGTATTTTATACTTGCAGAGCTAAGACAAAAAAAATTGCCCGGCTCGTTATGCAGTTTTGCTATGACACATTGGTAAAAGTAGCTTTACCCACAAAGCAACAGCAGAGGCGTGTGCCATTGGCAATTATCAACTAGTTTGTGCCGACTCGGAGCAACGATGATTTAATTTTGCATGAACTCCTTGCTGTGCTGCATTTGCGAGTGTAGCTGTGTGTTTGCGTGTGTGTGTGTGTATTTCGCGGGATAACCCAAGGTCGAGCCGTCGCGCATTATAGTATACTCATGCCTCGCGAGTATTATAGTCGTGGTTTTTCATTCATGCCGTGCGGTGCAGCTCGATTCACTTTCTCGAGCTTCTAATGTTTATACTCGGCTCTCGGCTGGAGCAACTACGGTAGTCAGCTGTTTTACGTCTATCTCTCTCTCTCTCACTCTTCTCTTCACTTTATATACACGTTTGCGTATTAAAAGGCTCAGGTAGCTTGTAATGTGTCTCCCGCTCCCGCAGATAAAGATCTAATGTTATTATAATGGATTGCGCGCGCGAGCGCGAGTGAGAGCCTTATATACTGCTATATATAATGTGTGTGTGTGCAGCTTGATCTTATAATTATCCCGCGCGAGCCCGTTGATAATGTACGGTATGAATGCAGATTTGTGACAGTGACATTTTTATTAGTTACGCCGCGAGTAGCGAGCTTGTCTCTATATAGACTGTATTACATATTATACACACACTCGCCGGCTGCAGACTCGTTTTATCTCGTGGAAAAATTGATCGTACGGAGATCGAGATCGTCGATCGATGAGCGAAGAAAAAAAGAGTAAAGAAAAAAAAAATTATGCTCGCGCGCGCGGAATATTTATTAATCGGATCGATTTGCCGTGGCGCGCGCTGGCGGCCGTGTGCCGCTGCTGCTGTCTATGAGTCTTCGGACAACAATTTTAATATACTCCGCACACAGCGCACGGGAGCGTCATATATATGTATAATATATAATGAGATGTGTCTGCATATGTTACATATCGCGAGCTACCCTCGATTGAAAATACGCGATTACGTCGGTACAATCGGTGAGTTATGAGCACGTCATTTTTTTCTTCATTTTATTCCTTTTTTTTACCCGCCGCAGGGGGTAAGTTCAAAAATCACTTTAACGAGCACGAGCACTCGGGTAATGAATAAATTATAATTTTCGCATCACGCTCGCCGTTGTACATTAAGATACGGTAGCGCGAGTAAATAAATAATTAATGAATCGTTTCTCTCTTTCGTGCGCGCGTAGGCGAAGATCGATTAATGGTTAATTAGCCAATGGCATTATATTCGCGCTCGGCACGTGAAAGACCCTGCGCCGCACGCAGATACGTATATGTAATGTTATTAATGAATGCGCTCGGCCGAGACAGGTGCAGGTAGCAAATACAAGCTTGCATTCGACATTAATCGTGGCAAAAACTCACATACACAAGGTGTGAAACCATTTGAGAATCATTCGCCCGAGATTTGTTGCGCGAGGTTTGTTTTTTCTCCATCTCTCTCTCTTATATAGCCGCAAGTGTCGCGCGCGGAGGCACGTCTCATCATCGTGTGCAGCCGCACAGCGTGTGATGTAAGAGATAGTCGCGCGCGTTCACGCGTCGAGACTCTTTTTTTTTTTTGCCACCACTGCTTTTAGTCGCCGATCGCGATTAGTATGCATACGAGCCACTACATGTGCATTGACATTTATGTTTCATCAAGGAGGAGGTTGGATTTTTTTCCACTCTTTTTTTAAATTTTTCATTGAGATGTACTACTACTACTACTACTACTACTACTACAACTACTATACAACTACGTTGCTATGGCATGGCGTTGCTGCTGCTGCCGTTGCTACTGCAGCACATGGACAGAAATAGCTTTTAATGTAATATCGTTTATGACGCTCTAGTTAACGCTGCTCACAAGGATCGAATGTGATTATTCGTCTTTGGTGCTGTGTGTGTGTGTGTGTGCGTTGTTATATATGCGCCATATAAAACGTGTAAAACGCGCCAGTATTATATTATAAAAGTGGGGATCGAAGAATTCGAGGCACACGTCACGCGCTATCAAGTAATATGCAGAGCAACAGAAGAGAAAAAAAAATAATAATGCCCGTGTGTACCTACATAATACGTTTAAAAGATTGGCTCTTTTTTTTTCTTAAATAACACACCGCTACTTTACTCGTTGCGCGCTCGCGTATTTAAAGTTCAAGGCTCGACAAAAAAAAAGAGAAATTGACTAGATCTTGAGAATATCGCGGCGGTATAACAACGGGCGCGATTCGAGCATAATTTGTACAAAATCGCGTAGATTTTATGCACGTGCGGTTACACATGTACAAATGAGTACAAATTGAAACAAAGTGAAAAAAAAAATTCGCGAATACCTTCGATGGATCTAATCTGCCTCCCGCGACGTCGCTTTTGGCTATAGGCCATATAGGCTTGTATCAACATCGCGACGCGGTGCAGCGGCATAAGTAGGCGCAGGTGCCGTGAGTAATGAGAGCGACCAGTACAGCAGCCAGCGGCAGTGTGTCTGTCGTTGAGAGAGAGAGAGAGAGAGAAGGACACGTCTAATTGCCCGTTTAAGTCCTTGAATTAGAACTGTATAGCCCGCACAAGATCTCGGCAGTGGCGGCGGCGGTGGCGGCACGAGCTATGCGCTGCAGTATGGTACGCGCGTGTGTATCCATATAGATATAGGTATACGAGGCACAGACACGCATTTTTTGTACGTCCACGCTGCGGCTGACTCCTTTTTCGGCCACACGTAATTCCTTCTTTCTCGAGCGATTTTCCGGCTAAATATTACGCACCAACTCTGATGCGTGTCGTACACCAATGCCAAGGACTATTACACTGGCGCATGTTGTTGCTTGCTATAGACTCGTGCGGCTCGCTGTCTCTTTGTCTCGACGGGATTTTTGCGTGTGTGCTTCAAGTGTCAAGTGCATGAGTCTTCATGCGCATTAATTTATAATGAAAAATGTATTGGGTTAAATTATTTTTTCCAGAGATAACGAAATCACATTGCTCAATATATACACGATTATAATTTATAATGTAATATATACGCCCTAAAGGAAGTGCGCGTTGTATACATAGTTTATAATCGTGATTAACGGTAGATCGTTTTTTTTTGTCGTTTACTGATATTTATATTCGTCAATCTCTCGATCGAGGCAATAAACCTGACACGATCGGTAGCAAGGCCGAGACGGCAATAAAAACATTGCAATTATTATTATAAAATATCATATCTATAACTGTGTTGTCTTGTCTCTCTCTCTTTCTCCTCAGGAGTGCCGCGCGCGGGCTTGATTACAATACGCGTGCCAAATAATAATTATCTTATTTATCTGATGAAACGTGACATAGATGGCCGTTGCAGATTGTAGCGAAAAAAAGCAAAAATCATCGCGGGAATTTTGTTGCTTTTAGAGGGTACATATATATCATCATCGTATATTACGGCACACCAAGCGCGTCGTTATGATATAAGAATCTCATGCACCCAAAAAATATAGATAGTAGACTCGTCGTGTGTCAAATATGATCGTTACAAGTGCGCGGCCGGCTTCGAGTACTCGTACTTTCGACGAGTCCACGAATGGACAGAATGCGAAAAGAAATAAAAAAGAAGCTCGCGAGATATAGCTCTTAGAGACTATAGTAGTACATCGTCATTCACGACTACGAGGCAAATATTATAATGGAGCGCTTCTTCGTGCACATGCATTTATAAATGACGAATACCCCCGCTCGCGTTTATGAACGGCAGCGAAGTTGCATTACCAGCGGCAACAGTGGCGCACGAGCATATCTCTGGGCTGCAGTGATGTTTCACGTACGTAATGACAATTTTGATGATTTGCGACGAAAAAAACGACGTAAAAAAGTAGTGGCTCGAGAATGAAATTGTCCGAAAAATAAGATGCGCGCGCGTCACGGGAATCTACGCGCGCGAAATGTAGCTATACCTATAATCGCTAATATAAACAGGCTCGAACGCGCGCGTGTGTGTATATAGTCCAACAGGTTGTTATACCGGTCGGATTACGTTATGTGCTTCAGGCCGCGCGATTTTCCGCTTTACGTACGTACGTATCCTGCGCGCGGCAATTCGCATACGCGAGAGCCTTGAACTTTGCATTTGACAAAACAAGTGCAGTAGGCCATTGTTATTATATGTATTCCGTGCATATGTATCGTTATTAATAAAGCACACGCGATTGGCTTCGAAGTGAACCGGCGGAAAGAGAGGCAGCAACACAAAAAAAAAACACGAAATACAGAAAAAAAAAATGAAATTGGGCCACAGGATCAAAGACGTTTGTACGTTCTGTTTCGTAACTATATGAAATGAAATATATAGGATATACAGAAAATTATTGAGGTTCTCGAGCATTCGAGTCACGGTCGAATTCGCGTTAGCTCGCGCTCGCGCGCGCGGAAGAGGCCGAAAAAAATCTGACCATCCTGCCGCTGCTGCGAGCATTTGTCTATGATTTTCAATTTTTATATTACATCCTTTCATGTCTCGCATTCGATATAAGTCAATTTGGCAGATAATAAAAAAAGACTCGAACGAATAATTTTTTTTTTGGTTCATCGAAGGATTGCGAAAGAGTACGAATTTTTTGTCAGTCCGCGAGTTTTAATGTTAGTATAGATATTGGATGCACGCTTGCGTGCATATACGCACGTATATATTTTACACGAGATCTCCTAATACAAATTCGAGTTCGCAGATTCGCTCGATTGATCAGCTTCCTTCAGCAGCAGCAGCAGGAGTGCGCAATATTACGGAATCGATCTCAACGTGTATGTATTACAGAGACACAATGAGTCGTTGGCGATTATGAATTTTTCGTAAAGGCAAAGGAGAAGAAGAAAAAAAAAGGAATTGGCGAAAAAATTACGCGCTGCAGTGATATTATCACGTTAAATGAGAATATCTCGAGCGTCTGTCAGCGCGTGTGCATGTATGTATGCTAACGCGCAGGTATATATCGGATTATAAAAATAACGCCGCTATGTGAGTGAGTAAGTGAGAAAAGCAGCTTCCAACACGTACGCGCACATATATCGGAAAACAACCCCATCCGGCCATTAATAGCGCGCGCGGGCCAACGAAGCGCATCGCGAGCCTCTCTCTCTGTCTTTCACTCGGGATTTATCGATTTCTAGTCTTGCGCCTCGCATTATCGTCACACAAAGCTCTCGTATAAATATAGTCTCTTCGCACCGATACTCGCTCGCTCTCGACATACTATAAAGTTACGTGTGTATTACGGGGGTGAACCGCAGAATTTTGACGCACGGGATATAAACGCGGGATTATAGGTAACTTTCTCTCTCACCTGTCTTCGACGTCGAGATGCTCGAGCTCGGGCACGCGGCACCAGTGCTGCTCCGGCACGAGGGTGATGAAGATCTGCGAGAAGTAGACCCAGGCGACGTAAAAGGCGAACGGTATCATCAGGCAGAAGAGGATCTTTTGGTAGCGGCCGAACTCGCCGATGTAGGGCAGCAGATCGTCGAAATCCACGTCCTTCACTGCGGCCGCGGCTATCTGCTTGTCGCTGTTGTTGTTGTTGTTGTGGTTGTTCAAGTGATGGTGTCTTCGGCCGCTGCCGAGATTGCTGGCGTTGAGTTTTCCCTCTTGCGGCCGTTGATCCGCTTCGTTCGTTGCATCGTCGCCGCAATTATTCGTGCCCGCATCGATGTTGTCGTCGGCCGTTGGGTCGAGGGTGACGACGATACCGATTCCGCAGTGCGGATCCTCGGTGGCGACTACCGTCGTCGTTGCGGTGGCCACCGTTGTCACCGCTTTCTTGCCGGACGACTCGTCAACGGCTTTGCCGTATTTCTCTTGGGGTGGCATCTTTATTTTTCAATTTTTTTTCTAATTATCTATCGACTCGCTTTAACTCGACTGTAGAAAAGCTCTCTCTCTCTCTCTCTCACGAGGATGAATCAACGAGGACGAACGAAGCCTCTCGCATGATATCCCTTTGTAACAATTTTCACACTCGCGACACACGCACCCCGCGAGTCCGTAATGACGATAATGCGCTGCGCTGGATCTAGCTGGAGAGACGAGTGCGTTATGATCGGCGGACACTCGACGTCTCGCAGCGGCAACGCAAGAGAGCTTATACTCTCCGCGACACAATCGAAAACTGACAAAAGCCAATCGCTCCGTTTTATATATACCTGCTCTCCGCGGAGTAGCAGCAGTAGCAGTGGCTACCTGCACGACGACGACGACGACGACGAGTACATGTATACATTAACACACTGACGCAGTCGCGCGCCGCGCACACGCGCTTGTCTCGACTCTATACATATATCTATATATTTGTTATAATGCCCGAGAGCTGTTGCTACTGCTGCTGCTGCTGCTGCTGCTTACGGAGCCGCACAAATGATATTATTATTTAAAGAGAGGTGAGGCGCAAGCGCGCAAGCAAGCAATATCTATATAGGCTTTGACGTATTACAATATCTGTTGCTGCTGCTGTGCGTGTGCAACTATAACTGTATAATCCACGCGCGCACACTTTGATTCGCAAGTTCGCAAGCTTATTATAATCCGCTATCGACTCTTCGAGAGGCGAAAATTTCTCTTCTTTTCTTGCTTTATTTTCTTTATAATTTGCCTCGCGGATGGATATATGGAGCAGCAGTAGCGGCGACGGCAGTAGGCGATAGCCACGATGAAGACTATATACGAGAGGCTCGCTCGCCGACTGCAGCAGGTGTATTTATACTCCCCCACCCCGCTATACATGTTGCTCATGTTGCCGCTTATATACTTCCAGATATATAATAATTGAGCTTCGTTTGTTTATACATCATCCTCGTGGTGTGTATGTGCGAGTATTCACAACGTGAGATCGTAAAAAAAAGAAGGAGAAGAAAAAGAAAAAAACGTATATATAATAACCGATATCTCTAGGCTTTTTATATATGGATTTAATTTGTTTAGAACGATGCGCGTAGAAAACTCGACGAAATGAGTTTCTTTTCTGTACTAAATTTTTTGCTCAATTTTGAGTCACAATGGGAAAATTTGGAGCAATATTTTCGTTAAAATTTATGCTGCAAACTCCGCAAACTTCTGAGTTCGACTATTTATCGCATACAAAGCGTTTTTCTCGTATTATGATTTATGGTCGCAAGCTCATTGATCAACGATTTGGAAGAATTACGTTATTGTCTTTCGGCGAAATTAATTATATTTTCGTGCATATAATAGCACGGCTGTACGCAGCACAAGACGCGAGAAGATAAAAACGCGTGTCGGTATGCCCATTCCTCGCGTTGCGCGAGTCGCGATATCGGCACGGGGCATCTTCTCTCAGCGAGTCCATTTTTTTTTTTGTTAATTTCATTACGATTTGCCTGGGTTTTTCTTCTCAATTCTTCGACGGTACGTAATAATTCATACCGTAAAAACGCATCGCCGCGTGGATAAGACACTCGAGACGTCATTTACACTTTTATCACGAGAAATGCGCGTCGCGCGAGTACATACATTGATTGAATGTACAGAGTCATACAGGCTATAATTAGATTCACCCAAGCCTCTATGTATCTCGCTGATTTATCAGGCGGTGAAAAGCAAGATGAACGTAAAAATAAAATAAACGAAGGAAAAATTAATTGATCCGCGATGTTGCGTCAATCAGGTGCATATTTATAAGCTCGAGACGATTATACGTGTACGCGTGCATATTATTACACATTTTATTGTCGCGCGCTGCGCGCATTATTATATTTGCCACACATGCCGCTGGCGGTGGCGACGGCGGCGCGTCTCTATTTTATAATTTCGACGTCAAACTTGGGGATCGCGAGCTTTTTTAAACGTTGTACATGCGCGCTAGTTAATAACCAAGGCGACCGAAGAAATGTGGCGCTCGCTGACATCGGTAAACAGATCGTTTTGAAGTCTGCAAACGATTTTCATCCTCTTTTTCTTCTCGCTCGCGCTTTCGTCTCGGAAAAAATCGGTAATTCGAAAATGTTTATACGACGATGAACTAAAAAAACTATCGTACGATTGTGCAATTTTTATCAACGAGCGTACAAGTATACGCACGCGCGAATTTGCGAGTTTAATGCATAAAACGGTGCATTAAAATGAACGCGTAATCGGAACGCATTCCGTTAATGAAACTGCACGGCGCGCTTATCGTCGCTATACATATAACTATAACACTTTATATATCAACGACGAGTGCTCGCGGCGTACTGGAAGTGCGTGTTTATTTTTCGAGCCCAGACAGCTCGAGTAAAGAATCGAAATCCTTCGATGCTCCATTTTTTTTGTCTCAATCATCAAGAGCATTCCAAGACCTCCAAAAGTATTCAAAGCGGCGAAGTCAGTGTCAATGTCTGTGTATTAATGGCGGGCCGTCTGCGCGTATACATAAAAACAATGGCGAGAGAGCCATGATCTATTTGTCATAATTATGTACCGCGATAATACGCTCGCGGTGTGTGTATAATTATAAAGTGCGTTATTTACCCAAAAGAAATCGTGACGCGTTATTTGTTGAAGCCGATCGGTAAACAGCCGAGCGAGAAGCGAGAAGCGCACAAGTTTCGAATCCTTTTGTACAAACATCGCCAGACTGGCGCGCGTTAATTAAGACTCTACTGCGTTAAGCTAAATTCCAGAGCAAACATTATAGCGACTGACGAGGCGTACATTATATACCCCAGCGGGTGGCTGTGAGAGACTTTGGCAGGGACGGAGAAGGAAAGCAAAAAAATAAGAAATAGACTCGATTGTCAATAATAGAAGCGCATTATTTTACGATCCTTACCAGCTGATTAGGGTTTTAAGTTTAGATCGCGGATGAATGAGTGACGATCGTGACGTCGCATGCATGTATATTAGAGTGGTCCACTTTTTCAAGAAATTTTTGTATCTCGGGGGATCCATCGGAATCTGAAAGTTTGAGGTTTAAAATGAATTTTCCTTTAAACTAGAACTCAAAAAAATGATTTTAGATGGTGTCGATGGATTTTTGAAGTTTAAAAACGTGCTCCAAAAAAGAAGCTAAATCGGGCTACTATTCGATTTATTTCAAACTTTATTCAGAGTTTAAAAATAATCTTGACAATACATTTTCTTACGTGTTTTTGTCTGCAGAATCGAGTTCCGTAGTCAGTTCCGTAGTAAACACGTAAGAAAATGTATTGTCAAGATTATTTTTACACCCTGAACAAAGTTTGAAATAAATCGAATAGTAGCCCGATTTTGCTTCTTTTTTGGAGCACGTTTTTAAACTTCAAAAATCCATCGACACCATCTAAAATCATTTTTTTGAGTTGATCGTTCGCAATTATTTTGAAGGAAAATTCATTTTAAACCTTAAACTTTCAGATTCCAATGGATCCCCCGAGATACAAAAAATTTTTGAAAAAGTGGACCATCCTAATGTATATAATACAAATGACTCGGAAGCACTCGTTTGTTATATAAGATGTATTATAAACAGTCCGCGCACCCGTTGTAACTTGTACCGAGAAAGGCGAAAATTTTCCACGCAAACTCGCGCATTATATCTCTCGATGCGAGATCATTAACAGGCGTCAATAAAAATAAAAATTAAACAAGAAGCGAGCAACAATCAACAATAACAAAACGTCTCGATTTATAGCTCATCGCGGATTGTCATATCGGAATGATATCGGACCTAATCCCCTCGACAATTGTTACTTATCGCCATTGCATCATACAATTTGCATGTCTGCGGAGAATCTGAAATTTTCATTTATGATTCAACGCGTATTTGAGTATCTTTTTGTGTACCGATTTAATCGATCGCGTAATAGGATCGTAAAAAGTGACGAAACGGTCGCAACGAGCGAGCTATTATCTCGAGACTCGAAGTTTCTTTGTTTTAATTTATTTCGGCTTCTTCTTCTTCTTCTTCTTTTTCGTTTATCAAGGCGGGTGTTATTGTCGTTTTCTATGGTAACTAGAAATCTATGTGCGTGCTACCCGCGCATGGAACTCTTAGTATGTAATTTAATATATGGAAATATTTTGAAAATAATAATCAATCAAGATATTATTAACTACAGAAGGCGTATATAGATGACACTAAAATATTTCTTGTACTCACATGAAGTTGGCTCTAAGAGGGTTCAATTCGATCTATAATCGCAATGGCTCTTATATTAATTAGATTAGATTAGATTCACCCAACGCTGCAGCCAAGAAAGCAAAAATAGGTCAATGTTTCGATCCCTCGACATAGAGGCTAATTCGTTACGATGATCTCCAATGAATATATCTACAGCTGAATGTGCTCGCGATCTTATGAAAAAATTAAATTAAAAATTGCTCGATTAACGATGGACGAAATCGAGCGAGATAAGAAGAGGACACAGGACATTATGCGAGCGCGTGATGTATAATGACGATGGCATCGATGCGTACGTGTCGCGCGTCAAGATCATGAGTGCACACGATGACGATCACCTATGGCTAGTCGATATAATAACGACGTTGCGAACGATCAAGTTCACATCGTCCTTACATTACGCGGCGCATATGTGTCTACTACTCGTAAGACGTATAGTGACTTTGTGCTCTAATCCATCCTAATTTTGTAGAAAATGTGAATTGTATGCAATAGTTTTAAAGCTCTAAATTTAATACAGATTTAATGTAATATCAGACATTGAAATTGAAGTAACCGATACTGAATTTTGTTTGAGATAATTTTACATGAAATTTTCAAAAAAGCACCGAAAATGCACGAAAAACCAATCATGTACATTTTTTAAACGCAAACACTAGAAAAAAAAGTTCAATTCTTTCAAATTTGAACATTTAAATTGAAAATTAACGTTTTAATGATGATATATTTTTTCCGCTAATTGATACAAATGAAAATTCAATCATAATTAATGCCAGTCTCCACCACTAGATGGCGAGTACCTATTTATCTCTAAACCTGCTAGTGGCAAAGTCAAAATAAGTGTATAAATCAAAGCAGGGTTTGGAAAATATTCATGAAAGTTCTCATATTCTTTTATAATGGTTGAGGACGTGAGGCGAGAGTGAGGGGAGAGCTTGGTGGGACGACTACCGATTTCTTTGGCTTACGTGTCGTTGCTTTTGTTCATATCAAGTCAGTTATTAGCGAACTCACAGCTAATTAGCAAATTTTACCTCTGCTTAGAGTCGCCCTCGCAAGCTCTCGACTTAGTATCGGCTCACCGCTTTGGAGCCCAACTAGTCGCAGACATACACTTCTTTCTATTAATTTTTAATAAAGGTCTATTTGTTATTAAGAAAAGAATCTAATCACGAGTACGAGATTTGATTTGAACACAATACCCAAGTCCGACTCGTCGAATTACCTACAAACATAAACATCTCATAAGCTGTAATGATAAGTTAACCAGTTTATGTCTTTGTTGACTCCCACTAGCCAGTTTATTAACCAGTTTATGTGTCTATTGACCGATAAAATGTGCTAAAAACGACATGATTTTAGTTACTTTAATGGCTGGAAACTGGGTAATGTTCGATGGTTTTTATGCGCGAAAACTGGTCAAAAACTGCTCAAGCGTAGCAGCACTTGCGCTCGACGTATTGACATGTAATTTTATTATATAAACATTTCATTATTTTATGTATGTTATAGGTATACTATTGTACTTTTAAATTTAAATACTTTTAAAGTAAAGTGCAGCAGAGACTTAGTACTAATCTGAGATGTAAAAACATCTAAATATTGCTTAAAATCTAACCTTAATGTGAAAGTAGCTAAGCTAATTATGTTTATTAATATGAAAGAGAAGAGAACATGAAACATAGTTTATAGCTCGAGCTGCTAGACTCGTTTAAAAGCACTGGATGCATAGAAATAAAATCTACACTATTCTTCAATATCTTATTTCGTTGGCGTTCTCTATATTTTTTGTAACGCTTTTTATTTTTATTGTCATTTGGCACATCCATATCGAAATGTATGTATGTAAAGTAAACGAAAACTGTTATTTGCGGCTGTAACGAAGCTCTACTCGTCAAAACTTTGCCCGATTACACACAACATAAATAACCTGAAAATCAGCAGTCTCTTTAGACCGGCGCACATTAACCAGTTTTTGACCAGTTTAACGGTTTAATATATAGGCACAAAATGTTCATCGCGAATGGCCAGTTTTTAATCTTGTAACCATTTCAACTGATTAATTTTCTACCAGGGAGTTACATGAAACGATGCAGCTATTAAATCTGAAATTGTGAAATTCCACGCGTCCTCAGCTGAATAACGTCAACGTCAATTGGGGCGATATATACGATCTCGAAGACTTCAAAGATGCATTGTAATAAGCGCGACTCACGACGCGCGAGTATCGTGTATTAATACTCAAACGCGCAGCAAGTCCAACGACTGACGTCCTTCGGGGTGAATGGCAAATATCGCGTGCGAATATCGATGCCGCGGCTCTCATGACGTGCCGCGTATGTGTATACTTAGGACGTCTGCAGCTTACACTCGCATAGACACACACACATGCGCAGATTGATATCGATAATTAAGGATGCGTAAGCGTAATATCGTCCTGGTTGTAGCGCGCGATTAATACACGTGCGCGGACACTTTTCGCCTTGGAGATACGCCGGCGGGCGGCTTTTACGCGCGAAAAGTCACACGTCACGGCTACGTGTGTTTATAAGGCGTGTGCGAGTGTGCGTCGTGCGCGTGTACTACGTAATGTGCAGTGCGGACAACATTGTTTTCACTGCACTTGCTTTGTACGTTCATTATGCATTTATAATATTAAATTAATTATTATTATAAATTATCAAAGCGAATGTTTAATTACTCGACTAGTGCGCGCGGTATAAGTAGGCGAGGCGTGCTCGAGATGAGCACGGAACGAGGTATACATAAATAGGATGCGTGCTCAATTGCGCTGTAATTATGCGACGTGCTTAAATGCGCTCCGAAAGATGCACAAAACGACGTCGAGTCCCAGTGTGAATAAAAAAAATCGCTGCACGATATCGGCTCGTTTATGTTTACAAAACCGCGAGATCAGCGATCTCGATCGGTACAATTAATGTATACGCACATCACGATGATGCGCGACAATTTTGGAGCTCAGATACTAATCGTATGAGATTGTATTATAATAAGATGCCGGATAAAAATCATTGAACACAAAGTTGCAGATGGTGAAAGATTTATGAATATTTTTTACATATTCAAAATGAAAAGTCTTCAGAGAGGTATAGTGCGTGGATTTTCGCGTGTATGCGTGCGTTTTTAATACCAGCCCAGCCGATATCTCACGTGTGTACCTCACATTGCACGTGCTGCCGTGAATTATTAAAGCGACGTGCAAATTGAACAGATATCGAGTCACTCTCGAGTATATAGTTCGGATATAGCAATATTATTACGATTGATGAGTAGAAAGAAGAAGAAAAACAAATTTTAAATTTGTTGAAACGCGAGAAACGTTTACTTCTGGCAAGAGATCTGGTGGCTATGACGCTCGCCGTCATTTAGTTAAGTAATGACTGTAACGAATTAAGGCAGATACATTTAAGTCATAATTGGATTCTCCGACGAGGATATGAAGAAAAAAGAAAATCGTTCGCACGTGCGGGGAATTTTCTTTCGCCGGTCGCAGCTGCACGACGAGTTACAGCAAGCGACAGATTGAAATAAGAATCGCGGCTTCGCGTTTCCAGCACGTGGTCGAATTTTCTCTCGACTCGATCTTGGGAGAGGGCTGCGTATTATCGTCGTCAGTACGATTATGCGCACGACGATCGGCAAATGAGAGACATTGTGTACGTTATCATCTGATGTCCTCTTTCCGCGGAGTCATTTCCCATACGTCTCGTTGCAGCTACATTATACTATCGTCCACGCTCATTATTACGTAAACTTTTTGGCGAAATTATATCGTGCGGCTGTACATCTGTGCCATCGCTGCTATTACATCCTTCGTTGCCTGTGTACGTATGTATACGATAAGAGTCAGTTGCGACGCGAAGACACGATAATGAACAATGCCGATCATTGTTCATTAACTGCCCACTATACGCGACGACGCTCCTTCTCAGCCCGAGCTGTGAAAATAAGTCGAATCATTGACTTATTGTATAATATAAGAAAAACAATTACATGCCTTCGCGAAATGGCATATATAAAAGAAAAAATTAAAAAAAAAAAGAAAAGTAAATGGTTTACCGTAGAGGATCGTTAAACGTGCATCGCGCCTATGTAACGCTGCATTTGTAAACGTTGTTGTGAATATGTACGTATATTAAAGGTCGCGAGTCGCAGGGAATAATTAAATATTATATTATACACAGTGAATTCATGAGATTTATGTACATCGACGCGTCCACATAATACTTATTTACATTGCCGACGGTCGCGGCGCGATGCGCGCATTTGTCATTATAATACTCGAGCTGTATAATAAAATTCAAATCGAGTCCACCCATTCGAGAGCGATGTAATTTCGAAAATAGACTCGCGCACAGGATGGACGATAAAAAGCAAGAAAATGTAAAATTTGTATTAATCTGCAGCGCGAAATCTCGCATCTTATGCATACGTTTTTGCACGATATATAATTTATACAAATATAACGCGCGCGCGCCCGAGTACACAGGTATGATTTATTTATTTATGCTCCGGCGGAGAACTTGAGATATTGTGAATGCCAAGAGAGGACAACGTCTCGCGCGCCTGACTCAAATTGTGACTGCAGATACCTGGAGTCCAAGCATCTATCCACTATTTTTCAACATTAGCTTTTCAACGGGACTTTTATTGTACGAGCGTCTAATTTTTACGATCTCGAGAGGTGGATTTTTTTTGTCTTTACTTCCTTTCAAAATATTATAACGGGAATACACGTATGTCCCCTGACACGTTCGCTCACTGTCTTTTATTCGAGTCACGTACATTTTTGAATTTTAATAGTCGCCAATTATTGTCTAATTCGGTTACTTAGGATTTTAAAAATGAAATTAAAAAAAACGCGTTACATCAAACTGCGAATGCAGTCATGCTTCTCAAGAGTTTGGAACTATCAGGAATTTTTCCAGTTTTAAACGTAATTCTGTAGCGATTGCTAATTTAATTATTTTCGTTTTTAACTCTATAAATAATTAAATGAATGAGCATAAGAATGTTACGTTTTAGTCGTTACAGAGAAAAATTATTATCAGACTCTTTCCTTTTGCCAATCGGTAGAATCATTAGTATCGGAAAACATGATTTCTCGTCCTCAGGTAATTCTAAATAGCTATTAGGAAAAATATTCAACAAAATGTTCACGCTCGCTTTTTTTTCATTTTTCTGGGACCAAAGTGAGCAATTATCAACGTCCGTTATACAAGCACCTAACGATAAAAATTTGCAATCGTGATCGAATTGGTCGATTTCCTCAAAATAAAAAAAATGACATTCTTAGGCGAAAGATGTTTGTCAATGCATTGGCAGCTGTTTTAAATTTATTTTTTTGCCTCTATATCGTAGAATAGAGTGATGATTGATGATGACATGAAAATTCCATGTTATATTTAAACTATTGTAATCACCTGTGATCGTTTTCATACCATGAGTTCTTTTCGATAACATTTAACAACAATATTTCAAGAAAGCATATGACAAAAAAAATATCACGTGGACAGTTTAGGAAAAAATCGGGATGCTGCAACGTTAATGAGTTCAAAAAGGTGAGAAATTGAATCTGTAGCAACAGGATCATTTTCGTAAAAATTTTCAATATTTCTTTATACAAAGTATGTGGATAAAATACATTTTTTTTGATTGTATAAAAAATGGAAACGATAAAAAGTAATTTATACATTTACTTATTTACAGTCAACATTATACTCCATAAACGTAAATACTTAATAAATAAAAGTATTCTAAAATATATAAAGTTGGTTAATTTGGATCATCGTCTGAGTCAAGTTCACTGCTAGAACTGTTCTGAATTTTGTTGGGAATGCTATTGGATATTTTAGGATGTATTATTTTATCCTTTTTACTAGTTTCACTTTCACTATCACTATCACTATCACTATCGCTGTCGCTGTCACTGTCACTATCGCTGCTGTCACTGTCGCTGTCAGTACAGCTGCTGCTGTCACCACTGGATGACGAGCTGTCACTTTCAGAGTCCGTAGAATCGCTATCACTGTCATTTTTTCTGAAAAGTAAAAATAAAACCAAAATTATTTATTGTAGTCTGCAGAATTAGTCTTTTTTTATTGCTGTTTTCATCACATACCTTTTTCCAGCTTGATCGAGAGCAAGTTTATCTATACCATCTTGTAATTGATCCAAGTTATTCTCAATAATCAAGTCATTTTGAGTGTTATAAGCTGCTACTTCTATCATTTCAAGATTTAAACCCATTGCAGTTTTTTCTACCTTGACCTAAAAAATTTATTGTTATTACTTATTAGATTATATTTGATTAAATTAAGTAAAGGCTACTTACGTTTTTAACTCTATTTTCCATATCTTCAATTTTTGAATTAGATATTTGCTGCAGCCAAATAAGATAATCTTTTATATAAAGTTGATTTAAAATATATCTTGGTTCTGGTGAGTTATTGAATAGAGTATAAATTTCACAAAATTGTTTGATGACATACATTTTACCTAAAAATTCAATTGTAATGAATAAATTGTATAAATCAACGAAATTCTAATAAAAACTCTATAACTTAAATTACCTAATTTCAAAACTTTCTTAAGGTCCTCTAAAACTGCTAGTGCAAGATTCCAATTTCTTACTTGCGGATAGCACAAAGATCTTCTTACTCCACTGGATATAACATCATCGATGCTTGAAAAAATCTGAAATTATCATTGCATTATTTTGAAGGTATATTAAAAATATAAAAGTTATTTAAAAATTTCTCTTCATTACCTGAAACCATGACAACGTTGAACTCAATTTATTAATTGTCCAACTGCTAACCACATTATTATCTCCAAGCGTTACTCGACGATTATAACAATGGGCAAACAAAATATCAACCATAGAATACAATGCAGCCTCAATTTCTTCTGCGTCTAATAAATATTCCTTGTTTGGTAATTCTTTCAATATATCCTTTTCTTCTCCATTAAATTTTACATCTGATGCGATTATAGTTTCCCACTCATATGACAAATAAGGCTCAACAACATCAACTTCCATTAAATCAGCTGTGTAATGATCTGCACTAAAATCTGAACGCTCTTGTTGCTCTTTCAAAGTTTTGCGATCAACTTCTGGAGTTTCATCAGGTTGGGGTAGATCTATGATTTCTTTAATCCAAGAATCCTACAAAAAATGTTGTTGTAATAATTGCAATTAACATGAACTTTTATTATTTAATTCTTCAACTCACTTCAAAATTATTCAGAGCTCTGGTTATTTTATTAGCGAATCCATATCTAGGAGAATTTTGTAATATTACTTGCTTTTCTTTTTCCACATTTTGATCGATGTACCACTCATCGCCACCATCTGGAGTCATGATATTTTCATCGTCACTTTTCTCTTGTGTACCAGACGGTTCATTTTCATTTGAACATGGATTGCCTAAAATTATATATCCAGTTTAAATATACCGATAAAAATTTGAGAAAATTGAGTAAAATAATTACAATATTAAAATACATACTAATAACTTCAATTGTTGGAACAGTGTTTCTTTTTCTTGCTGGAGCTAGCAAAGTTGTTATCATATCTAAATTTTCAAAATATTCTCCTTCGTTAACTTTGGAAAAAACCAAACGAAATTCACCTTTTTCACAGTCATAAGAACCTTTGGAGGAATCAGTCTCTGCTATATCTCCAGGGAGAGATAATCTATAAATTAAAATTTTAGAATTTAATTGGAAGAATGTTTAAGAATTATCCACGAAAAAAGTCTGTAAGCTTACCTCAAATAATACGGAGTTGCATAAAATCGAAAATCATTTTTTTCCACGTGCACCACTGCTTCCTTGATATTTGCGTAAGGAGCATGAATAATAAAAATCAGCTCCGTATCCGTTTGCGAGATTTCGAAGCGTGGAGTGAGCATTTCTGGACAATTCTTTGAAACAAATAGGAAAAAAAATATTCAACTATACCGAAATGATCACTTGATAATTGACATTCGAAAACCACGTGTTTGAGAACGCGTTCAGTTGTCAAATTGTACTCGGAGTTCAGTGCTCTGTTATGTATACATGTACAGTTTCACGCACAGTGCATACAGCGACCCGAGACTATCGAGACGTTGAAGACGGCAGCGCCTGAGGTTGCGCGCGCAGCTAAGAATGCGTAAGAACGAGAGAAAGAGGGACAGAAAGGGAGCGAGAGCATGCAGTGGCTGTGGCCACAAATGAAAGTCAAAACTTTCGAAAGAGCAAACTTCCATTGAATGCAATTGAGGGCACAATCGAAGAGGTCACTAGTGTGCAATAATGAAAATAAGTCATGAAACAGTCGCAAATTTCAAGTACATCTTTTGAATCTCCTTTACAGTTTTAGATAAATGCCAATAAAAAAATACCGCGACGGGTAACATAATTTGATCTATTTTTTAAAAAGTTATGTAAAAAAATTATGATGGCATAACAATTTAATAAAATATATTAAATTTAAAAATATTATACCAAACGCGATTTAAGAATGTCTATTAATCACTCGAGAAAATCAATGGTATACTACACCTTCATTTTTAGCTTTTTGCTCTTAACTTCCGGACTGAGTTCATTATCACTCATACTGCTCCTTTTGCCGAGAGCCATTGCATTCGGGTAAATTAAATATATATTTTGAAAGAAATGATAAGTGAATCTAAAATCTATACAAGTTGTGTAAACTAATTTCTCTGGAACTTTCAACGTCACTGTCACTACAATGTTTAGTAAACACACAAATGTAACAAATGGAACAATCGAAACATTTATATTGTTGAATAAGGTCTAGTTTCATGTCATGTAAATGTAGGAGAGAGCGGGGCTCGGGTATGCTAAACAATCATTTTGAAAGAGTCTTCATGCATGCAAATGTTTATATAATATATTGATAGTTTTATTTTCATTAACTGAAATTTTAAGCTCGAGAAAAAAAGATAATGTCTAAATTTTTCTCATCAATTTTCAATGATAAAAAATTTAAGTTGATTTTGTAGTGTGTGAAAAATTGCTATCGATTCATTGGCAAAGAACTTCTTTTCAAAAAAAATGATTGTTCTTATTTTTACTTATTAAATAATACTCTGACGTTTGGTACCGCCACTCTATATTATTTTTTTCGCCGTCGATCATAATCAATCGATAATCTCCTAGTTGCCCATACCAGATCTATACTATATCGATCCCAGATCATGGACTCCCTACGTTACCGATACAATAAATGTCACGTTACTAATTTTATGGTCAAAGCTCCTTCGCAATAAAGTCGCCTCGTAATTAATCAACAAAAAGTGAGATGTGTGTACACGTCTTTTTATGCGAGGAAAAACCCGAAGGTGAAAAAAACTCATAGTTTATTGATAACAAGCACGATTCAATTGAGAATCGGCCTCTACAGTTAATTCCAAACGAGAAAATTGTAAAATTATAACGAGTAAGTTTTTTCTTCTTAAATGTGACAGAGAGATAGAGATTTATTTGAACTAATTGACGTGTGTTCAAGCCGCCAGACGTACCAAGAATAACGTAGCAATAAACTTTTAATAACAATATTCGTGTCGCTTAGTAACGCATGACTTCTTTTTTTAAATAACATTTAAATATCGAACAATAATGGTAATTATTACCGTAACGTATAAAACAATTCAATTTTCATTCGAGTCACAATTTTAATTAATTACAACAATTTCATTAATACTTTGCAAGTTAGCATTGAGTCATTATAAATATGCACTGTTTAGTATCGTTCCATTTAGCTCACTGTACTGATTTTAAACAAACGATTGTATCATCTTTTTGTAAACAATTATGTCTTATATTGAACGAGTAAAGATAGGGCCCGTTGAGTGAGGAAAGGTCAAGAATTCGGGTAACAGTTGGTTTGTCAGGCCACTCGAATTTCACGACCCAATAACAAATCAAATATCAGCAGGTTTTTAGCCCGCCTGGAACAACGAAGACCCCGAGCGAATATATATAGCCGGTAGACAAACCAATTGCTCTCGCACTCTGTCATTCTGTCCTCGGACTTTTACTGTAAAACACAGCCATGGATCCGTTGTAAAAAATAATGAGTATATGTCAGAATTTTTTTTTCTCCTTCTCTCTTTTCCTTTCGAACGCTTCAAGTCCATGAATAACTCATGGCAAAGAACTCAAGTCCAGCAAGGACACATTTTTTATGCTTTTTTGAACCTTTGTATTTTTGCTGAAAATAGGGTCTGGAAAGTTTGCGACTAAGCATATTTTACACAAATTTTAACGAACTTTCCAAATTCGGTGTCAGATTTTCGAAATAATAAACAGATCCATAGTGATAAATGGTTTTAAAAAAAAATTGAGAATTGGAAAAATATTTTTCTTTTCAAATTTTCACATGAAAATCGTTTAAATTTTGGCGTCTTCGAAATAAATAAAGTGTCCATGGGCCCTCATCTCAAAATTATAACGATTCCAATATTAGTGAAATATAATTTTAGGTACACAAAATGGCGACTGGAATACGAAAATATATAAAAAAACCTTATGCAATTTTCAACTCAGAAACAAAGGATTCTTAGAATTGAGGAAAAAATTTTACTGATGAAAAAGTTCTTTGATTACGAATGTGCATTTTACTAGGTATAATACGTGTATCCAAAATTCGTGTAAATATTTTACAGCTGCATTTTACTCATAAATGCCAAGTTTTTCTTTCGTGAGTTTGAATTAAAGATAAATAATTCAAATTTGTTACGCGAAAAATTTAGTAGTCGCGAAAATCTTTGCGTAAGTTCAGATATTTTCGGACTTTGAAACTTTGAATTTAGATTATGGGGATAGGATACATTTAAATCCAAATCCTGTAATACTTTTATAAGCACAAGTTCAACATACCAAAAAAAAATCACCATGTATTTTGCGATAGAAAAAATTCCAAAAAAATAAATGTCGAGTATGTTAGCGAATGTTTTAACTAAAGCACTATAAGAAGCTCGATTCTCTTAACTGGAAAATTTTATTTAGAGCATATTGTAAAATACTTTAACATGGTAGTGTTTAAAGTATGTTGTCATATTTTAATAATTCGACTGTTGTATTTTTATTCGTGTATCTGAGTGTAAACTCGATGTTGACATTAGACCAAGCGTAAGTTTGTGTATCGGTCAGTATTGATAGAACCCTGATTATTCTCAGACGTCTCACACATCAAATTGCTATAGGAATTTAATCTATTTTAAATAAAATATCTGTAGTATTCATCAAATATCCAATAAATTCTAAAATATTATTTCATCAATATCTGAGCATTAGGTGTAAGAAAAAAATGTTGGCGGATTTATTTGATGCAGATTATTTTGTATGGGATGCGAGAGCTATTATTAAATTACAAAGATATTTATTAGACGAGAGAATTGAAATGGAAGATATAGAAAATAATGAAAAATTAGAAAACATTCTACTTGCGACAGTAGAAACGGCCTTTTTTGACAGAAATCCTATTACACCTGAATTATTAGACGCATTCAAGGAATCGATTCTTGGGCTTCAAGTGGATTATTTGAATACAGTTAGACTGTATCGTATAAATTATATTATATTGAAAGTCGCTTGCGTTGAATATCTCCTATATCCCCACGAAGATAATGAAGAGTATAAAAAGATATACAGTTGTGACGAACAAAAAGTGACCGAGGTATATAATAAATTGTTTGATCTTCCAAAGGACAATATACCCGACAATGTCACAGTGACTGCGGCTAAATCTTTTTTCAGTTACGATATACTTGTAGATGATAATGACTACTTAGAAACTATAAGATTGTATTTGAGAGGAATTGATATTAATTCCAGAGAGTTAAAATACATAAAAAATAGATCAGTTGAATTCATGTAAGTAAAGTTTTGAAAAATAGTTAATTAAATTTTATTATCTAAAATTTTATTTAATTTTCAGTAATGATATAATTCGTGTGTACCAGCAAGTACGGTCCAATCAACCAGAACTTCTTACGTCCGACTACCCCAAATGTGTCATCAGTTAGTTCCGGTCCCATAAATATCAATGAACCATGGATTTACTCAATGTTACTCTGCTAAGCAGATATAATTAGCACAAATACCCAGTTCAACTTCTCCCGAGCACGAATTATAAATTTTAACGATGATTCTAAGTATGATGAATGTTTTCATTATCAAAAAACAATTTCGCTAGAAAAATAATGTAAAAATTATAAAAAAGGTTTTTAAAATTACGAAAGTTAAATGAAGAAAAAATAAACTAAACTTGTTCTACTGTAGAAATTAAAAAACTAAATGTTTCTTGATGCAATGTAATTATTCTGTTGATCTTAAATAATATAATTGTACTTCGAATTTGATAAAAGAAATTTTTTTAATGTATTGTGCAGTTTTTGAAATGTCAATAAAATATTTAACCAATTTTACAGGTGTTCATTTTTTTTTAAATATAAAATTAAACTTGATTACACAAATTTTTATTTGTATTATTTTGAAAATGAGATGAAAAATTTTTTCACATGCGATTAGAAGTAGGGCAATGTACATTAAGTTTTCTTATTACCATGCATTACATTTCATTATTGCGTGCATCAAATTGTTCATTAAAATATTTTCAAAATATTCTAATTGGTTGTTCTGAGGAAAAGTTATCAATGGCGCTATAAAACGCGCTACGTAATTACGTGCTATATAATTTTAGGAAGAATATTCTTTCCTCCCGTTTATTTAAAAATGTTGAAAACGACAATCTCAAAACGATTTTTACATAGGTAGTTAATACGTTCATACTAAACTTCGTCGTACCAAAAAGTGTTACTATGACACTTGTAAATTAATATTTTAATTGAAATGATATTCCACCATGCAGACAAATTGGTTTCAATCATCGTATATATAACATCAATGCATCATCGAACTCAATTGTGATTTTATTTTTAATACACAGCAATTTTTAAATATGTAACATAAGTTAAAAAAGCAGTTTACAAACATTGTATGCTCAACGATCAGTTATTCACATTTAGTAATAAAATAGCGATAGCGTACTAAACTTGTCAATCAAAAAAGCCAAGAAAAAGAAAGTGTCATCCGTGAGAGATGAAGACACCGCACCGCCGTCAACTGATCGTAATGTATGGCATGTTTCATTCACCTGCATTATGAGTGCCCTATGTATGCTGAGATAATCGTGAGCGATGTATGTACACATTTCGTGGGGAACGCCTCTTTTTGTTTCTCTCTTGGTAGCAACAGCATGCGGGTGTATAGCCGGAGGATTATTGCTATGTTTGTTAAAATTCTATTCACTGACGAATGTTGAAATTTTTGTTTCCATTTTCTTGGAAAAGTACACGATGAAAAATATTGAAATTTGCACCGGTTGTTTAGAGCAGTAAAAAGGAGAGCATCATTGACCCGTTTTTGGAAATTCAGGATACAAACAAAATTGAACAAGTTCAACTTTTGGTACTCTTACGGTAAAAAATAAGTCTTTGGCATTGCCTTAAGCAAATTATTTGGAATTGATAGTATTCGAAATTTAAATTGACATTGGTTTCATTACAGATTTTTGCCCTGGAGTTAACAAAATATTTTTTTATACCTCCGTGAATTCTCTTTTGAGAAATATCCACTTTATGAAAAAAATTACTAGAATAAGTAACTCTTAGCATCACTTAAGGAAGAAGAATTTGTTTTTGATAAACTATTTATATTTATAATTTTCATATATTTTAATGATCACCTATGTAAGTGGCTATGTCTCGTTAATAAAGAAAACGAAGTATCACGTGGGCTATTCATACAGTATACATACAAAATAACAGTCGTAGTGTTTGAAGTTTGATCGGCGGCGTATATTCGTAATATAATTTTCTCCTCGTACAGATGTGGCTGCTGCTTCTGATCTCTCACAGACGCTATTGTTGACGATCAAGCCTCGAACCCGTGAGCGTGACACTCTGCATTAGCATATTACAATAGACATGTTACATTGAGATGTGATTATCCGATTTTTGATCGCACGTGGGTTTTTAATGTACTACTATTTTTCTATTTTGTACTTCTGTCTGTATGCGAAGTTATTTCACTTCATAATTTTCGGGACATTGATTCTTGGACACAGCAGGGCCAATCATGTCTTTCATCAATCTTTAGCTGGAACTTCAATTTTTTCGATGATTTTTTTTCCTCTTACTTCATTTACTTCAAATTGAATCTCTTAATCCTATCATGTGCTTCAATAGGCACTCGGTTTTCTTTCCAGTAATACGTACATTCAAACGGCTTTTTCACTGCTCGTAGTGTATGAGTAGCTTTCACAAATATGTAGCACAGACCAACGTGAAAAGATTATGTATCTTTTGGCAGTTTTCGTACAAAATTATATTCGCTTAAAATTCGGACCCTTCGAGAATATGATTGTCTATGTATTTTTTACAATCTTTGAGATTTCACGGAAAAAGACAGAAAAAATTTTTTAACTTATTTTTTTTTGTCTGTGCGGTTACTTCGAATGAAACTTCACGAAAGAAAAAGACAAATAAAGACCGAAAAGAAGCTTTTTGGTAGGTGATATTTATTCATTCATAATTCGATCAATTACACTGTATTGATGCTTTTAGCTTATTAAGCTCTTCGAAGAAAGGAGCAGAAGAAACGCCCATCATCTGCAGCTTGTAAGACTGCAATTAAATGTTATAATTATTTATTGTAAAATGAAAATTTTATAAAACAATTATGGATTTACTTTTTTTTACTATTAAGAACTTTTACAAATACACTGAGAGGAACCCTGCTGTGCTATAATTCCTATGTTGGCTGGGAAAAGTTTTCAGAGTTAAAGTATGGTTGTTTTATATTACAAAATATTTTAACCATCGAAAATTACTATTGTTAGACTCTGAAAATTTTTCCTAGCGAAAATATCAACTTTAACTCTAAGCATTCTTAGTATACGAGTATTTTCAATATTATGATTCTATTAAGGTAGTTCCCTCAAAAAAATGACTATCGATAAAGGGTCTTGAAATTTTAACCACATATTGTTGACAATACTTTTCATATGTGTGAGAAATTTCAGAAAATTTAACCAAACCATTTTCGAAATATAATTAATCAAAGTTCGGTACTTTAACATGGGATCCCTATGCTAGCGTGTCGAAAAGATGCTATTTTGTGTGACAATAAAAAAACGCATCGATAAAATCTTTTCATAAACTAGGAGATAATTTTTCAGTATGTACTAAAACATATCTCAAAAACTGGAAAAACTTGACTAAACAGTTTTTGAGAAAAAACTGTTAATGTAAAAACATTGCAAAAATAAAAATTTAAACTTTTTGACCTGAAACCCACTTTCTAAGGGTTTTAGGGTCATTTTAAACAAAAAAGTGCTCTTGCAAATTTTCTCTAAAATCTATTGTTCACGAGCTGTAAACGATTCAAATTTAAACAATTTCAAGCAATGAATCTTTGCGATTTTTTATTTCAATAAGTATGAACTCTACGAAAAATTGTAAAAGAACAAAAAAGTCGTAGAATTTGTAAAGGAAAGCGTATGAATTTTTTCAGATTTTTTCTAGACATATGCCCAAATTGGTCGGTCAGGTCTGAGGGAACTACCTTAAGTATTAAAATTTAAAAACTGCTTCTTGATGAAGACGTAGTAGAAAAATTTGGTTTAAATATTTGGAAACTACATTGAATTACATTGGTTTTGCTTTTGTAATTAACATTTATGGATTTAGTATTATTTATTTTATAATTGAACAGTTAAAAATATACAGATAAAAAAATCAAATCATTTTGCCACCTTTTCGTTCATTATTTTGTAATTTTATACAGGCCGTGAAATATTTCAAAAGCTTATAAAGGTAAAGGGTATGAGTTACTCTTTTAGCCTGATTTAAAAAAACAAATTTGGAAACTAAGTTATTTAACAAAATAAAAGGAGACTTGTTGTGAAATTGTAGACCCCAAAAAATCTTTATGTGTGTGCGTGCACGCGCTTGTGTTCGTGAATGTGCCGCCCCTCTAATTTTTTGTACCTGCGTATAGAATCAAGCGTCGAGCGTGTGAGTTTCCCTCTCTTCCTTACTTCGATCGGCGGACACCGAGTGACCGAAGATCGTAGCGCATGCATTTTCAGTATACCTCACGACACCAGAGTGTGAACATGGATAGCACAGCGACTGATTTTCGTGAAAAAGTGTGTGTGCGTGTGTAAGTCGGAGCTTGGAAGGGACAATTTTCAAGCGAAATAATGGCGTTTCGTGTGCATTGTGGCATTCGAAATTTTCATTTTTAGCGTTTGTTTTCACACATTCGTCTAATGCTCACTTTTTATGAGCTCTTTTAATCTTGTCGGTAAAAATTTTACTGGCAATGAATACGACGGGCAATTACAGGGCTTACATATTGGGCCCGCAGCGACTTGCCACTATTTTAATCCGGGAACACTCGGCCTTGCCTTATCCCGAAAGGAGGTTCGAGCCTTTCGCGGAGTGGTTCCTGCTGCCGATTAGTACGTCACTCCTTCTTCTGTCCTTGCTTACTCGGAAAAAGCTCTTAGCGTCTTGGAAAATTGTCTCGCGAATGATTTCCAATGATACACAGTTCTTTATTTCTTACTCCAATTCGTACAAAGTTTACCCTCTGGGTTTTTTGTTCACGTCGTGTCTTTGGGCGATCCGTATCCGACACTGGGCTTTAGCTCAAATTAATCCTTCGGTGTCCGGTATGGGTTCTCGTTGACGTGGCCATCTTTTTATCGGGGCGTCTTATACAAGCCCTACTTTCTGGTCAACTTATTTCAATTTCTTCGGCCTCACGGGTCTTTTGTTATTCGATTTTACAATATTTGTAATTTAATTTATTTCCGTCATGACTTTGGCCTATAGTACCCAAAGCCAATCCCAAAGTTCTTGAGTATTGTCGAGAACGGAAACATTTTCAAATGTTATCTTTGGCGTCGACCACTACCAGTTAATATTTTTCAACACTGATCTCGAATAATTTTTCTATCATTTTTATGTTTTTTTTACGCGGCAAAGTAGCCGCAAAGCAAATGTTTTTCAAATCTTTGTTGCTCAGATTTTGCGTAACCATGTCGCAACAAAGTAACGGCAGCCTGTTGCCTGATAACTCCATCAACGGGTCCAGTGCCCAGCGCAGGAAAAATCTTTGAGAAGTTTTTTCCAGCAGATGCGTTAGGCATACGTCCGCATAGATTTTTGGGACTTTTTTAAATTGTTTCGATCGCCAAAAGTCAATGCAATCCGAATAGGTGAGGCGATTTCTCGTTTCACCAGGCTTTAACTTGATAAAATCGTAGAGGGATATACTACAATTTATCATTAGTTTTTTCGCTTTGCTAGCGAATGTCTCGTCATTGTACCAAGATGTGGCGAACTTTTTTGACATCTCGAACGATTTACTTTCATCGAAAAATTATTTCCTGCCAGGATCATCTGAAACCAAAAATTCGACATATTTCTCAAAGGTTATATCCTTGGTTAGTGATTGATCGAAGGAAAAGAACAAAAAATTAAATTTGATGAATTGATAAGCTTCAAAAATTCCTTAACAATATTTTCACATGAAAATATGCAGGCTATGTCGAAGTGCGTATTTCCCTCTTCATCGATGTAATTTAAGTCGTATCTGTTAAAAATTTGAAAAAGCCTAATGACTGGATTTCCAATCATATAAATTGTGTTTAAGCCGAACAACAAGATGCAACGGTGTGATGCAATCCAACTTTGGCCTGCCATTTTCATCGAGTATGGGCTCGTCTTTGTAACCAGTGCGAGCCACTAAATTTACGAATCGTTTTCCTCGATGAAAACTCCACACTGATACGTGAATGGATTCTACGGAATCCATAAGCAGCAATTCAATTTCTTTGGGACAAAACATGTCCCGTAAATTAGCAAGTTGGACCTTCTCACTAATGATCATTCGATCGAGTTCAAATAGAAATCGAGCTGATCTCTTAATTAAACTTTTTTTCGTAACCTCATCAAATTATTTAATTTGCTGGACGTAAACATGATTTTCTCGTTCAGCTCTGATCGTTAACTTGAACTCTTTTCTCTATGTCATTAAATTTTCTAAGTTGCAGAACATATGGGGCGAAATTTCTCAAAACTCCTACCGCCTCGGGCAACAGCGTTTTTTAGCGAAATTGCTCAATTTCTAACTCACTCTAAACATGTAGCCGTTCGCTACTAACAATCTCTCTGAGGAGGCTGATAAACTCAGCGAAACGTTAGCGGCAATTTTAATAAACTTTGAGGTTTTTTGTTAATATTCGTGTTTGTTTTTCATTGACGCGTTTCATTGGCAGGAACGTTGAAGTTTGGGTGCCACCTTCACAGCCATTATAAATTATTTAATATACAATGGAAGGTGAAAATAATATATACACTCTAAAAGTACCTAAACGAACCTAAAAAAATACCAACCTGTAATTTCGATAGGAAATTTGCTCAGCTTTTCGATTTCGAGGTCTAATTTTCCGGAATTTTCCATTTTCACCTCGAAAAATGCAAGTAAATTTTCAAACTTGAATATCTGAAAAAGCGTACTTTTTTTGCATTTTTTATTGTTTCAATGGAAAGCTGAGGTTTTTTGCAGAAAATACAGTTGTTTTCAAAGTGTAATATTCATAATTTCTATGAAAGATACGAGCAAACATCCCTAAAAATCGAGTCGATTTCATCTAAACGAGGCATACTGTGTACTTCAAATGGTACCTTCAAATCTCAGCTGCTTCATTACAGAGGAAGAAAATGAACTTGCCGTTGCCAAGCTGGAGCGCGAGCTGAGCATTTGCACCACAACCGTTTCCAGAGTCAACGGATGCCCAGCTGGAATCCATAAAGATTCACGCTAACGGGTCAACCACGGGCAGTAAAACAGTATATGCTCCGCATATTTGTTTTCTGTTGGACAGGGAAGCCAAAAACTCACAATTCGGCTCACCAAGTTTAATGATGCGCTGCCCAACTTGTAGCGAGCATCGACTTGCAGATTGAATAAGTCATATTAATTGTCAATTATTTGTTGAAAATGTTGTTATAATTTACAATAATATATCACGAGTAATTTTTGCTAACATTGCTTATATTGTAACAACTGAAATGTTAATAATATGATATCTTATATATTACTCGTTAAAATTTCAGAAAAGCATTCTTACCTCCTCAATTTTTCTGACATTGATTTCTAATAATTTATAAAACATGTAATTAGTGCGTTTCACGGAATTTTTAATTGTAAAGATTAATGTAACTACAGATATATTTTTAAATAACACATGTAATGATCTAATAGGTTCAATGAGCTTGGCCAACATAGCTTTTTACAGTTGAATATTTAAACATTAGGAAAATTGCTAAAACGGCGTTAATTCATTCAGTTACATTCATTGATTAATGTTTGTACCCAGTATTATAAGAAATGAGCTAAGACTCATATAATTGCATATCGAAATCAAAAATATATCTAGAAAATTGAAAAAATCTTTTATCTCACTTTCAGAATAATGCATGAATAAGGCTTTAAAAAATAACGAACATCTGTAAACTCGGTTGAATACTTTATTGAAATTGCAATAAAAATATTTATTTTCTCAAATTAAAAATGTAATTATATTATTTAAGATTAAAAGAATTATTAGTATAGTTTTTTTTCATACAATTTTCATAATTTTAAAAACCTTTTTTATAATTTTTACATTATTTTTTGGTGAAATTGTTTTTTGATAATGAAAAAATATATCATACTTCAAATCATCGTTAAAATTTATAATTCGTGCTCGGGAGAAATTTGAATTGAATATTTACGCTAAAAATATTTGTTTAACAGAGTAACATTGAGAAAATCCATGGTTCACTGGTATATATATATATGGCTGATAAAGGACCAGAATTAACTGATGACACATCTGCGCCTGGTGGGCGCGGGAAGTTCATCTAATGCACTATTACTGAAAATTAAATATAATTTTAGGTAATGAGATTTAATGAACTATTTTTACAAAATGTATACTTACATTATTTCAATTGATCTATTTTTTATGTATTTTAACTCTCTGGAATTAATATCAATTCCTCTCAAATACAATCTTATAATTTCTAAGTAGTCATTATCATCTACAAGTATATCGTAACTGAAAAAAGATTTAACCGCCCTCACTGTGACATTGTCGGGTATATTGTTTTTTGGAAGATCAAACAATTTATTATATACCTCGGTCACTTTTTGTTCGTCACAACTGTATATCTTTTTATATTCTTCATTATCTTTGTTGGGATATAGGAGATATTCCACGCAAGCTACTTGCAAAATGATATAATTTTTACGATACAGTTTCAATGTCTTCCAATTATCAATTGAAAACACAAGAATCGTATCCTTGAATTTGTTTAATAATTCAGGTGTAATAGGATTTCTGCACAAAGAGCTCCCCACTGACACACGTAGCATATCTGTTAAAATAGTGTTATCTTCTAAATTTTCTTCTTCAATATCGTTGGCTATTAAATATTCTTGTAATTTAATAATAGCTCTCGCATCCCATAGAAAATATGCTGTACCCATTGCAATGAAATTTGCCAACATTTTTTCTTGCACCTAATGCTCAGATACCGATGAAATAATATTTTAGAATTTATTGGAGATTTGATAAATACTAAAAATATGATATTTAAAATAAATTAATTTCTTATAACAATCTAATGTGTGAGATGTTCGAGAATAATCACGGTTCTATCAATACTGACTGATATACAAACTTACACTTGGCCTAATATTAACATCGAATTTACACTCACATACACGAATACAAATACAGCAGTCGAATTATAAAAATATGACAACATACTTTCAGCACTACCCTGTTAAAGTATTTTACAATATGCTTTCGAAAAAATTTTCTAGTCTAGAGTAGATGCATACTCAACGTTGATTTCCCTGTTCTTTTTTTCACAAAGTATAACGTAGTGATGTACTGTAATATGTTAAACTTTTGTTTGTAACAAGATTTGGGGTTGATCGTATCGTATCGCATTTTCATATTCTATGTGAAAAGTGGTCTTGAGGCCTTGGCCACGAGAATATCTGTTTTGCGCACCCACAAATTTCTTGTAATAATTTGTTCCGTTACGAACTCGCAGGCACAATTGAATGTCAGAGGCCCTCGAACAATATCAATCACACATCCACTTATAGACTTCAGCCGTACCGTTTTTTCGATTTTTTTACATGCGATCAGGACTAACCAAAATAAACTTGGCTCGTGCCAAAGACAAACAACTTTAAATTTTTTTGGACAACACAGAGCCTTGAAAAATGACGAAAAAATTTTTTTTCATCTTTTACTCTAAAATCTATAACCTTAAATTTTTTCAGACTTTTTTAAACGAAATGTGTTATTAACATTTAAAGTAGTTTACAAACGTAAAGATCAAATTGTCTTACTTCGTTCAGTTAAAAAAATGGTTTTTGAGCTCATCATAGAGTTTCCTGTTGGAGAAAGCAATAGGGTATACGTGCTCTGTTCTCCTCTACATTCATTCAGAGTTTACTTTATTTAATATGAAAAAAATTAATTAATTTTCTACAAAATTATTTCCATACGTCGCTAGGCTTCATATTTATTCATAAAAACAAATGCACAATGAATGTTTATTACTAGATAATATTGAATATTCAATTCAGTAAGCACAAGAATGATTTCAACTTCAATTTGGCTAAAATCCACGAAGACGCTCGCGCGCTTCGATGGCATTCCATCAAAAATTGTCAATCAATTAAATTGTTTAAAAGAGTTGTATGAAATTATGTGCCCTGCGTGTATACTCCAGTCAACATGTGCAAATTAAAGTTTACTCATGAGACTAACCAAAGCAAAGCTCGATAGCTGCTAAACGCGCATCAACATGTCTGGAAAAGCTCACCCACTTATTATTGATAAAACAAGTAAGCGCGTAGCGACCGATCTCGGATGAGTTTCGCACGAGCTCGGAGCTAGTCATCGCCCATCGGGAATCTAGCTGCTCGAAATTCCAGTAAAAATTCAAACTATTGGATCCCCAAAAGAAAAATACCAAATCACGAAATGAGCCGTCCTACTCGTACCATGCGCGACATGTATAAATCTAGCTTGGTCAATAAGCAACGGCCCAAAAGCGTAAGTACAACGCATTGCTCAGACCATTTACGGATGAATATATTTGAGTAATTATATAAACATTCGATGCAATTAAACGCAGGTGGGAAGATTGCGCGGCAGGTACCTATTCCGAGCGATCGTGAGGCTCGTGATCGAGTACAAGGAATGGCTGTACGAGGATCAAGCGCAGCACATGGACTCGAAGCTCGACGAAGGCGGCGACGGCGGCGAAATCGGCGTCAACGTCATGTCGCGCAAACACGCGCGCAAAGACAATCAAGAGTTCACCGCCAAGGTACGTCATTATAGACTATAAAATAAAATCGAGTTCAGTCTCTCGACACTTTTGCCGATGAATTTTTCGTTTCGTTTCTCTCCCTGCAGGACCGTTCGATTCTACTCATTCCACCGGACAAGAGGTCGAAGGAAGAAGCCGCCCACTTGGAGTGCTTGACGCGCGACTTGAAGGCCTTCAAAAAGTACCCCGAGGACGTGCGCGACGCGTTGGCGCGCGAGTGCACCTACCAGTACGTACCTGCGGGCAGGACGATCGTCAGGCAGGGTCACAAGGCCTACACGATGTACTTCGTCGTCAGGGGAGAGCTGGAAATTTTCATGGACGTCGTGGACGAGAAAACCGGTAAATCAAGGCTAAACTTCGCCGAATGAAATAAACGCGCAACACGATGAAGTCTTGAGAATAAAAATTGCGTGTCTGGTTAATTCAGGTGAAGTCACGGGTCAGAACGAGGTTGGATTGCTGCAACCCGGCGACATGATCGGTGAAATCGCTCTTCTGCACAATATTCGACGATCCGCCACGGTGATCAGCAAAAGTAGGGCGCAACAAAAAAAATGATCGTTCTATCTTTATTCCTTGAACTCATCGCTGTCCTTAACAGCTTCGGTGGATCTGCTGCTAATCACGAGGTCGCTGTTTCGCGAGTACCTGAGAGACATTCTGATGAATCAGTGGGACCAACTGCACGACGTCCTGCTCAATTTCAATTACTTCAAGGGCTGGAGCGAGAAGACCATGCGAGAGTGCTGGATCGTCAGCAAAGTCGTCAACTACGACACGAACGACGTAAGTCGATTTCGATCTTTCGACACAGTAATCCTCTACAACCCGTATGAATAAAATTTAATTTTTTTTGTCCATCAATCATCACAGATACTGCTGGGTGATGGCAAGGGTATGGTTCACTACGTGTACTTCGTAATATCCGGAGAGTGCAGATTGATCGAGCACATGCTGGTCGAAAAATACTATCTGAGGAACAAAGTCAAGTACAAATTGTTCGATAGCTCGACGATGGAGAGAAATCCGCGTCGCAGAGCGAGCAGAAGCAGAAGAATCGTCGCTTCCGACGACGATTTGAGCTCGTTGAATTTGGACACCGACAAGGTATTTGTTGCGAGTGCAGTTGTGTGTATGATTTTTTACATACCAGCGGCCCGAAAATAGCATTTCCCTATCGCTGCGCTAAACGGGATATTGCTATTTACGGGCCCGGGGTATGTAAAATCGTATACTGGCCTAGGGCAGTAATATACTATTCCTTCGTTTTGTACTGCATGACTCTTTTCTCGTCCCGCACAGCGCGACGAGACACCCGACTTCATGAAAATACTTGAAAAAAAGAAAAAAGCCGTAAATCATGTCGCCATGGATCGCATAAGCGTCATCACCGTGACGCTCCAAGACGTCGTAAGTCAAAGTTATCATTTCGACAATGTTCTTTTTTAATATTTAACGCCTTAATTATAAATGACTCGATTTTTCTGTGTTTTTTTAGTTGAACCAATGGCACGAAATAACTGATGTCGTAGAGATGCTGATCAAGCAGCCGTCGACGGCGAGTATGCAGGATTATCCGGAAAACGTCAAGACCGTGTTCATGCAGATCGGGATGTTTTATCGCGGCGCTTGCTTTGGTTTAGGCAAGCTTCTTTGTTGACTTGTACCGCCTCTCATTACTCTATCATGTAATTTTTCGATTTTGTGCGCGCAGGCGAAACGATGAGAAATCGTCGGATCATCGCAACGACGCCGGTCAAGTGTCTGCTGATACCGAATTTCTGGCTCACGCAGCACAATCGGGCCAACATCTGGGACAGAGTCAAGAGTTTCCTGAACTCCAAGTATCCCAGCAACAAGGAACTGCTCCAAAAGTACGTGGAGAATAAAAAGTGGGCCGGGTACAAGCAGGACTACGTGAAAGAGCTCATGAAGAACGGCCGACAGATACCTCTGGATACGAAACTCTACGATGTTCCGTACTCGATTAGAATCAATGCCATATCCACGGATTAGTAGTCGCGTTGAGATTCGTTTCTTCTTCGCAACAAAAAAAAAGTAACGAATACTATGTAGAAATTTACTTTAATATAAAAACAAAAAATATTTACAATTTTATTATATGTTACATGACAATTTGTACAGAAATACATGATCTATTTCATTATATAATTTGTTCGCGTTTTCTACTATTCTAATTCTATCGGTAGGCTTAAAACATAATAAATTCAGCGATAAAAATCACTCGGGCGTGTATCCTATACACCCGTAAGTATAGAATTGAACATTCGCGCGTAAAAAATTGATTTTATTTACCGAGCATCATTATGTCATTGAAAACCCGTAAATTCTCAACGAGACAACACAGAATACAAAAAAACACATTCATTTACAAACACATAACTTACATTTAAGTAGCAATTAGTCATTTTTAACGACTCGAACAATGAGAAAGAACTGTAGTACATTCAAAGCCCTATGTGATTGTTTAATGGCAGTATAACGACGCGAGCCTGGTTTTCTGTACCATTGCTCGTTGTTTATACAATTCGAAATAATCACAAGTATTAGACATCTCAGAAAAATTATCGTACCACACGTTCGAGCTTATAAATTCAAAATTTTAGCAAGCATCGCAAATGGCACAAAAATGGATTTCGAAACGTTACTTCCAGCGAGTATGTAGGTATCCTATATTATTTTGTTACAACGTAACAAAATTACTCAAAAAAACTCTTCATAAATTCATCCTTACATTTTAAAAAAATTACTTTCTAACTTCACATAATCTCACAACTGACAGATTCGCTCAAATAAAAATTATAATTCATTCAACTCTCACTCGATTCGCCTTATTCTAGTATATCAGTTTTTCGAGCCTCAGCCCATATATAACTCGGATTCAAAAAGTTCTTGTCCACTGAGCTGTCCTTGAGAAAATCAGTTTTCTGCTGCGGCATATTGACGTAATTGTCCTGCGTGTGTATTATCACTCCTGGCATATCGATCTCGTCGAGATTTCGATAATGTTGCTGTGGCTGCTGCTGTTGCTGCTGCCGCCGCTGCGCTGGCTGTGGCCTCAATTCGTGAACCTTGACGTCGACCAGCTCGAAATTCTTGGGCGTATTGCAATAGCCCGAGTCGCGATCGTATGCCGTTCGTTCTCTGCTCTTTTCTTCCTCCTGCTGCTTGACGAAGTTCTCGCGTTTCTTCTTCACATCGATCGGCTTGAGGTAGTTGTCCGCGTCGAGCTCCTCCTCGGGATCCTCGACTTTTCGCAGCATCGGCGCCGCCTCTTCGTTGTCCGAATGCGAATTGGTGGTGGTGTTGTGGCGCGACGACGAAGTATTGGGAAAATCGAAGCGTGGATTGTAGGGCGACGAGGACGAGGACGCGTCGCCTCTGGGACTGCCGAATACGCCCGACGTGTCGTCGCTGGGGCTGCGGGTCGTAGGCGCGTCCGAAAGTACGTTGGGACAATTGACGTAGTCGTGATTCGGCGAGGCGAGAAGCGAATGATCCGGGGAGGCCATCATGGTCAAGTAGTCCTTGTTGTCCTCTTGATTCGTCGCGTTCAAGTCCATGTACGGCGAGTTCATCTCGATGTACTCCTAAACGAACGAATAGCAATTGATTAAACTTATGCATTACGTAAAATGAACAACGAAAATGATGATCAAGTGTCGTCGACCATTACCTGCTTGATACGTTCATCCATGAGATCACCCAAGCTGTCGACTAATTCCGAGAACGACGGCCTGAGAACCGGCTTCGATCTCCAACACCTTTTCATAATCGAATATCTGCAAAGAAAGAGAGCATAAAGTGAGATAGAAGTAATCAAAAAGGACACCGATCGAGGTCATCTAGGGCATTCAAACTTACACATCTTCGGTGGCGTATTTGGGTCGCTCCATTCTGTAGCCCTCGATGAGCTTTTGGTACTGCTTCTCCGCCTGCATGCCCGGATAGGGGGTCTCGGCGAGCGAGAAGAACTCCCAGAGGACGATGCCAAACGACCAGATGTCCGACTGGGTCGAGAAGACGCGATCGCGTATCGACTCGATGGCCATCCACTTGATCGGCACCGGGCCGTCGCTCTTCTTCTGATAATTCTCGTCCTTGTACATGGACTTGGCCAGGCCGAAGTCGCAGATCTTGACGACGTTGTTCTCGGCCAGGAGGATGTTGCGGGCCGCCAAGTCGCCGTGCAGCACCTTGCGCTTGCACAGATACTCCATGCCGCGCGCCACCTGGAACGCCCAGAGCAGCAGGTCCTGCGTGCAGATGGGCTTGACGTTGCGCTCCTTGTAGTCGCCCTGATAGTTGGTGCTCCACTCGGGCTGCTGCTGCTGCGAGCCCACCGAGTCCACCAGGCCGTCGTTGACGTTGCCGCCGCCGATTCCGGCGACGTCCTCCGTGTCGGCGACGTAGGTGACGGCCTCGCTGTAGCCCGTCCTGTTGCCGCCGCTCGTCGTCATGAGCGTCGTCGAGGCCGTGGTCTGCTGGTTGGCCGATTGGCCGCTCACGCTACGAGCAAACGACAAAGCGGCGTACTTTACCTTGCTGCTCGGCCGCGAAACAAATAATACACAGAGAATTTTTTTTAGTTGCTTAGTACGGCGTATAGTTCGTATTAGTCACATTAGACATTTTTTGTTAATGTATTTTGTGTGAAAATTAGACATGTGCAAGCGAGAGATGGTCTTTTTTTTCAATCAAGATTTACCTGTTGCGTGTGCTGCTACGAGCGTTGCAGATGATGTCGTAACCGATATCGGGATCGATGTCACCGGTATTGGGATCGATCTGATCGATGAAATCGTCCCGGTGCTTCAGCAGATAATTGTGCAGATTGCCGTAGCGGCAATACTCCACGATTACCAACAACTCGCGCTTGGCAATGTTGTTCGTGCAGGCGCCCAGAAGATTGACGACGTTCAGATGCTTGCCCAGGTGCACCATGATCTTGAGCTCGCTGGCCAGGGCGCGTATGTAGGCGGGCTCGGCGTTGCGGCGCACCATCTTCACGGCCACCGTCGAGACGGACTCTTCGGGCAGGATGCCCCGGGCCTGGGCCTTGATCACGACGCCGAAGGCTCCACTGCCGAGCTGCTTGCCCAGCTTCAGATTGCTGCGCGGGAACTCGAATTTTCGATCGTACGGCAGGAGCTCGGCTTGATCGTCGATCGTCAGTTCGGGATTGATGCAGTCCAGGGCGCCCTCCTCGAAGTAGATCAGGCCGTCCTCCATCAGCTGTTTGCGCATCGTTTTTTCCTTCTTGATCTTGATGCAGAAGTAGGTCATCAGACCGATCAACAGCAGCACCAGAATCACGATGGCGATTATCCAAGCCAGTGACACACGAGGACCTGTAAACAAGATATCATCGTGATTACTTTGAACCTGAAGATCGTTAATCTTCTCTTGCTAATTGCCATCGAACCAAGAAATAATCTTAACTTCAATGGATTTAACAAAAATAACACACAAGTTTTGCTTCAAGCGAGTGTGAACAAACAACCGAATGAACGTTAAATAAACGATCAACCAATATAAAAATTTATGCGAACGAACAGATTTCTTGATGCATATCTTACCTTTGACCATGAACGTTTGGAACTGTTCTACCTGGCCGAATCGATTTTGGGCGATGCACGAATATTTGCCGCTATTCTTCTCCATGAGATACTTGATGGTCAACGTCTGATTGTCTTGATCGAGCGAGAATTGATCGTTGATTTTCAGCGGTTTACCGTCCTTGAAAAAAAACCAACCAAATCAGTGACGAAAATTCAATATTAAAAAGATAAATGCCTCTTTGATAAAATGTCTTTGCTTACCTTGAACCAAGTCACTTGCGGTACGGGTAGTCCGTCCACGCGGCAAATGAGGTATCGGACCTTGTGCGCCTCCTTGGCCGAGACGACCGTCTCCGTGCCGTTCATGTTGACGGACTTGAATCTCGGCGCCGAGGGCTCGCTGACGCGCAGATGATAGACCGTGTACTCGGCCTCGTTGTCGGGCGTCAGGGCGCGACAGTGAAACTCGGCCTCGTCCGCGTAGGTCAGATTGGCCAGGGTCAAGTGGCTGCGATGCGTGTACGCCGAGTCCTCGAAGGTCAGTCGCAGCTTGGCCGACTGGACGAGCGGATGATTGTTGGCGTCGAGCCACTCGACGCTCGAGAAATTGTAACTGGACGCGACGCAGGTGACGCGCAGCTCGTCGCCGATCGTCACGTTGTCCTCGGGCTCGAGGATCGTGAAGGCGTTGTTGCGCAGATCCGTGTCCGAGACGAGGACGTCCTGGAGGGCCGAGTCGCAGCCGTACTCGTTGCAGGCCGTGCAATTGATCAGGCCCGACTGGGAGACTCGGAGCTCGGTCTTGGCGTCGACGCGCGGCGGATTGCGATCGTCCACGATCTCGGTCTCGAGCTGGTCGCGCTCGCAGTCGACGAGCTGCGGATAGTGCGGACACTTGGTGTAGTACCAGCTGATCTCGGGCAGGGGATTGCCCACGACGTTGCAGTAGAACTCGGCCGGCTCGTCGATCACGTAGTACGGCTTGACGCTGTGGCCGATCACCGCCCATGGCTTGGCTGTAATGATTGCAGAAATGAGATTACATTTCGATCGATGGTACAAATAATAGAGACACGTACCCAAAACGTTGAGAGTGAAGTTCAAGGTTTTCGTCTGTTGATCGTTGTAAGCTTGCACGTGGTAAGTTCCCATGTCTTCTATCTGAACGCTGGGTATTTTCAGGGACGTCATAGAGCCGCTATTGGTCACTTGTATTCTTTGCAAAGTCGACGCGTTCTTGCCGTCCGGAGTGAACCTGCGCACCAATAAAATAATATGACAATTTTGCAAGTTTCGTTGTACAAAAACTTTTATATTGAATAATATGTATACGAACCACGTGATCACTGGCTCGGGATAGGCTTCCACCTCGATCGTGAAGCTGACCGGCTGATAAGTCTTGACGTTGAATTCTCGGCTGTCGGTGTATTTGAGTCGAAGGAACGTGTGACTCGGATCTGTGTGATTGACGAAAATTGAAAAAACGATTAAAAATCAAAATACCGTGCGGGTAAATCGTATATATTATGTAGCTGAAAAGATCGATTGTACGAACCGTGAACGTTGATGTATCTCTGGGTCTCGACAGTTTCTTTTCTCGTTACGACTCGGCAAATGTACTCGCCGTCGTCGTCCTCGGTCACGTTGTTCTCGATCAGCTCCGATATGACGAGCTTGTTGTGGTTGCCCTCGAATATCTCCACCGGGTCCACGATCATCCTCGAAGCCTGTATAAATCAACGAGGAACGAAATATCATTAATTTCAACGCGTTACAATTTTATATTATAATATCTTTAATAAACGGGTCGATCTATCTTACCGAAGTTCTCGGAGTGACCCAGTGGAATTCGTAGCGCAAGTCGGTGCCGATCACGATCTGACACTTGACGCTGAGCCTCGAGCCCTTGGTCACGTGCTCCAGGCCGGAGGAGAGAATTTCCGGCTTCTTGAGGCCCGTGGGTGTGGTCACTATGATCGTACCCTCGTAAGTGGCCACCTCGCCGTCGTCTTTTCGAATCGAGCAGACGAACGTTCCCGTGTCCTCGGCCGACAAATTTTTCACGATGAAGCCGACCTTCGGGTCGAACTTGACGTTCTCGTCCATAGTGATGTCCTGCGCGAAACGCCAATTGAATTAACACGATCGATTAGTTTGATGATGAAAAAACAATGCAAATGATGTACTTACTCTGTCGTTGATCGACAGGTCCACATGGTAATGGGGCAGCGTCGGCCGACACGGCAAGTGCAGCGGCTCGTTGGCCGGGGCAAATATCGGCGTCAGTACATCCATCTCCTCGTGAACGAAGACGGTGTCGTTCGCTGCGCAAACGAATAGAAAGAGCAAAATTTATCATCGTTGCAAGGTGCAAAGTGTGAATGCGTTAGTGAAAAAAAAAAAACTCCGGATCCTTATACTCACATCTGACGTAAACGTAGATCCAACTGGCGTTCGGGTCGTTGTAATCGCGATGCCAGCGGTCGAACTGCATTTTCGTGTGGGCGCAACCGTACCAGCCGGTGTCGCCGTAACGGACAGAGGGTCTGATGAATTTGATCGTGTTGGTGCCGTCTGCTTCATTGAACACGGGCCTACCCTCGTGTTGGATCGACGTTTTAAGCTGTTCGGAACGATTTTTATTATTATCGACATAACTCGTGATATGTGGGACGTACTGTTTTTTTTCATCGATCGCTAGGATCGACTTACCGTATCGTCCTCTTCTGGATAGTGAAAATCCATCTCGTAGGTTGCCGTGCACACGATTTCCAGTGACTCGTGCTCGTTGATTATCATTTCGGGTACGTTCGGATGGATGACCGGTTTGTGCGCTTCGCATACTACATGAACGATACAAAAAAGTAAATAAACATTTTTTTATATATAGTTTCATCTATCAATAGCTTGTAATTGATGCTCAAGTTTCACCGATCGAGACAATTTAAGATTCGTATTAAAAGCAATCGCTTATCGAGGATTATAATATTCGAGTTATTTTATCGAGCTTAGAAGCAATTTGATCTATACAGATTGTAGCGTGCATATCTTTAGGTTTTTGTAATATTTATGCGCAGTCCATAGCCACGCGATCATTTACGATCATTTAGCCTCAATTAAAAATAATCTTTCTCGATGTCATTTGAAATTTTCTCGACGCTTCATAGGGCATGATAAATCGCATCAGAAAATTATACCCAAACCATCTTAGGCAACCTTTGTCTATTTTAACTGCACTTTTGAAGCATCATTCATAGGCAAAGTCGTCAATCGGGATAAAATAAACAACAATTGACATTGTAAAGAATGCATACCCGCAGGCATTAACGTATCAATTTACATACGTAGGTACATTTTCAAATTCGGAGTCAAAGCGAAAGCGAAAAAAGCTTGCATCAACGTTGATTGAATTTAATTCAAATCGGTGGAATAGCCTGAATTTTCACCTCCACATACCCCTCATTTAAACGCATCATCGAGTGCGAATATGAGTTAAGTTAGATTTCAATTTTTGGCGCGGTCAAAAGATAAATGTATGTACGTGATGCTCAACTTGAGTAAAGGTGTGCATGAACGGCGCTTACGATGTATCCACAAAATACCATCAAAGCACGTCGACTTTGGAGTAAGATAACGATAACGAAAAAAAAGGGAATGCCCCGAATTATGCGGAAATGTCACAATTAGACAAATCTATTATCGCTACATTATATTTTTGACGAGCAGCACACGACGATGGACGCATGGCGCAGAAAGTCCAATCTTTCCTGCGATTGGCATAGATATGCTAAACGCGCAGTACACATGCTAATATGCGTATTCTTTTCGAAACGGTTCATTTTCTAGTATATCCTACAGCAGACACACATTACATTTTAAGGCGTGTTGCTGTATATGCGCGATAAGGATTGCCTTTATCTTTTACTCCTCGACACATTCTTCCTGTTGTGCGTACGCAGATCAGTTCAACTAACTTTCATACAACTATCGTTGCTGGTCTATGAGTATATCGCGAGATTTGAACCATCAACTTTTTATTTGCGGGTGAATATTATTTAATCGCATCCGCGCGAACTATTATCAAAATTTTCTGTTAACCGCTCGATCGCGGTGGCTTAGAGAAGACGTGACGATGCGCCACGCGCGGCCACGAATAAGAATACAAATTCATCGGTCGATCGAAGGACATATTTATAGCATCAAGTGTCGAAATATAATCGGCATGACATATGCAGTATAGCATAATAATTGCCCAATGCGAAAGTTTCGTTTGGGAATTCTGCAAGGTCCCTCCGACTCGTGTATTCGCGTGCGATGACATTACCCATCTCGACTCTTGCGAAATGGATGCTGATAATTTTATCCAATTTGACCCGCGCGCGCATCGCTTCGATAGTGTAAAAACCGAAAAATTTTAATGAATTCCCTCGACGATCGGCGAACGAGTTGAATATTAAATTTTGGCAATCGGTTAGTTTTACGGGGGAAAATACACTTCGACGCTTATGCGTTATGCGCTTCGACGCTCTACAATAACACGACCGGATCGTAGATCGTATCATTATATTTATGTAAATTGTGACGATCGAGATAAGAGGAGCGATCGAACGCGCTCGCGACTTGGATATCGATAAACCGGACGAAAAAACGTCTATACGATTTCAAATATACAATATATAAAAGTCGATCAAATAGAGGCTGCTTTTATAATATGCCCGCTGTGCATCGAGGCGATAAAATTCGATCGGAATCTCGCAGCGAACGTAAGATATAATTTTATATTGTTGATTCGCAGAATTTTAAGAATGACGATGAATGAACGTGTGTATTTTCATAAACAATTATGCCACATAATATTATGCATCGTAATTGACCGTGAATGCTGCAATTGGAACTTGGCGCACGTATAGTGCAATAAAAACTAGTGCGCCTTTTGATTAATTCCGATTCCGCGGATCGATTCCGAATCAATTATCGGAAAGCTAAGCGCGCGACATGGCTTAACGCTAAGCGTGGGAGTAATTTTTATCGGCATAACTCGCGCGCGCACGTGTAATTCCGCGAGTGCGTGTGTATATAATACTTATTATAAAACGATAATTCGCTGTCAATACCGGAAGCATTATCCAAATATCGGTCTCATAATGTACACGACGAATGATTGACTCGAAAATCACACCTTAGCTCGAGACTAATATTTTTTGTTCGAGGAGGGGACGTCGCGATGATTTTTGGAGTCAACGTTTCTGCGAACATTGCATTATAGCGTACAATAGTGTAAGGCACGTACACTACACGCGAAGTTTCGAAAGTGCGTAATACACCAAAATGGAAAAGCCGGGCATATCATGTTCGACATAATATATAAGTAAGCGCGTCGCGCGTGTGACGGCCGCGTTGTGTGTACTCGCGCGCGTATACATGTATTCCTCTCTCTCTCATCAGGTGCGTGATTCATACTGAAATTTATCTCGCTCGTTTCAGAAAAATACTGCCTGTCTGTGTGTATAATGGTTTATCCGTGCGCGCGCGCGCGCCTACCTCGTCGCCGTGAGATATCTAAACTATGAGTACGTTATTATTACATGTCTCGATCCGTGCGGTGTCTAATAAGTCAATTTCACGAAACTATCCCGGGATATATAATGTGTGTGTGTGTGTGTGTGTGTGTAGAATATTAGGCATCGCGTTTGTATTTTAATTAATTCGACTTTGACACACACACACACACTCGGACACACGCGCGTGTGCGCACATGCCGATGTCATCGGTATTTTAATGAGCCTTTTCGTTTCCTTCTTGTTTCCTATTATTCTCTTTTCGACTTTTCACGTTTTCAAAAAACGGATTTTTATTGTACATCGGCGCGAATAGAAGAAGAATGCAAAGGTGCACGCAAGGCTAAAAACTATACGCGATTTTACGACGCGGTACCGTATATAACATATATACAAAACGCAGTCATGCACTGACACACGCGCGCGCGCATATTATTTACGAGAGAAACCTCTCGCGCGCGAGTAACCGGTTTCGCTGGCTGCGCGAAGGGCTGGCCGCTGACGTCACCTTTCCAATATTAAACATCTTGACTCGCGCGCGTCTCAATATCCTTACTTCCTCTCGAAATGTCGCGCTCGCGGCCATCGTGAGCAAAGCGGAACCATCATCCGCTTATACACAGAGGTGTATAATAAGAAATTACGTGGCTCGCATTTGTACCTATGTACGTATAGTAGTAACTATTCTGCACTGTATATCGCAAACACACGTGTGCGGATAGCGATCGTTATTGTTATTATTCGACGCAGTCGTCGTCGCGTGCAATTATGCAAAGAGAATCAAAGCGCGAACGAGCCTCGTCGGGCGTGTTCCCCGCACATGTGTGTATGCGTGCGCGTAATAGGTATGCTGCCTGCAGTGCTCATCGCGGCCGCGAGCACGCGCCCGTGCAGTGCAATTCGTGCGCTCTATACATACAAGTACAGTTGTGCCGCCGCTTCTCTTACCTGTTGGTATCGAGAACGTCAAAGTCAGGCCCAAGAGCAGCAGCAACAGCTGCCGCTGCCGCGGCCGTTTCTCCTCCGAATTCATCGTGACTCCTTTGCAGGGTTTTTTTCGTCTTTGTCCTTGCGTCGATGGTTCGCTCTCTCTCTCTCTCTCTCTCCGGCTTGGGTTTATTATTTTCTAAAACTTTCCAATCCGACACATGACAGTCTCTGAATCAGCGCCCACGAGTGGCTGCACTTTTTATTCTAGCACACTGCACTCGCTTACTCCTTGCGGAGCATCTCTCTTTTATTTATGTCAGTTATACCGCGCACTGGTGCACCTTTGTATTGTTGTTTTTGGTACGTATTCGCGAATAAATAGTAAAATGTCGTATATTCCTTGCGTCTCGGCACGCGGCCTTCGACTGACTGACTGCGACTGTGACTCTCCGCGCGTATAACATACACGCACGGCTTATACACCGCAGAGCTCACTGTTTGTATTCTCGTATGTGTGTGTGTGTGTGTGTGTGTGAACTCACACACATGGACGAGCATTACCGACTCTTCCACTTTGAGAGAGGAGCACATACACGAGAGCCGATACACGAGTCCCCACTTTCGAGACCCGAGACGCGATCGCCGCGCTTTTTCGACACGATCGTTCGTTGCCGATCCACGCCTCGGCTATGTACAAAAAATAAACACGCGATCGGTGCATCTCGCGCCCAAACGAATAGTCGCGGGTAATTTTATACGCTATTGCATTACCGATTCGTTTTGAGCATCGATAAAGACTAAATGCAGCGTGTCAACGAGCCGAGATAACAAGGGTATAATAGAGAAAAAAGAGATACACTTGTCCCCCGAGGGGGAAGCATCAGTCTAAATAAACATAGAGACAAGTGCGGGCGCGCGCGATAAGCAATTGTACGCTGCGCTGTCGAGCATACGTATATATTACAAGTATAAGCGCCGCGAACCCTGTCGAATCAAAGTTTTTCTTTTTTTTTCTTTTATCGCGCAGTAGTCGTCGCGAGAAGATACCAATTGGCGTCGTCGCGTTCATAATAGCGTTATTACTTACGGATTTTCGAGCTCCTACCGATTAATGTATATAGATCGATCGCGACAAGTGGATAGCAATAGATAGGCCTTACAGAGGCATGAGACGCTATTTTTCATTTCAACGCTTGGAATACATAATAATTGAAAGTTCATCGATGAAAGTAGGCTTGTATGTATAGCTGTGTCAATGACAAACTAGCGTGCGGACACGCGTGCGAGTATATAGCTCTATCTCCGGTTCGAATCTGTATATACCCGCAGTTATTATTATGAGCAAATAATCACGCTAATTATGACTACACGCGCCTAAAATTGGTCCAGTAACGAGATCATTTCGCTATCATCCCAAAATTATTGAATCATTAATTTTTCCCCCGTACATATTTTTTCCCCGACTCATGAAAGCAGCTTGCGTAAATAAATCGATCAACGATTTATACATACGATAGTTTTATATAGCCATGCAGATCATGGGTTTATACGCGCGCGCAGATGGCACTATTCAGTCGAAGCTCGATTCAGCAGCCGCAGCATAACATGCAGGCTTGGAATATTTATTATATACGGTTCTTCCCGCATCTCTGCCAAGTATCTATATCACACCGCTGCTGCGCTTCTGCTTCGTATTCTTCGTCAAAGCGATTTTAGATGTGAGAAATTCTCGAGAGAGCGAGAAAGAGACGCTTGCGGCAAGGCGTAAATCCCGTTAGCGCGTGAAACAACAAACTTCCGAAATCACGGGCGTAAACCCTTGAGTCATTGTTTGATAGGCTATTTTCGGAAGTAGTGCTCCGAGTGAAAAGGAATATATATACTTTGCTCGCTGGCCCGTGGTGCGACAAAAAAAACCTTAAACGTGAAAAGTCATGCTACGCGCTGAGCGAGTTCATGCATATATAGTAATATTTTAATTACGGTGTTTTGAGTTATGCCCTTAAATTCAACGAGGCCGTGGAGTAATTGACAGAAATCGCGGTCGTACAAATTTGAATGCTTTTAAAAGGCATTCCCAATCGTGTTACGATTCAAACTTGTGGAATTTTTCAAATATATTCATTTTAAAACTTTGCCAACAGACCGTAGAGAAAGGAAGCATTTCCTTTTGCACGATAAGCGCTATTATTATACTCTTGCTTATCGACTGTACAAAACCGTGTTTACGAACAAAATAATGTTTGCCCCCACCGCAGTCGTTCTAACGTATCGCCAACTTTTTTTCATGATTTAATGTGAACTCTGACTTTTTTTTTGGCACAAATCAAATCTCGTTTTTAAATTTATCTGCCATAATTGGACGTTTCTCTGAATAATTATTATGTAACTTAATTACTTGAGACTGTAATGAATTTAACTCACGATTTAATTCAGGACAAAAAAAGAAAGATTTTAACAAACGTAAAAGTAGTTCGTTTTCATTTCTTTAAAAAAGAAAATAAAACAATGAAAAACATTCAGTATCACTGCTCAAGGTAAACGTCGATAGTTTAGGATTTTTCAACTAAAGTATAAGTGAAATACCATAATCTTTCATTTATAAGAATAACTATAAAAACGTTTCAAAATCATGAAATTATAAAAGCAATCTAAGTGATATAACAATCTTAAGAGTCAATTTTCGTTATTTGATTGAATTCTTATTCCAAATAATTACTTGGTAGTTCTCTTGGAACTGCGTAAATTTATTTGCACCAAAAACTTGTTTATTTATCACGAGTCTTAAAATAAAATCATTACGATGAAGAAGGTCAAGGTAATGCTCATTTAACTAATATATCTGAACAAAAATTTATTTATCGTCATGAACAATAAAATAAGAGTTTCATAATACATAAATGCACAATGAGTTTCATTGATTCAGTACAAAGTCTTAATTCATCTATAGGCTTAAAACAAGATCGCTGCACCATTTTAACTATACATATGGACCACCATTTAATACATCAATATTTGTTTGCTACAATTTTTCAAGCTAAGCTTCTAATTTAATGAAAAGTATTAATTGAACACTACCAGTATAATTAACATAAATTCGTTTGCTGTCATGTTCGTAAAATAAAGATAAAAAGGATGAGCGTTTTTCAAGTGATATCAGTCGCGTCTGTGTGACAATTTTGTTTTTGAAAACCATCGTGATACGAGGTATCTTACGGAAAATTTGTATAATTTGAGAATGGAATTTGTATACATTTTTTGATACTAAACCAAACGCTAGAAAATATTTGAATGGTCTATTTTTAGCAAAATGACACTTATTTTCCAAAATTATAAATTTACAATAGATTGTAAATTAACTCAAATATTGCTTTTCATAATGTGCGTTAGTATTTTAATTGATTTTTTAATTTTTTTTAAGAGCGACGTCTTTATTTAAAATAAAAGCAAAAATTTTCAAGTTTTCTTTGAAATTTATATTCAGTATTTTTCAGTACAAAAAATTAAGCATCTTCAAGAGAACATTAATATGAAACCACTTTCAATTTTGAAAAATCTTGAATAAAAATCGCATGATTAAAATTTGAAAATTTTCATTTTTACCTAGTCTTTGGCATATGCCCGATTCTATTGCCAGTTCTATGTGCTTTTTTTGATAATGCAATGTATTTTTAAGCATTCTATACTTTTGTACAAAATCGTTTTAATTAATTTGATTCTATAAAAGTGCATAAGTTATATGGCCAACTAACTTATACAAGTTATCTTATTTTAGTATTACAGTTTAATCAATACTTTTAAGGTCACTAGAGGGTGAGAAAACCCAACGATTTTTTGACACTAGAAGTCTCTGGTAGAGAAATAGCCCATTTTCTCAATCCTGTGAGCAATACTGAACTTGTGACAAGAATTGCTCCACCAATTGAAAATTTATTTGGTATTTCATTGAAAAATAGTATTTCCCAAAAAAATGCAAAAACAATATCTGCTGACCTGGCAATGGCGACTGGCCCAGCCTGTTCCATCTGAAGTGCCAATGTTAATAGTATTTGTCCTCCAAAACTAAAAAGAGCTAGAGCAACTATTAACAATCTGCAATAGTAAAACAATTTATAGAATCAATAAAAGTCATTCCATGAAATTAGTATTATTTTTACCTTTCTTTTCCGCATTGAGGCAAGCACAAAGCTCCAATAGCCCAAGAAACTAAAACAGTTTGAACTAAAGCAAAAGATCCAAAATTGGTCATTATAACAGAGAAGTGCAGCCCTTTCAAAGCCCTTAAAAGGACATATGCATTAGCCCCAAATAAGGTGGCAGAAAGAGCTGCCATTGCACCCCATAAATCCTCTTGCTCAGTATCTATATTACTATCTGTCAAAGAATTCACAGTTTTACCAAATATAATTGGTGGACGGGTAATCAATACAACACCTATGAGTGTCAAGCATATTGTAACTACATTGAACAGACCACATGGCTCTTTTAAAAATATTCTGGCAAATATTGCTACAAATACTGGTACTGAAAAGACAATTACAGATGCATCTGCCAAAGGCATGTGTCTAAAAGCATAAAAGCTTAACATTAGCCCCGTAGCTCCTATAAAACTTCTTAAGATTAACATGAGACGTCTTCCTTTAGGAAAAGGATGAGCCCCTTTGTATATAACAATTGGAATTGCTGGTAATAAAACTCCTACAAATCTGAAGGCAGCTAACTCCATAGGATTTATCTGTAAATTACAATTATTTATTCTTTTAATTCATGGAACTAGCTCAATTATTTCAAAATTACCAATTATCTTTGAATACGTTATACTTACATTTACTAAATATTTAACAATGACACTACATAATGAAAAAAACAAGGATGATACTGTAGCTAAGATAAGGCCAAGATAAGGACATGTTTTGCACTTTGGTAAAGAAATATTACTTTGTCGCGGTGGATTTTGGCACTCTATATCCGCGTCGACTAGATGCTGCAATTCTACGTTTTCTGGCATATCTGAAATTACAAATACGAGTTTCAGCTCTTCATCGACAATCCACTTGACATGTATGTCACGGCAACACTTACTGCAATTGTGATATGTAATATCACAGGTATACGACTAGAATCTTTGCGAAGTGGACGAATTACGAATCCATCAATTTTTGTTTCATTAGCCCGCGATGCAGTTTTCATTGATCAAACGGAAAAACGTGAAATAAATTGAAGTGCGAGTCGTTTTGCGCTGCACATGACGATGACTTGCATCGAGCAGCACCGCGATACAAGGACTAGAGGTGTAAAAAGAGGCGCGCACCTCATGGCTCGATACGATGTTTGCGCAACTTGGCTAATTAATCGCAAAACATCGTGCGGGTCAGCAAAGTGAAATAGACACCGCCGACGCCGCCACAAGCCACTTCACTTATTATCGTCAAATTGGTGTATTTTTTGCGCTGCCTCGCCGCCGCTGCGGGGAACTGTACTGTAACCAATCAGCTGGAGTCAGCTGGTGCTGCCATTTTATGATGCGCCGTAGTCTTGCGCGCACTAGCAGCAGCACGGCAAAACACAATATTACACCAGCCGCCCAGACCAGTCCGGAATCGAGAATTGCGCTTGACAGTTTTGTACACCGAGGACTGTGAGTGGGAAGACAATCGCACGTCTTGGACGAACGTCGCAAATTTTGATTCCTGTTTCGTTCGCTTCTTAGAGGTGACGCGCGACTGTTATATCTGTTGGGTTTTATCAGTTTTGGTGCTCTTCTATCGCGCATTATGTGAAATTTTTATCGAATTACTGGATACGATATCAATTAGTTGTAGCCAACAAAAATTTGCACTCTGAAGCAGATTGTTGTCATGACTTCATCTGAAAGGTGAGTCATCGAAAAACGTTCAGTGTGTTAAGCAAACGAATGATAAGAAGAGCCCAACGCTCAAATTTAGCTGGGCTATTCTATTTCGTTAAATTTGTATAAGTGTGTCATTATAAGCGTTTTATAATTGTGTTTACACTTTCTAGGTAGCAGAAATTTTCATCATGACGCGTTGGATTTTCATGTTTTTGTTCAATGCTCTTATAGCATTGAGCGGGTGCAGTGACATTACTACTGCTGTTTTTGGCAAAGAATTAGATCGAATGCCAGCAGCTTTTGGAGACTTTAATTCAGATGAATTGACTGATGTGTTTGTGCTCACTAAAGATGCAAAAACTGTGCAGATCATGCTGGCGTACATGGAAGAACCATTGTTAAGACCATCAGAAAAGTATAGTTGCACATTTAATAAAAGCAAAATTACAAGTGTTGTACCTGGTGACTTTGACGGAGATGTTTTCATGGATATTATGATCACTACAGTTAATAAAGCAAATGACACAACATTTATTAATGTTTATATTTTGTGGGGTGGCAAAGATGAATTACAGTGTGCTGATGAAAGCAAACCTTTATTGATAATGGCTCATGAACCATTAGCAATGGATTACAATCAAGATATGATCGTGGACCTTTTTGGGACGGATCAAAATAATGAGAGAATGTTTTGGGTTTTCAATGTCAATAAAACTGCACCAACGCCTATACCAATGAAAGCACCAGCTAAAGGATTAGGTATAAAGACACTTAAATTTTTATAAACATTCAAATAATTATAATGGTATCTAATATAAGAAAAATTTTTTAGGTGAATTGCTACCAATAAAAAAGCCCCATGCCAATGCATTTTTAGATCTAAACCATGATTTTTATGCGGATTTGGTTATTACAACTGAAAAATATTTAGAAATTTGGCATGGTAAAGAAAATGGATTTGAATATTATAAAAAAATACCAACTGATTTTATAGTTGTTGGGCAGTCTCTCTACCTTGATGTAGAACTATTGGGAAGAATGGATTTAGTTTTACCCACATGTGATGATCCCCATTGTTTAAAGTCCAAGATAAAAATTTACACTAATGACAAGTGGTACGATTTACTCGTTGATTTCAAAAGCCCTACAGGGGAAACTTGGGGCTTTGTGGTTGGTAACGGTCAACGTTATACTGATACAATTACAATGAGAGGTGGAGATTTCAATATGGATGGATATCCAGATCTTTTGGCTACTTTGACTTATTTTAACAAAACTCAATCGTTTCTTTTGGAAAATGTTCCATGTGAAACTCTTGGTGGAGCACTTAATAGGACTTTTAAAGTGCGTTGGAATGCATTGTATCCATTTTCAAATGAGAGTGCTATGGCAGTATTTTATGACTTTTACCAAGATGGTAAGATACCATAACTAATGTAATAAATTTCTTTGTTTAACATTTGTTGAATTATAATTATTTTAATTGTTGTAGGTATTTTGGATGTGATATTTGTTCTTAAAGATAAGGATATGTACCAAACAGCTGCTTTTAAAAACAGTTTAGATTATGATGCTAATTTTGTAAAAGTTATGGTTCTTACTGGTCGGACAAACAGTAAGTATCCTATCTCTCCTGGTACTCTTGGACAGAAAAAAAGGACATATGGCACAAATTTACCTGGCCCATCAATTTCTTACAAAACTACTACGCAAGATGGTAATAATCGCCATGCCCTAGCAGCCCAATTACCTCAAAGTGCACATTTCAGTTTGCATTTACCATACACTACTTTTGGATTAGGAAGAACTCCAAATTTTGTTGACTTATTAACAGTTGGGGTAAGACTTACAAATTATTATTGCATTAAATTTAGTTAAGGTAATGTTTTGTTCTTTTTAATTGGTTGCTAAAATCAATGATCCATGGTTTCAAATCAAAAACATTCATTTTTATTCTTACATACTTATTTTGAATATAGAAATTACTTTTACCTGCTTGAAAATTGCAAACACTTGCTATTATTATATTACATCAAACTTTATTGAAAATTACAAGGCAAACTTTGAATCAGTTAATATTTTTTAGTTACATAAAAAAAATTTAATTTGGTATTTGAGCAAATACTTGTATTACTTTCAATTTTATGTTTTATTAAGTGTAAAATTGTAAAAATATTTTGAGTTAAAAATTATTTTTGGCATTCTTCAATGAATATTATAGAATTATTCTACATGAATAAAATCGTATTATAATTGAAAGTTATGCGTAATAAAATTCAGCTAGAACACTTTCCAATAAAATAAAAGTCAAAATAAAATTTTTGAAATACATTTCGTAATAATCTTGAGCTAAATTATAAAGTACAATTTATAAAATTGCTGAAATTTTGTACTTATTTCAATGAACTCTTCTAAATGGGAAGATTAATGATTTCATTTATGGAACATATTATTGAAAAAAATTTGTTTTCACAGCTGGCCAACAAATCGCGGGAATATCCTCAGATAATTCCGAATTCTCAAATGGTTGTAATACCAAATCCTTTGTCAGATTCTTCAAGATGGAAAGCTCAGCTTTATTTAACACCCAGCAAGCTGATTCTTCTGAGTGCAGCTGCTTTATCTGCTACATGCGGACTCATCACTGCAATTATTGCTTCTCTGTACTGGAAAGAGAGACGTGAAGATAAAATTGAGAGGTTGCAAGAAGCACATAGATTTCATTTCGACGCAATGTAAAATTTCAGCAAAAAGAATCTTGTTAAAATGTAATTATTTTCTTTAATTTTTTTTTCAGTGATTTAAAATTTTTAATGTATTAGTATTAAAATGTATCTCGTTGAGATATAACTATTCTATTATCTAATTAAAAAATTTATAATATTTTTGTTAATTCATGCACTAAAATAAGTATAAGATTAGGTATAGAAACTGAGTGAGTGGATAATTATTCTAGTTAAAGTTTTACAAGTGTGTTGTAATTATTAAAAACTATTGAGTGGAAAACTGTTACAATTTTGTACATAGTGATATAACTTCTTGATATCTTTTCAAACTTATTGTGATTGGTATGTTAAACTCTATTTTTTCATTACATAAAAATGATCACCATTTTTATATCAAGCCAAAAATCTAACATTTATATGATATATGAAATTATAAAAATTATTTACCATATAATTTTAGTTAGTCATTTTTTAGTCCCACAAAACTAAATCTTTACATTGTTATTGACATCTGTCATTTCTGATGGCAGGATCCAAGTCATTAAAATATGAATGAGCCATAGCTTCTTCAGCTGATAACCGAAGAGCTGGATTACATACTAATAATCTCTAAAATGTGTAAAACATTAAAATTGTCATGTTAGCATTTTATTTTTTAAATAAAACAATGTATTAAAAATATATTTACTTGAAGTAAATCTTTTCCTCTAGCTGTTAGTTTGGGACAAGCTTGTGTGAGACCAGGTGTTAAATGATATTGAGGGAAAGCTCTATAATCTGGAAGAGTTGAAATGTCTGGCCAAGTTTCTTCAGTGGGAGTTCCTAACATTTTAAATATTCTTTTTAATTGATCATCTCCATCAGAGCCTGGAAAGAGAGGTCTGCCTGAATTGGATAATTCTGCAAATATACAGCCTGCACTCCACATATCAATTGAGGTAGTGTATAGTTTAGCTCCAAAAAGTACATCTGGAGGACGGTACCATAATGTAACAACTTCCGCTGAATAACATTTAACAGGGATACCAAATGCTCTCGCTAAGCCAAAGTCAGCTAACTTTAATTCATCATTCTGAAAAAAAGTATTGATAAATTACTAGATTTTATGTCGCAGATAAAAATTATATTGAAGTAGAAAGATACCTTATTAATAAGAAGATTTTGAGGTTTAAGATCTCTGTGAAGAACATTCCTGCTGTGGCAGAATGCAAGACCTCGAAGTAACTGAAATCTAAATTAAGAATTCATAATGCAAGGAATTATAATAAATCATGAATACTCGTGAAGCCAAAAAAACACTTACAGAAACGACTTGACAACGTCAGGATCAATTTCCCCATAAAGACTATCAAAATACTTTTTAAGATCTTGATCGCAGTGCTCGAAGACTAGAGTAAGTTTTTTATCGCTGTGAAGTACATCGTACAGTCTAACAATATTCTTGTGTTTCAGCTCTTTGAGCAAGCATATTTCCCTGAGTGCGGACGACGGAACACCCTTTGACGGAAAGTAACAAAAGTCAAGTCCATCGTCAGTTTTAAAGTAAAAGGATGAGAGAACGTTAATGCAATTAAAGTGTAGGCACTATCATATCTATAGATGACAGCGTGTATGCCTATATGTTATATATATAAATAATAAAAAATCGATAAGCATAAGCGTCGGTGAAAGCTTGTGTATCGTGCGTGTGAGAGAGAGAGCAGAGTGCGAAGGTCGATAAATAGACGTGTGTATGCAATAAGATGAGAAAAAAAAAACAAAACAACTGACCTCGTCATCGTCGTCGAGGCGCACCCTCTTGAGAGCGACTATCTCTTGGGTCTCGAGATTTTTAGCTTTGAAAACCGTGCCATAAGTACCTGTCAAAGAAACATAACAAAAGTCAGTGCGTGTGGGCACGCATCATTATAGCAGAAGATAATGTGTGTACACAGTTCTGTGAAAATTCAGCCAAGATGCACACATTACACAGAATAGCTGACGTATATAGTTCATATCGCGAGCTCACGAGAGTATTTCATTCAAATAAAAAGCTCAGAAAATGTTCACCTACCTTCTCCTATTTTTTCCAACTTCTCATACTTTTGCATTATATTTCTGTTCGATCTGTCTCGTCGGCGGTGGCGGGCGGGCAGTATCCGCGTGCACTGGCAGAAGTCTAACATAAAAACATACACAACAGCACTTATATATTATGGCACACACAAGTGGCCTGTGGCAGCAGCAGCAGTAGCGGCAGCAGAAGCAGGGGGAAAACCAAGCCACAGGCGCGTGCGGAGTGGATATAGGTACGATAAAATACAAAAAAAGAAAAAATCGAGTTCAGTAAGCCGCGCGCGCGCCAGAGAACGACACACTGCACAGCCGACGATGGGTTAGCAGCAGCTACGTAGTGGTAGTACTATATGATCCAGTGTAGTACCTATATAACTACAGTACCGAGTACTGAGTGTGCAAAAGCGTCGCGCGGCGCACCGCCCATCGGCATAGAGATAGCGCACACATGTGCAGCAGCTCTGCACACACGACTTTGACGCGAGCTTTACAATATAAGTAGGTAGTACAAAGCTCGCCGCGCTGAATTGTATTATCGAGAGGCGCATTATCTCTCGCGAATGTCTGCAAGTTTGTTTGAGCTTGCAGCCTGTAGCGCTTTTTACTCTTGTAGGCTATGAATTTGAATGAATTTCTTTTTTGTCCTAACACAATAGTATTTGAAAATTGTAGTAAATTAACATTGTTCAAAATATACAACCTTTCGATGCTAAAAGCGAGCTGCGAAATTTGAAAAAAAAAACATTCGCTAATCGATCGATCGATCGATATAATCGCGTCCGACGGGCAATGCAACGGTTTATACAGGTCCACCCAATACAAAATTTTACAACATTTCTCGTACTTTTTTGAGTAAAAGAAACCTATTTGGCAAGAAAACAAAAACAAAGAAAAAATAAATAAAATAAAAATATAGGCACCCGTCGTCGACGCACCCGAGGTTGGAGACGTGTCGCGTCAAATGGGAATCGATAAATCCGACGTTGCAGGGGAAATCCGTTACACGGCCAACGCGGGTCAAAGTCGTCGTCTGATATGATTGATTTTCGGCGGGAGGAGACACGACGACGTCGCCGACGACGAAGAACGATAGCTCCGATTTGCTGCAGCGGCACAGAGGCGGCCTGTATCGGGCCCCAGAGACTGCGCTGGGATGTTTTTGATACTGCGATTGTTCAATAGCATCCTGTTCGTCCTCGCAAATGTGTCGATCGCGTTTTATACCATGCAACGAGTGAGTTGAACCATGTCTCTTGTATAAGATGTTGTTACTTCGTAGTGGCAGCCACGAAAATGAGTCCCTGTCACCACTTACCTTTTCTCGTAGTTTTTTCGAGTTATGAGGACGCACTACCAACTCGTCGACGAAGTTGAGGACTTTAGTTTCTTGGTAAGAATAGCATCCATCGGCGAAATTCCACTAATCGCAAACTTGTAAAACTCGTCTCGTTTATTCAGGTGAACCAAGCTCGCGCGAGTCTCGACTTTGTCGGCAACAAGATCCTCGAATCGATGAAAGATGTTGGTGAAAAACGAATAATTGACACTATTATTATTATTATTACGTAGCTCCAAAAACACAAGTCAACCTAACCCCATAATTTTGCAATAAACATACACAGATGGAGGCCGACATCGGGCGGGAAGTCTACGTCACGCACAATCTGACGAAGCTCAGCACAAAGACGGCTGCTCTGCTGCGACGATTCAGCGAATTGGAAGAGAACATAATCGAGGTAAATCGACGGTTTTAAACGGCGAACGACCCTTGAAAAAGAAGCGAGTTTGATACGCCCGTTGCATTGCAGCTGGCTCGTTTGAGTTACAACATGGACAACGCGATGGTCGAGACGCCGGCCGACGTGAACGAGGAAGTGCGACGCATCTTCAAAGCGCTGAAACAGAAAAACGCGACCGTCGACAGTCATCACAACAACAATCATCACAGTCATCATCAGTCGCAGTCGCACCAGCAGATACCGAGCGACGCTCCTTCGTCGCGGATTCGCGCGCGTAGCGCTCCCGCCAAAAAGGAGCGCTCGAGCCGGAGTCACGGCAACATCGAGACCGCAGCCGCCGGCCAGCACGGCAGCAGCAGCCATCTGCCCCAGCCAGTGTCCAAATTCTCGACGACGCAGGCCAGGGCCAGATCGTCGCCGCGCACCACCACCACGACGTCCGCCAATCCGCCCGTCGTGCCCGAGGTCACGCTGCTCGTCGAGGCGCCGCCGAATCTCAACAGCTTCGACAAGCCAATTGGATTTAGACCGCCTTGGATGTGTCAAGTGTGATATGATCGATTCGAGGTGCGCAACGCCGCTGCGACGACACGATCATCGTAACGTTGAAACTTTTTCTCGAAAAAAAAAAAAAAAAAAAAAAAACTGGTGAGAAAAATTAATCGCTACTTTTTGTATAAAACTTTGCTGTCGTCATCCTTACACGATCGAAGTGCCAAAACGTGTGTCCGACGAAAACTTCACACGAGAATGGCTGTATCGAAGTTTTACACGATATAGAATTTAAAGAAGTTACATGGACCTTCATTGTTACGAAACTCAATTTGCTCAATAAATCAATAAGATGGATTTAACTTTATAAGATTTTATTTTATCATTAACAATTTTCGTGACACATAGATATTTTTAACGTGAATTCTCATACTGCTCTATGCAGTATAGTATTTTTCTCAATTATTAATTTTATTAAATACAACAAAAATAGGTCCCATTTAGTTCGAGCAACAAGTTATCATGAATAAGTTTGAAAAAATCTCTTTTGCTTAAAAATAAGAATACGTTTTTTAAAAGTAATGTTCATCAATTAACGAGCATTGAAGTAAATTAAAAAATTTTATGAGTTAGTCGCACGCGCAGCACAACGTAGTTTTCGTATCGATAACAATCAAAATATACATCTATAAAACTTAATAATTAAGTTACAGCATTCCATAGCATAAATTTTCAAGTATTGCAAACATGAGAATATCGTAAATAGAATAAGCCTCGCATGTATTATTGTGAGATTTTTGCAATGTCGTACGTGTAGGCTATGTAATATATCGACATTTCGTCTATCAATGAGTATGATTAACATATAGTACTGTTTACATCTGGCCAATATTCAACATTGAATAATGTATATTATGTACAAATACACTAACAACGAGGATAATATTGAATATAAAATATCCTTTGACGAGCGTATTGACAATATTAATACGTACTTCGTGAAAATTTTGGGTAATGTTTAAAAAAATATATCAATTTAGCTCAATATGCAGGAGAAAATAAAAAATGAGTTAATTTATGTAGAGAATCTTTAAATTGAATTGCATTTACGCATGCACTTGTACTATAGTGGTTCAGACTTTTATTTTAAATTATTTAAGTTTTATTTGAATCATTAAAGTAGATTTTTTTAGGCTTTGCACACTGACTGATGAGTCGCTCTAGTAGAAACGAATCCAAATTTCGGTCATCTAATCGTGAATCTCATTTTTGCAACAATCTTCAATCCGTTTCTACTTTATACATTTATATGCTTACATCTTAGTTGACAAAATATTTGTCATGGGCAAAAAATTTAACGAAATACATGTAGTACACTTTCGTATTTTATATAAGTAAATTTATGCAGATATAGATAAAAAAAATAAGTCGATAAAGGAGAAATACGCGCAACTACAGTCACAAAACTGGATTTGCAAGTACAATTTCAATTTCAATTTTCACCCCAAATTGATCAATGTAAGATTAGCGATAAAGCCTAGGAACCGACGGGGTTTCGGGGTTATTTTAAGATACCACCGAACAAGTAGCTTAATCGATGTATTTATACCTGTTAAATTAAAATTTTCAACTTAAAAATTACTCGGGTTGGGGAGAAATTTATCATGAACCAATCAATTTTTTGTATGGTTATAGCTTGTACACCATTGGCAATATATTGACAAATATTTTAGATACCTTTCAGTTTAAATTTCAAAATTTTTTGCAGTTGTGTTGTTTTCTTAAGTTTGTTTAGTTATTTCAACATTGTCCATAACTTTTTTCTAAATAAATGGATTTTCACTTCTAAAAATTCACTCTTTTACGTTTCTTCACAAAGAATAAAATGATTTGTAAATAAAATTGTTTAAATATATTTTCAATCTTTTTTATAAAAGCTATGGTCATACGAGCAGTTTATTTGTTTATGAAAAAAATGTCACCAACTTGAGCGGATAGCAAGCTCAAATTTTAGATCCAACTGGTCAATATGCATCGAAATAATTGTTACTTGTTCTTCGGGATTTGAATAACCACATCCAACTTTCTCAGCGCTCAGACTTATATGATTTAAAAGGGGGATATAATAAAAGTAAAATCATTATGCGATACTACTATTCCGTAATCAGTCGTTGGATTAATACTTTAGATTAATACTTGAAGACGATAATCATGCAAAAAGTAGTTGCGGTTGTACACATCGAGTATTATATAGATCGTAATCGTAAGGATAGGCCGCGTTGTATACGGAGCTGAATTTAATGAGTCAGGTGTATGCGTCCCGCGAAAGGTTTGTATATATACAGCATTAACCGGGGGAGGAAAGAATTCGAGCTTATTTTATTTCCGTCGTCGGAGCTTTTCAGCGACGGAGCTTGTTATTGTTGTTGGGACTGCTGCTCCTCGGGGCGGACCTCTTGGCGAATCCGGGCACGCCGCTGCGGTCGATCTCGTCGAAGTTGCGCTTGCGATTGAAGCCGCCGAAGCCGGCCCGATCGATCTCGTCGATGTTGCGCTTGTCGGCGAATCCGCCGAAGCCGGCCCGATCGATCTCGTCGAAGTTGCGCTTGAACGCGTTGAAGCCCGTGCGGTCGATCTCGTCGAGGTTGCGCTTGAAGGCGTTGAAGGCCGTCCGATCGATCTCGTCGATGTTGCGCTTGAACGTGTTGAAGTCGTTGCGGTCGATCTCGTCGAAGTGCCGCTTCTCCGGATTGCCGTTCAGCCGCGCCAGTTCGGCCGGATAGATGACGCTCTCGGAGAATCCCTCGTCCGCCAGTCGGCTCCTGAAATATATAATAGTAGTACTAATACGTACAAAATAGCGGACAACGCTTACGTGCACGTAAACGCGTGTGCCCGGAGCACGCCGATATGGTTATTGCTCTATCGACTATGTGATGCGATATTGTGTGTATGTGTGTGTGCATCATACGCGTACTCGAGCGCAAACTCGTGTACATACAAGCATCTGCCCCGCGATTTACATATGCACGGCGAAAATCATCATTTTTGAATTTTTTCATAATAGCGTGGAGCATATAAAACTCGCGCGATGCAGCACCACCCCTGTGTGACCGTGTCTCGGCTAAAAATATTTATTGCGCGCTCGCGTTCAATGTAGCGTTATGCGAGTCGCATATCGACGCGCGCGAGGAACGACCAGACGCACGAGTTCTCGGGCAGTTATTTTCCGCAAGCCTCCCTTCGCATACATTATGCGCCGTTGCACGTCGCGGCGATGATGAAAGCTTGCGCGCGAACTCGCGATATCGAAGGTCGGGTTTACCAAAGGCAATCGAGAGTAATCTGCAGCTCGGCTGACAACTTGAACCGAGTAGACTCGATCGTTGTCCGTCTTACTACGAAGTTACGCGTAATCGTTATGTACTCGTATGGAGTGCGTAATCACCGAATTGCTCGCTAATCCTGCCGATGTTTGATCAATGTGATATTCACAACGCGTAGCTCAGGTGGGACGTTAGCTCGTCGCTGTTTCTTTTTATACGAGCGGGCTATCATATAAACCGACGCTGCGCGAGATGTTTGTTCGTTCCGACGCGAAGCTTTGAGCGCGAAAATCACGTATCGGAATAAAAATACACCGAAATTCGTGTATGCTCTCGGATTACGTTTCTATTACGCGATTTTGCGTGTGCTCTCGAGGCTGCAACGCGCGTGGGCACGTACACAATTCTGCTGCTGCTGCTGCACAAGCGGATAAACGAAACGACTGTGCACGCGCGCAACTAGCACGACGAGGAAAATACCTAAAGTAATTATTTCCCCCCTCGCGTCTCCGATGATTTTTCTTCGAAGGAGCTTTCCTTGCCTTTGCGGAGCTTTTATACGAGCTGTTGTCATGGTAATAATAGTGGACGTTCTCGTTTTGACTCGACTCTATCTCTCTCTCTCCTCTCCCTCTCTCTCTCTCTCTCTCTCTCTCTCGTTGCAACTGAATCATTTAGCGAGCATTCAATGTAAAATTGATAAATCCACCGTACGTAATACTCCTTCGTGTACGCGTATATATAACGTAATACGCCCCTATTGTTCGTTAAATCCAATAAGTCGCCTAGCGTGGACCTCGGGCATTTTCCACGCACTGCACATACAACATATACGGTTACATCTATATCAATAGTTTTGCGCGAAATAAAGCTATAAATATATATATATTTTTTTATGATATGTAATTTTCCAATTTATGAACGAATTGGAAAAGTAACAATACACGTCAAAATGATTGGAAGAATTCGTGGCACTGCGGTCACCTGACTCGAAATAGTTGAAAAATGAGCTTCTTATTTTAGAACTTTTAACAACGAATATTTTCGAGTTATTCTATAGGCGTGCGAGTTTAGTTATTGAATTTTACGTTGAAAAATCGAAATTCAAAATACTTTATCTACAATTCGCATCTACACAAGAAAAATTTGCGATTTACAACCTATCTCGATAGATTCTCAAGGGTACAGTTGTAGCTGCCTTAGCTGAAGCGGCTATATTTACTCCAGAGCACGGTGCAGGAGGAGCTATACGCGGCTCAAGCCGGGCAGATTGAAAAGAAAAAGGGCTCCTTTGCGCGCGTGGGGTAGCACAGACAGCGGCTAAATTGAATTTTGCAATGAACGAAGCCAAATACATATTGTTCCGTACGTGTTTATATGAATGATGCATAAAACGCGTAATGGCTCGAAGTAATTAGTACGGGCTTGTAAAATTTACCACAACTGTTCACTGGCGTGGCTGTATAGATTATGGGGTATCCAGACAATAATTGAACTTCCAATTGTAGTATAGTACGCCGTTAATCGTTCAAAGTTATTTTCGCGCACTTTCAAATTGAAATGAATGATATTTTCATTTCTTTTATTTAATACATTCGCGTACTCACGCGAAAAAAAGTTCAGTCCACCGAAACTATTTAGTTGCGAACGACCGTAAAGAGTCTCGACAAGTTTTTTCTTTTTTCAGCTCTCGCAGCGAGCTTACATCTAAAGTTACTTTAGCTCTTACACGCTCGGAACGTCCTAAACGCATATAATTAAAAACGCGAGGCAAATAAACGCGCGAATAATTGGAAAAAAAACCGCTTACTTTTGCTATGTAGGCTAATAGCCGTTATCCGCGATATCGTCGCCTTACGCATAGGTTGATAACTCCCTGGAGGGATTTTAGTACGATGTAAGAATACGGGGGCCGCACCACACCTTGATCAAAACTACTTGCCATTTGTTGCGTTCTTAGTTTTTGCATCGCTTTTTTTATAAAAAAATCTTTTCCATTGAACTTATTGCGTAAAATTTCATTTCAAGTTTATTATACACTAGAAATCCAATGATTCTGAACCTAAGGGTATAATATTTGTTCTTAAGCTTCAAGACAGAATCAATGAGCCTCCTGTGCATTCAGTAGTTTATTTGTCTGCTCTATTCGTACCTCTGTCCACCAAAACCAGCTGCATGGTTGAAACCGCTTGTCTCGATACTTTTTGATCCATGTCTATTACCCCTTTGACTTTTCAATCCTGTAACAGCGTTAAAAGTTATTAAAACTCCATTTAACAATACATTGTTTTTTTATTAGAAATAATTAATTTCTGCTTAACTTATCGAATTAAAAGTTCCTTTAATATATCGTTAAGTTAGGTTCATATTTATTTATATTTCATTAAAAGTACATAATGAAAATGTCTAGCATCTTCCATTAGTTATCATCTTAACATGGGTTAAAAATTAGTACACTACAAAAACTACGTAAAATCAAACGAGCCAAATATTAGCGATGATTTTCGGCGTTGAGCGTCATCGAGCGCGCGAATCTCGGAGGGGTCTGTTGGACGCTGCGCAGGAGATTCCCACCGCCGATGCTGTCGAGATTTCGACGTATGAGATTGCCACCGCCGATGCTGTCGAGATTTCGACGCACGAGGTTGCCACCTCCGATTGGGTCAAGGTTGCGACCCATGCGACCAGACGCTGCTGCTTCTTGCTGGTTGCCGTAGTAGTATTTCGCCTCGACACCTTCGTCAGCAACAGGCGGTGTCATTCTTGGCTCTTGGCGCAGTCGTAACCACCAGGACAGTGCCGCAGCCGCGCTATTCAGTTCTACAAAATTATTCAAAGATTCATCTACTTTTTATTCATTGAAGTGTATGCTTTTTACTTCTTAAGCGATAAATCGTGCATAAAATGATTTTTATTAAAATCTACTTGACGTGTTTTTAAAATCTTCATGGCAACAGCGATAAATTAATTTTAAAACGACGATAATTTATCGTATGTGCAGAAAGAATTATTAAGCATTGCATTAAAAAGTGACGACGATTGATAGTGACATGCATGTTATCAGATTTAATGCATTCATATTTATTTCTGTGATTTGAAGTTTCAAGTTAAATATAAAAGAAAATAATTAAAATCTGCATAAAATGTCTAGTCAAAGTATTAGAAAAATAAATATAAACAACATAAATTAAAGAGATTAGAGACAACAAAAAAGCACTAGATTATTTTATGAATGCTGGAAAATAAAATAGATTGAATTATAAATAGGCTGCTAGAAACACGATATCAAGAAATGTGAAAAGACAATCTACTTGAGCGCTTACCTTCGTACTCCTCACAGACACCCTGCATCGAAGACGTTATCAATGGTATTCACAGAACACAAAGCTTTCGTTTTGTAGTAAGGACAGCACCAAGTCAAACATTAACACTCACAGAAAAGCTCACTTTACATGTATGTTCAATGAAAACGACAAAAACATTTATTTAATTTTAACTACAAAAAGAACGATTGCACAGTGTAAAATAAAATAGATTATTTTAATTTTATTATCTATGAAACAATCGATTGATTGTTTTTCATAAAATGCCAATTTCATGAAAATGGCTTTCGCGTAAATTGCTTGCGGCTTTTGTTGAGACTGCCTAACGATTATGCGAAACGTGAAGGGTCCTTGAAAAGGACCGCGTTTAGGACCGTAAACCGCAAAAAAGAATTTAGCAAACGCTGCGAGAAGTGAAAGTAAATTAAGATTGATTTTTGATCGAATTATGTCACGATCTGATGTGGTTATTCGCTGCTGTTATGTGTGCCTGTAATTGCAGTGGTGGCATTAATAATAACATGCGTCAAAGTAAATCTCAAATAGTTCTTGTAATTAACTGAGCAATTAATAATGCATTTATCAGGGTACGTATGAAAATATTTAACGTCACCTTAAAAGGTGATGAAGAAAGTACATCACTATTTTATTTACTGTCATTTATGATTTTTGTAAAACGATCAATATGTTAAACTTTTTCAATCGTTACTTTAAGACTACTTTCAGAATAGTTCGGTATCGTTGCACATGATAAAATTATTAGCAGTGGATATTACTTTTCGATCTAACTGTTCGATTTTTACGCGCATATAAAAGGTTCCGTGGAATATTAAAATGATAACAAAATTCGTATTTATTATTTTATTAAATTTATAATTAATTCACATATTGGTGACTACGGTAGACGTATTTTTGCTACTCAGTACCTCAAACACAAATACAAGTATACCCATGAAATATCCCCCCAGTAAAAGTAAAAAGGAAAAGTGTAGATCGTCGTTGCTCGTGGGATCCGCGTCTTCGTCGTTGGGATCGGGTAATTTGTGACACATCTTGACGTACTGCATGATGATTCCGGAATCGAAGAGTCTCCTGATGATCCAATTGGCTTTCGGCAGGAGCGGCCAGTCCGGCCTCACCTGAAAGCTCACCGAGGTGCGAGTCGTCGTGACGGGTCGCGAGATGTGAATCAGATTCGTCTCCACAATGCCGCACTTGCCGAGCATCATGAAGCCGCAGATGCAGACTCTGTGGTCGTTCTTTTTTATCTTGTCGACGCAGTCCAAAAGATCGTCGAACTGATAGATCTTACTGACGACCAAGTCGGACAGTTCTTGGGGTAAAGAGGCGAACGCGTACAGCTTCATGTTCGGATAGTACTGCAAGTCTCGGATCGTCTCGACGATGGGCTCGAAATCGGGCACCGTGTTGAGGGCGCTCAGCAGCGTCAGCAGATACGTGCTCGAGCCCGAGGTCAGCAGTATCAGTATAATCATGACTATTCGCTCGGAAAAGTAGGTCGACTTGTCGAAGGCGCGATCCTGCATGGCGTTGGTGAAGGTGCGAATGAACTCGAAGTAGATGTTGCTCCAGGACAGTTTCAGTAGCAGACGCGACACCGCCACGAACATCCCGAAGGCGAACACCAGGATCACGATGATCTGCATCGAGAGGGCCGAGGCGAACTTCTTCGTGCCGCTCACCTCGACTTTTCGCGACACTATCAGCAGATGGCTGCCCCGTACGACGTTCGTCTGCATCTTCCACTGGTCGGTGATAGCCTTTAAACGGGCGTCGATGTCTACTTCGCCGTCTACCACAGCCTTGAAGGTCCCTTGGGGCTTCTTGTCTTTGTCGTACTTGGTCATGATTGGGTACACCAACAACGTGTGATTTGCCTTGATGTGCGACAATATCATGCTGATTATCATGGGATATACTTCTAAAACTTCCTCGACTCTCGACGATCCCGTTGTAAACAGGGTTGGATCTTCGACATCGACAGAAACGACGACCTCGTATTGGTCTAAATTTGTTGTTTTATCAAAGTAACACTCTACGTCTGTCTCATTAGCTGTAATGAAAATAATTGTCATTTCTTTCATTTTGATACTAGCGAAAATTGAAAATCAACCCTATTACCTAAAATTTTATTAGATAAAAGGGTCCATCGATTATTTGTCTCGTTATTTGACACTCTCATAACGTTCCAGGATTTCGTCGCTAATGATGAAAATGGGTTGTACGTATAGATCAACGAATTTCCATCCAAGTCAGGGCACAAGTAGTACGCTTTCAAAATATTGTAACCCCAAGCGAGTCTCAAAGATTTAGATGCGTCAAAGCAACCCATTGTTAAATTACTATTAACCACTAAAACGCTAGCTTCGTTGTTCCAGTAAATGGATTTGTAAAACGCTTCTAGAACGAGGGCGAGTTCGTGCTCCAAATTCACGTTGATGAGGACAGTACCAACGGGAAAATTTCTCTTCTTCAATATCGTCTCGTTGACTTTCAATATCCTTACGTAGCGCTGATATTGTGACGAGAACGCGTAGGTGGACCCGATCGCATTAAAAAGAAAAAGGGTAGAGTAGCCGTGGCTGAGAAGCGATAAATCACAGTTATTCCAGTGCCCGAACACCATCACGTACTTTTTGTCGATTTTAAAAAAACATTTTTCAAAGATCCATTCCTGAAATAAAGGACCGTTAAAACATGAGATGATTTTGTTGATGTTTGACACGTTTAAAGAATTGAACCATTATTGACGATAATTCACATTTGTTTTCTCTATCATCCAAACCATTGGGAAATCTTCCTGCCAGCTTTGTTGGGTTGAACGTGGCACCGTTTACGAGGACACAAAAAGACATTATCCATAATTGCATTATAATCTAGAAGCTTTCTTCCAGCTTAAGCTCGTTTTTTCTTTATCGAAGTCTCAAAAATACTTTTTTGCAATAGAAACAAATAAATTTAAAAACAATGAATTTCAACGAGGGCTCCATTTGCTGAATAATGAAAAACTACTTGATTATATCTGAAATACAATTGACCGCAGAGCAGCTTTAAACAGCGACAGATTTTGACGAGCGATATGCCTCGTCCATAAATATGTTGAAGAGCTTTTTTTACACGAGTTAGTAATCGATCGTACGATTATCGTGATTGGTATATATACAACTTCGAAAACGATATTTAAACAGTTTGAAAAGGTGTGTCGAAATGGAAACAAAGCATTTTTCAAATGTCTAAAATTTTGCTGAGGCTTTAAATGATATTTTCTTAAATCACATGTAATGTGAGTTTTTTCGGCAGTCAGCTCGTTTTTTTTATAAAACCACTAATATTCTTTATCAGACAACTTTGCGTAATGTATGTTAAAAAACGTCCGTTTACATAAAACCGATCGCCGACAGAATTCATCAATCGCCTTGTGTGTATTAAAATTGATGGTTTTTCATGAAGGGACAGCAACTCGGTAGCTCTTGCTCTGCCTATATGTGGTGCAGTAACATTCGCGTTGAAAAAATGCCGGCTCGTCGAAAGTAAAGTGCAGGGCCGTAATCGATTTGCAGCACAGAACGAAGCGTAACAAAATTATTTTTCAAAATCCCAGTCGCATTACTCGCGTGCAGCACATATATAACGTCCTCTCGTAAACGTGTCCACGCGAGCTTCGTAATAGCGCGTAAATATCGGAATAATAATGGATTCACAAGCGAGTTACGAGACAGGTAATAATAGTTTCATGTCGTTGGCCGGTTGCGCTGCAGATGCGCGCCCGCTTAATCAATGACTAATTCGATATGAGGGTAGTTCAAAAGCTTCCGCCGGACGATACGATAGGATGCGCGCGTGTGGGGCACGTGGTCGCTTGGATCTTTCCCCCTTTGCGATATTACTTTAACGACGACGCACAGAGTGAGTGAGAGAGAGAGAGAGAAGCACGCAAAAGTATACGTACATATTCGCGAGAGATGTGTTCGTCGAACACGATCGTTCAAATTGTTTATTCAGAGAAGAGAGATCGATCGTCGCGAGCGTCGCAATAGCGCCAGCTTGCCCGGAGCTTTTTTTTATTTATAAATATCGGCACCTCGCGCGCACGCTGCATGAATGTATCAAGCCACCTAAAAGGTGTCAATAATTTTCCATCTTATGCAGAAAAAAAACGGATGGTACAACTTATGTACAACAACGAACGAGTTATGCATGTATTTTATTCATCGTTACAAGAGCTTGCATCGACGTTGTTGGTGCAGGGTGTGTACCGCCGCGCGAAACGGCGCGTTTAGACGAGAGACGTGAGCGAAAAACTGATTGATGGATTCGCGTGGCGCGAATCTTTTGCGCCGAGCTTTTATACTTTTGTTACCCGTGTAAATTTTCCCCCGAAACGTGACGAAACGCGCCGCTGCTCGCTCTCATCTTAAAACCTTCCGGCGTCTTATTTACTTTACAAAGCGATGCAATTTTGCCTCGACACTTACCACTTGCAATATATAAATCATAGTGAATAATTTACTCTAATCGTGTTATTTCGAGCTGCGTTAATTTATGTAAATTGAATTCAAGTTATTTGTAGCGATGGACGATTGTAATTGCGTTTTGAAAAATTACGTTCGGTCGTTCGATGTGGAAAATTATTGAAATATTTTCAAATATTAATTCAAGTTATATTTTCTAAAAATGAATAAACTTAATGTGAAATGAATTTGAGATTGGCATTTTCCTAACTAAAAATTAATGTACCAAGTGGAATAATCACCGATTGTTTGTAGTCGCGCGCAGAACGAATTAAAAAAGTACAAAAGTATGTAATGTTTGACATGCATCTCGTTAGTATTATACTCTTTGAAATACAAAGTTCTCGCATTTGATATACTTCTAAGCTTTGGTTTCGTATTTCGCAATTTTCAAGGCACTGTTTGAAATATTTCAAACGAATATCAACTTTGAATTGAAAAAAGTATCGATTTTTTGTAATCTCAATTATAAAATAGAGACTTTGTTTCACTCCGGTAGTTGTAAAAGATACAACTTCTGTACTTTGAAAAAAAAAACGTCACAATTTCTATTACGCAGTTTCATTATCCCTTTTTTCATTAATTATTCTGCAATATGAATCGATGTACGTTCAAGTTAAGCATGTAATATTGATCTAGATTATTGCCAAGGCTTTACACGGGATTTTGTTTATATTGATATCTATATATTGTGTATACTGTGTATACTTGGCGCATGAAAATTGTTTATAACTTGTGGCCTGGGTACTTCGATGCCACATAAACAATCCTGAAAAATTCATTAAATTTTATTTTGATGGAACTTTTATGTTTGTCGTCAAGTTTATTTGTACGGAGCACAGTTTTGTCCTGCTGCACTTTTAGACGTAACGTTATTTAACGTATAAAACTATCATCCGTTCTATTTTTACGACGATAACGAAAATTGTATGATATTTACCTTTGGTCATGAAAATTCTCTTCGATCGCGAGGGAGATACTGGTCAAAGCGACAAGCAATTCGAATATTAAAATCGTCGCTTCAGTTTTTAGTCTTGGAACTGGCAATTTTTAAAAAGCGAAGTGGACTACTGATCCGATGAGAACAAAATGCTGACAAGTATAGGCATGAAAGACATGATGAAAAATGAGGCCTTATACAGAGTCCACGGACTTGGCTACTGGTGTGTGTACAAGCGAGGAAAAAAGAGTGGGCACTTTTCCCTCGTCGAGAACATCACAGCGCGCCGTAACAGTGCATTAGCACAGCAGAGAAAAGTCTGCACTTGTGTGTATTATATATACATGTATATATACCGCAGCCACAGTAAGTAGCTGAAGGATCGTTTTGTCGCCGTCATAAGCTTGACCATAATAATGTAGCTCGAGCTTTGCTACGCTTGATTCCCTCCTCTTCTTCTTTTTTTTTCATTCTTTCTTTTTATTAGTCCATGAAAAGGAAGTATTAAAAACTGTTTTTTGGGATGGTTTTTTTCCCTTTTTATGCGAGTGTTTTTTCATCCGATCAAGAAGCAATTGTTAAAAAAAAAGTCACGGAAAACACGCTAAAGCGAAATATATAAGTTATTGGTACGTATACAAAGTTAGGGCGATAACAGCTGGGCTGGACGAATACATTAATGTGTAGGTTTTGCGACTGGACAAATGGCTTATTACTCTTTCACACGCATCGTTGTACAGTGATCTAACGCTATATTCATAATATATTAAAAGCGTCATGGAAAAAACGAGCTTGGCATCTTCGACTTACCCTCTTTTTCAAGCTCCTTAGCCAGAGCCTCCACGTACTCCGCTTGCGAGAGTACGTCGGTGTTTAGCGCGTTACCGTGAGGCTGCAAAAAAAAAGAATAAGGTATCCTGTTATCAACGAGTTAGTATGTAAAAAAAGCTCGAAAGAAAATAATAAGCTGTTACAAAATCCAACCGATAGATCGAGTGAACGAGGGCAAAGAAAAAGTAAGATTTTAAATAACATCATGTACGTTTTGGATCAAGGATTTATTTTTTTTTCATTTCTGCGTTGGAGACACGGAGGGTGAGCGTGCGTGCGAATATAATCTAGCAAAAAAAAATAAGTAAACGGTATAATAATGAACGTATTTAAACGTGAAAGGGCAAACGACCTCGTATCGAAATGTGAGAAGCAAATCTTTTTTACATGCCCCGCGACGGGCATGCATTTTTCTCTTTCTCTCTCTCCCTTTTTTCTTCTCTTTCTCGCTCACAATCTTTATAGCCCGGGTGTACAGATCTCCAGCCACTGATATCGGTATTATATTTACTTAAGCGAATAATTCAGAAATTTACATTATGCTAAATCTCGAGAGTCGATATAATACGGACTTTTTGCTCGTTCTCCACCCGCGTCAACCTTGCTTTTACGTGGGCGCGCGACGGCCAATCAGTTGGACTTTTCTGTCCCATGTGCGTGGCTATATTTAGTGTAACACGATTTATTACCGGGCTGGCTTATTGTTTTTTCCTTTTTTTTTGTAACAGAGTAAAGTTACCCTCTTGAGCTTTTCATCGTTATAATATCGTATGTACGATTCCGTATCGTAAAACGGAATAATGAGCGTGATCGCGAACAGCTTCTGTAATATCGCGAATATATAACACAATATATTCATCAGGGCAGTCACAGTCCTGCCGAGTTTCGCTTATCGATAGCTGCTGTATAAAACGTATACTCGACCTAAATTTCGTTAATTTTATGCCACTCGGTATACAGCGTTACATCGAGCTTTGTCAATCTATTCGCAACTTGGCGAAAACGCGTATATTCGTATATATACAATAGTAGTAAACAAGCCGATCGAAAAATGGTCAAAGTATCGTTTCGAGCTCGTGCAAGCTCCACCACGCTCCTACCAGCTGTGCTACACGGCGCACTAACTCCTTTCAATCGAATTATAATTCATGCACGGGACACACGATGATACATACGCGCAAAGTGCGTATAGGAAGAAGTGTGCTGCTGCTGCTGCTGCTGTTGCATGGCTCGTGTATGGGCAAAGACCGCACGATGCTACGCGTATATATGATAAAAATCAAATTTATATACCACACATATGCGGCAAAGTATACGTCAGAGCTGGCAATGCGCGTGTGTTATATATAAGCGCGCGCGCGCGTCGAGCTAAAGCAATTGGTTTGCCGATCCACCCGCGCCTAGGCTCGACTTTATAACTGCCGACCCGCGTTGAATATTGCAAAATGTATTATGCGCGTTGAAAAACTCATAACGCATACTTCCTTCCTTCCACTCTCTCGCGCTCTCTTTTTCACTTCTTTCCGAAGACGGTCTTTGGAAATTATTTATGCTTTTGCAGCCACAGCCACCGCCGCCGCCGACGCCGACGTCGCCACGGAACGGACGCGTGTGTGTGCACGTCGAAGGGCTTCTACTTGCCATGGGCTTCGAGACTAGAGGGGGGTTTATGGAAATTTCAAAACTCTGCTTTATGAAAATTCAATGCTGCATGAAACTAGTAATAATTTATAATGTGCCAAGTGTACAGCGCGTTGTTACTTATCGCACTCGTATGCATGGAAAAAGTTCCGTTTTTTTCGAGCGTGTGCTCGGAATGAAAACTTAAAGCTCGAGCTCGCGTCATGCCGCCGCCTTCTCTGATTATTTAGTTCTATACTATTAAAATTTTATCACGGAAAAATCGCTCCTGATTAAACGAATATTCATACAGCAAATCGCCACATCTTTTTTTTCGCGAAATCAGGAAATTTCAAGGAGAGCGAAAAGCAAAAATTGACAAGGATGCGCGTGATAAAATTCAATTTGTTCTCTGGGGGCGCGAGCACATGAGAAATTTCCTATTGAACTTCGTTATCGCCAAGTGCGCGCGCGTTGGCCAACTTTTTTACTCAAGGAATTCTAAGATTTTAAGGCAAAGTTGGACAAGAATTTTTCGATTCTCTCGGGGAAATCGGACAAATTAGCCAGAACTGTCGTCGAACGAAAAATAACTCAAGATGAAAGATCAATTTGTGCGTCTAATTAGACTCCAATCGTTTTTTTCCTTTTTTTTTTAATATGGACCAAAATCAAGCTGAATGTAATCGTGTCAGTATCCATAGTTGAGAGGAATTTAATTTTCAAAATTTTTCGTTCAAAGACTTTGTAAGTTTACTTACAAAGTACTTGCATTAACGATGTAATATAATCCTAGTAATACAATTTTCTTTATCCAGTATAGTTGATATAATTTTGTCTTGTCTCACACAAATTTTTAAAATTCTCTCATAGATCAAATTTTATTATTTAGTTTATATTAAAAGTATCAGTTCATTATAAATTAAATTTTAATAACAAAACGACAAATCTGAATAACCATGCATAATTTTTCCTATAAGGTAGTTTTAGCATCGTACTTCCGTCAACGGTCAAATTCGTTTCAATGAGATTAGAAGAAAGGGGGAAGAGGGAAGAATAATATAAAAATCACATAAAAAGACATTAATTCGTGATGAGAGCTGGCACTTACCAAGATCAAGGCGGAATTGCCGAAAGATGTAATTGAAAGACATAAAAAAGCAGAAAAGACCGCAGAAAGCTTCATCTTGTCGTTGTTGGGAGAAATAATTCGAAGTCGTGTGTGAATCGTTTCCGCGATTTGACCCGCGTGTGTACCACTGGCGATTGGAATCAAAAAAACACTATCGACGGGGCAGGTCTCTGGATCCTGGACAAGCAGCAGCAGCAGCAGCAACGAGTGTCAAAATGCCGATTTCGTGTGTTATATATTATTTATATTATAATATATACAGACGGGCTAAGTACGGTGTATAGTGTCCGTGCGAGCTTATGATATCGTGCGTCGACGGCCACTTGCTGCGCTCTATAGCGGCTCCAGGGGGTAAACGCGACGAATATATAGGTGAGCTTCGTCCGTCGTCGGGCCGGCATATCGCGTAGAAACAGCTTCACGCAGGAGACTCGTAAGCGCCAGCGCAGCAACCCCTCCTACTACTCTACCAATCTTGCTGCTGCTGCCGACCAACCCCTCCTCCCCCTCTACATAAAGGCGTGCGTATATAATGTACTTGTGTTTTATTATAAAGGTGTATACACACCTACGTGTATTTAAAGAGTTATAACTTCCATATACGTATACATTCAACTTCGCGGCTATCTGCCTAATGACGATCTTTTTACGCGCGTGCACGAGTACTACATTTCGCAAATTTTGGATTTTACGCGCTGCTTTGTACGGGAAGCCTATGACCGACGTGTTATCTCGCGAACCTCGGAATTAAATTACATCGTTGAAAATTAAACATAGCAAAATAATCTCGCTCTTCCTCTATTTCGAGCGTTATGTGCACGCGCGTAAATTGCTGCATGAATATTTATTCGAGAGATCTCGCACATGATCGCGATCGTCGACGTTACAACGTGTGGCTCTACTATACTGCCGCTGTTATATGGACTTGTGAAAAGTTTATGCGATCGCCGAAAGCTCAATCGAGTGAACTTCGCGCGCGTTCGTGTGTATCGCGAGCTTAATTTAGAAAAGAATATAATATCTGGTATACGTCGTAGTGTAATATGGATGTTTCTTTACATTTGGGCTTACGCTGACATCTGAATCCTGATTTTTTAGAGTATAGCTAGTCCCAACACGTGTGACGTGAATCATTATGATTCTATTCGTCTGGTTTAATACCATTATAAAAGTTTTGAATTAAATTTGATGGTAATTAAATTATACTGCACATAAAAATACCCATCATTGAAAGTATGCGAAAACTTCTTCCTGAAAAAAGCTCGGTGATGGCTGTAAAAGAGGAAATCAAGCGTAGTTTGAAAATTTCGTTGACATACCTTTTCTACTCGTTTCATCGTCGTATCATCGTTGCGTAGGCCAACAAAATAAGGCGTGTTTATCGAAAAAAATCAAAGAATTCATTTATTATTCATCCAATAGTTTACCACAGTTATACGCAAAGCTTTTTATAATAAAATTAAAAAAGCTCTGCACGATATGTGATTGAATATTCGTTGTTTGAAATTTATGAAACATCTTTAGATTTTATACGAAATATATATGAAATAATTATGCCCACTCGAGTGATATTATTTTATTTAAGGAGTTTTGAGAATTATTCTAATTTGCTGCACCTCAAAGTAAAAAGTGTTATTATGTAAAAAAGAATCTACGGTATGAAAAAGGAAATAACTTTTTTAGTTTATAACTCAATTATCGGACTTTATGATCTGGATATTTTTACTCTCTTGGTGTTATCGCTACCAAGAAACAAAACTGGATAAATTGAAGTTCGGTAGATGAAGTTGAAGTTTTGAAAATGTCTAAAAAAATGTTGAAAGAATAATTTTTTTACATTTGGAATTTAAAAAAAACTAAATGACCGATCAGATTTCACGTAGTCAATGAATTCGCCTTCTTCCCAATGTGATGTATTATTATTGATCAAAGTATAATGCACTAAATTAAAAATTTACAGAGAAATTGATTGAGCACGATTCGACAGAGGATAATGAATTTGTAAGATATAATATTATAATATTTTCGAGCAATTGACCAGTTTTTTACCGATTTTCAATTGGAATTGTTAAATAATTGACTTATCTCAGTTATAGTTTGGAATATTTATTCCAACCGCATTCGATGTAATAAAGTTACAACACTTTTATCTTATCCAAAAATTATGTTGATATCCTTGAAGCCATTATACTTGAAATATATTTCCAAAGAATTATGCATTTAATCTCAATGCGTCAGGAAGTGCATTTAACTAAGTATATAATATGTATATAAAAAGTAAACAGATGGCGACTGCTGGCGCTTAGTATGCCGCATACGTTTTTACTACGGGTTTTTGTTTAATTTATGATAGCGCACTGATGGCGATAGATCATTTTTACCGAAGAATAATATACTTAATCTGAATCACAATATGTTCCACTGCACGAAGAAAGCAAATGCAATTAAACGCCCAGATACAGCATCGTATTTGAACTGCACTAGCACGTTGAATTGAGTTCCAACAGCTCGAAAAATTTAGATTCGCCAGTGATACAATTTTTCAAACTCATAAAATATCAAATAAAACTCAAATTATGCATCTGTTGCTTGTTATTAAATTTTGAAATAAAATAAAGAGCAAGCGTCGTTAAATCATTTTTCATGTTTATTCTCCATTCGACGTATACAAATGTATGATATTGATTTGTATGCGCGGCGAATAAAAATGAATATGCAAATGATTTTATCAAAATATTTAACTGATCAGAAAATATAAAATATTATCCGAATAAAAAAGAAAATATTTATGTATAAGTAAAAGATTCATGTTTATTAATCTTGTAATTCGCAACGAAAACTTACGTAAATAAAATACGAGTTATAAATTCATTGTTTGTGTAACGATTTTTCAATTGGAGTGTCAGAATTTTTTATCATAAATTCGGAAGCTTATTTGCATTTAATACATAAATTTTTTGAAAGTTTTATAAAGTGATTACTAAATCTTATAATTCAAATTAATTGTCATTGTTTTTCTTTAATATTACGTTTTGGCATAATTTCACACGATCATTAAATTAAATAAATATCAGATTGATCAAAAACTAATGTTGATTTCTTATTTCAGAATATAAACACATATTTTCATTTTATACTCATGAATTTTGTTTTGCTTTATCAGATTTACTATAAAAATTTTAATTCTTAACTCAAAAAATGGAATCTCTATAGATTTACAAAAAAACATTTATTGTTTGTTTTAATGAAAATTTGTCACTTTCTGCTATTTTTTAATAGCTCCACATGTTCATAAATGTTTAAAAACGTTCACTGATTAAAAATTTGTTTAAATAAAATAATTTCTCAAACAATTCTTGTATTATTATTCAAAAATATTGCCAGAATATTTTTGTTTTTATTCAAAAAACTTATTTTTTTAATATATTTTTAAAATTAAATTAAAAATGATTTGTAAATTACAACTGATAATAAATATAAAATTTTTAACTTGTATTTGGTCGTACATCTTGTGTTGCTGTAATAAGTAAATTAAAAATAATCAATTTTTCATCTTCAAATGTATAGTGCAAAAATATGAACTGAGTGTAACCTTTGTATGAGTATTCTAAAGCTGTTGCTACTGTTCTCATATCTCCTTCAATACTTCTAGCCCAATTCTCCACATCACCAATTTCTTTCAACGCACTTGAAATTGATTCTACTAAAAGAAGCCAAGATTGAGTTTGCTTGGCAAAGTTTGTAGCGCTCACTTGTAACTGCTTAGCCTCTGCATCAAGTTTTTTCTGATTCAGGTACGCTTGTGCAACTCTACATAATTTACAATAGATATCAGCAAAGTTAACCAATATTGATGCAAACTACTTATATATTTACCCAACATTCAAGTGATCTACTAAGGCTTGTGTTAAGTTATTGGCAGCTTGTACAGCTTCCTTACGCTTTTGTTCTAATGATCAATAAAAAAATGTAGTTTCATGAAGTATTTGGACAACAATAGTTACTGACAGTTATACCTTGTTTTTCCTTCCTGGATGATTGCTTATTTTGATGCTCTTTTACTATAGTTGACAACATTATTAAGGATGGTTTTGGATATTTCAAATGATGAAAACTTATAATTTGTTCAATTTTTTATTGATTTATTCCATCAAAGTATCAGTTCTCTAATATAAATTACATCGGCTGCTTATTGTGGAGCCTTTGCAATGAATACAATCTTCGCGAACATATCTGTTGACACTTTTTAGTAGACTAAAATGTTACCAGAGGGCGCGCGCTAACTGGTGGAGACCGAAAGGAAGGCTTGATCTATGGTTATTTATAAATTATTACGTATAATTTATAATCTATAGTATATACGTGTTTTAAATTTAGCAAGGTTAACAAGTTTTAATAATAATAAAAAAAAAACGTTACATTTAAAATTGCAAGTACTTCACAATTAACCCACAGTCACACATTGTGAAATTAAAAGAACAAGATGAACATATCCTCAAAAAAAGAAAATTACATATAAATTAACGCGAATTATAATATAAATTGTTATTGAAAAAGTTAATATATAAAAAAATATTATACTAAAAACCTGTTTTCCCGATTTACCATTAAATTATTAATGTTTATGAATACAATCGAGCTATTAGTTGTTAAATAAATAAAATTCTATTTAATTTAATCATTTAGGTAGCTTCCATCAATTTATAATTTTCAAAACTTTTAATATGTATGAATGATGTAATTACTTGGTTGATTGATATTGGTGGATTATCGAATAATAAAAGGATTTTTAAGGAATTGATAAGGTATTGGATATAAAGATGAGACCAAAGGATGACCAAAAATAATATCAAGTAAGTTAATCAATAAAATATGTTTGTAATATTAAAGTTAATCACTGTAACTTTCTTTATAATAAAAATAAAAAAATTGATAAAGAATATGATCATGAAAAGTTCAAAAGAGGTTTTTAAATTCTCATTCCCTATTTATGACAAAGAAATGAATGAAACCTGATATTGACTCTCAATGATCAACCATCCAATTACTTCAAAAACTTTAAACAATCAACTATTTAAGTTCATTTATCAAACATGTTTCATTCTAATTCTTCACTTCACTTTGAAGTTTCTGGGTCTTCAAAACTTGCTAACTTGAATTTCTTTGTTGAAGAATCATTTCAGTATTTGGAGGTGATCATATTCTTTGTCACTTTCTAGTAGCGCGTGCGAAAACCTTGAGAAGAATCTTCATTGATTCAATAGTTGAGATCTTCATTAATCTCATCTTCTATAGTTTTCTTTCAAAAATATTTTTCTTTCTTTCAGAGCGAGTGAAACTTGCAAAATTTTCCTTTATCCAATACCTCTTGATTCAAAACCTTACAAACAAACAAACGTGTTAGAGAACTTACATGAATTTATTCAAAAATTTTCTGATATTGAATATTTATAATACTTGAGTCATATGTTAAATTATTTTCATTAATATTTTTTAGGGTAGATTAATAAAGTTTGCGTGAAATAATTTAATACAGTTCAATTGTAGTTGCTAGAAAGCTGGAGTATCATTTTCAGTCATAATTTATTCAAGTTTTGAATAATTACAAGTGTAAACATGAGTTTAAAATAGACGACTTGATGTACTCTAGCTTTTACATTGTAAGTTTTTTTGCATACAATAAATTCTAACTCATTAATCTAAATTACTTGATTCTAAGTTTATAAAATTGAAAATTCGAGTTTGGAAAATATTTTTACAGTTCATTCTAATTTTTCTATTTTTAAGCAAAAAATAGAAATTTGAGACATTTTATTCATGTTTATCCGTATAGTATTGAACATTGTATAGGAAGGTGAGAATAGCGATAGAACATGACGTTTGTATTCAAATGATCCTGAGCCTATATGCATAGAGGTAAATTAAGTTGGGTAAGGTCAAAGGATCATGTCGCGCAAGTGGCTTCCAACACCTGGCCTCTCATCAAAATTGTGTGACTTAATATCGACCTGAAATTCATTAAGTAACAAAAACAATATTTTTTTTTGTATCCAGGTTGCAGAGAAGTTTCACTAGTTTTTTTTAATTAAATAAGTTAAATAGATCTCGTTTTGACTTTTGACTTTTTTTTAAAGATTCATGCTCTCACTCTTTCAAAATCAATCACACACATTTACTCATTTTAAACTATCTGATCTGAAAAGTTTCATAAAACTAATACATTAAATAAAGCTGTTCTTTAATTCTCACTTCCCATATCAAATAAATTATAAACAATTTAAATTGTTTACAAAAATATGTACCAGTAAATATAAAACCTAAATTCAACAAGTACATATTCAAATGAAAAAAAATTGACTGTAAAAATTCAAAACAACTATCAATTGAATTATAAAAGCCAGCTCATTTTTTTGTAAACTAATTAATATGCCGAATCATTATATGAATAACGATCAGACTTACGTGGCGAATACGAGCGTGATCTGGATCTTTCATATCGTGATGAGCGGCGACGACTCGATGACCCTGAATAGTACGGACTAGGCGAACGTCGATGACTACTACGATTATTGTGACTGTTGGATGAAAATTTGCATCAGTTGGAATTACCAAAATAAAAGTCATAAAACAAATTACACTTACTCTCTGCGTCTACCGCCACTATCACCCCAACTGCCACCGCCGCCACCACCACCACCACTGCTGCCTCGACTTTCATAAACATGAGTTGGCTTTCCCATGTAAATTCCTGGAGTAGGTGTATGAGCCCTTTCTGTTATGGAAAAGTCTACCCTAATGCGTCTACCATCGATTTCCATGCCACTGCACTGTTCTTTTGCTGCTTTAGCATCCAGCATTGATTCAAAATATACAAAACAGAAGCCTTTGGGACGTTTTGTCTGAAAATATGAGTTATTATTGTAAATGACTTTCATGATGTAATTGAATAATTGAAAAGTAAATTTAAATTGTTACCCAAGGCCTTTAACACATGATTTTTACTTACATTCATGCGTTCTAAAACTCGGGTGAGTTTAATATTTCCCTTTAGTTAAATAAAAGTTTACTTGATAAAAAAAATAAAAAAAGTAAGATGTCTTACATAATATTCTATTTTGACAAATACATGTAAGGACAATATATGAAAAGGGAAATAAAAAATAAATTCAAATAATTATCATGCATACCTTAGCATCAATGACAACGACGACACGCTCAACAGGTCCATACTTTGAAAATATATGGTACAGTTGTTCCTCTGTAGTACAAATAGACAATCCAAAAACTCCTAAACATCTGTTTGGGCAAGGATTATCTCTGTTGCCTACATGCCTTCTTCTCGATGACATTGGAGATCTTGAATGTGATCTAAACATGCCTCTATCTTTTGAGTATCGTGACCTAGAGTATGATCGTGATCTACTTCTTGATACTCGGCTGCTTCGATATGGGGAGCGACTGTGGCTTCTGCTTCCACGCCGGTTTTCATATTTTGAACTCTTATAAGATTTACGACTTCGACTCATGGAATTGCTACGTGATCTAGAATAGTTTTTCATCGAACGATGACCATCTTTATGTTCTCTATACTTGCTTGACTTAGAGTGGGATCGTGATTCTGGCATATCTTCATCAGCCCTTGAACGTCTTGGACTTGGACTACGACTGTCACTACGTTTCTGTAAAAAAAAAATGGAATAAAAAGTATTAATTCTGATATGAAAAATTGAAGATTCTAACATGTATTATGTTACTTATGCAGGCATGCACAAATTTCATTGCATAAGATAGAGTTGATTTTGTTCATAGATAGCAATCATTTTGAGAATTCTTTCAGAAAATTCTGTCATTGGTTTTTAAAGCCAAATATTGTCTACCAAAAATGGTATCCTTTAACATCATATTATAAAGTTTGACAGAAATCAATGTTAGAAACATCTTATCTACTTAATCATAGTTTAAATCATAAGCATTTCAACATCGATTCGAATAGATATATTCTCAGACAATCAAACGCCATGTTTTAATAAAATAAAAAAACATTTTAAACAAATAAAATTAAAAAAAAACACTATCGCTCACGAACCGGTCATTAACGAGGCTGCGTGACAGAACTATCGATTAAATAACCTGGTTGCTAAGAGATTATAGGGTTAGGTGTTTGAGCTATATATTAATGAAAAATCACTTATGGCGAATTATTGTCTCCAATAAATAAAGCAAAGGTACATGGCCCTAAATGAAAATAAGGATAGCCATAACAGTAAGCATGATAAAGGACCAAGTCAGCTATTTACAAACAACAGTGCGACTGGATTGTCTTCGCGAACGTAATCGATAAGATCTCGGGGGGATCAAAAGAAATATTTGGAAAAATTAACACCGGCATGGCTGTCGGTTATAGCGGCTTTTCAAGGCTAATAAGTATTTAGCTTATTAAAAGTACACGCGCGCGCACACACACGCGCTTTTCTGCGCAGAATTTCGCACCAGCACGATCTCGGAACATACACAGCAAAAGCGACGACAGCGTGCCTTCTTTTCTCTTCGCGCTCTTCGCACGAGCCGAATTGTATGCTTATAATTTTACCTTGACGTCGTCCATTTCACGGGCTTCTTGTTTCGGGAAGAGGTATGACGATGAGTAGTGAACCACACGAGTTCCTGGGCCCACCGATTAAGTCGAACTTGGATGGATGGAAGCTCGAGATTTATACCAGAGCTATCGCTCGATGAAGACTGCACCGGGCTTCGTTCGTTGCTCGAGGCTCTCCGCTTGAGCTGCGCTGGCACACGAACACGAGGTGTGTGCGTCTCTCGGTGCTGTTACTGCTACTGCTGCTTAGCTGGCGCTAACTGCGGTGCGTTTAGACAGTCGCGAGCGCTGCTGCCGCTGCTATTCGATTGCGAATTCTGTGTTGTGTACACTATACGACAGGCAGAGCGGCGCAATTGGGAGTTGGGACGATCCAACACTTCCGTCTCGTGCGAGTGCGACAAGGACGGCGACAAGCGGCGTTGCTATCTGCGCGAGGGGGGACAGCAGGGGAGGGGGGAGGGCTCGCAACTTCTCACACAGCCCCGAGCGCCAACAGCTCCGAGCACGCCTAATCGATTGGACTGGTTATACTGCCCTCGTATTACTGAGTCCTTGTGCCTCGAGAAGATCTCTTCGCGCAGCGGAGCTTCGTACGAATTCAAAAAATCGGTGCTCTGGCAGAGGCATTGTCAGTATGTCATCCAAAATCATTAATTCATGAGAGCGGCTGACATTGGACGAGCGCAAGCGCTTTGGCAAAATTTGCAATCGTGCAGCTTAATCGAAAAACTCGAGTCTGCTGCACGACGACGACGACGGCTGACGTCACATCCGGGCTGATAATCGCGACGATGCATTCGCAAAGCGATTCTCGTACCACCCGCAACACGCTTACGGGGGCGCTGTTTGTTGCGCGAATTTATAATATTGTGTTTCGCACGTTGAATCGAGCGCCGTCAACCGATGCTTGCAGACGATTGTGCCTGGGCGCGCTGCTTTTCAAACACGTGCCTTGTAGTCTAGACGCTGAGGGGCTTTCGTATGCATGGAAGGTCCCACAAAAAACGAAGTGTATTTCTACGTATTTTGACTCGCTGAATCCGAATTTTCCATTCTTACCTCGCTCAGATGGTCGAGTAATTTGTTATAAACAAACCCCCTCAGCGCCTAGACTATTGCGGATGGCATCTCATTTTCGATTTTTTCTTATCTTTGAGCAGCGCTTGGTTTTTTTTTGTTTTTAGTACAGAAATTAAGTAATTTTATGAAGTTGTCAAAAGTGTTCAATGTCGTGAACTTAATTACGACGTATCGTAGTACCTCTAATTTCAAAGGGAGAACTATTCCATTTGTTTGGCTTTTTTTCTACGAGGAGCGCTTTATTGAATCTCAAAAATACCCGCTAGTCTTTTATATGGGCTGAAAGCTCGCAGTCTCTTTCGTCCACGTAATTTCAGAGTTATTTTTAAACGCATTAGTCAAATGTATCTATTAGTAAAGGATGACGCTGAAGTACAAAAATCCGTCGAACATGATGTCAAGAATAAATTGTTTAAATGTGTGGATAAATAATCGAGGAATTTTCATCAAAAGTTGAATTCCGGGTGGACAAGAAGTTCAATTTGCAAAGGTGTCGCTAGCTCTCGGCTATTGCGAGATTTGCGCAATACATTCTGGCAATACACAATTGAAATACGATAATCTACCTCTGTTATAACACAATAGTACAGGACATACATGCGCACATACACAATATACAATTTAAAGTGTGTGTGTATAGTGTATACGTATACGGTATCAAGGCAGTGCAGCGCCCTGCGCCTGCCTCTGAACTTTATTTACACACACACATGGTACACCAGCAGCAGTCAGCGCACACACATTGTACAAGTGTATGTACATACAATGACATAGCCGCCGCGCCGCCGCGGCCAGCTGCAGACGAGCGAAACAGAGACTAGTAACCGATCCGACAGCTCGGGCTGAGCACACACAGATAGAGACCAGCGAGCGTCGCGGGTAGTTTTCCCTTTTTCGCAGCTCCATCGAGCCATTATTTCCCGTCGTCAAACGAATCAAGCTTTTTGTGAGCCTTTGCCAAAGACGTTCACATTCTGCGTGGTTCGCTTTTCGCTTACGAGGAAATTGCTGGAATCGCTGGAGCCGTGGTCTGTATCCGAAAACTCGTCGTTGTCGTGCGCGAAATATTAAACGGTCGCTCGTTTAAAACACCCTTGCTGCCGACGCTACCCACCGTCGTCGTCGTTGCGTCCGTCTATACGTATACCCAAAAATATATATTATACGTAGCGCGTTGTGTGCTATATCTCCCCCAAACTCCTGCAGCAGCTCTATAAAGTCTCGTAAAGATTCTGCAACCGAATTTAGGAGTCTCTCGTGCTTTCTCGACGTTGACGTCGGCATTGTGCGCGAGTGGGTCTCTTGGCATCTCTTGGTTTTTCTCGCAAATTCCAGTCGTCGAGCGAGTGTGGCCGATAACTCCGAAAACAAATATCACGCTCACTGACGTCTACAATTAAGCCGTAAGTAGCCAAGCGCGTACACTTACCTATTCGACTTTTCATACACACAATTCCCATGATACGTGCCATTGTTTATGTCTATTCTGCAATCTTCATAATTGCTCCGTCTCTCTCGCGCGGCTCGTATAAATATCCTTTAGCGAGTTTATTGATCCCGCGCTGAATCTGCCAAGTTCGTAAGGTTATTGCATTGTTGTGCTTTTTAACTTATACGCGAGTTCTGTAGATAATATCTATTCTATTTTTTGTAAATAAAAATAACACCGTTGTCGTAGATGAGAACATTTATTAACGATAAAAACTACTAATTTATCGATTGGAGTGTTGAAAGTATTATTTTCCTTTAAATTACGACATTCTATTGCTATGCTAACATTGTCTAACTTAATTTAAAATGTTTGTTTCTGTTTCATTTCATTGGTAGTTGATGTTTTTAGTTGTTATATTAAATTAGTTTTTGTTATTTTTTCATGAATTAAGTAGGCATTAATCAAAAATGTGATTGTTATCCTTCTTTATTAGTGCCATGATGTTGTACCATGATGAGAATGGATCAATCAATGATATTTCTCCAAGCAGTGATAATAATAGCATGAAAATGGTTCCAATGAGTCAACCAACAACCTTCAATCGTCGTCCCAAAATCAAAGCAAACATGCATGCACTGATGTGTGAAGCATTACCTCTTGATGAGGCTGCCAGATTAGAAATGAAAGCCTTACCAAGTAAGACACCTGTTTCTGTTTTACAAGAATTGTTATCGCGAAGAGGAACTACTCCAAAGTATGAACTTGTGCAAATTGAAGGAGCAATTCATGAACCAACATTTCGCTATAGAGTCACCGTTGCTGATGTTGTTGGTATGTTGACAAAAATGTTCTTTTCTCAACAATTTTTACTTTTGGCTTCTTTTTTTTAATTTAATGATGTTTTTTAGCTGTAGGAACTGGCAGATCTAAAAAAGAAGCCAAGCATGCTGCAGCAAAAGCTGTATTAGATAAATTAATTGGAGTGAGCACTGAAAACCCTGAGGCTCCAATCCCAAATAGTATTTCTGAGTAAGTTCATTTATTTTACAAAAATATTTTATTTGTCAACCAGTTTAATAATATAGCCTTAATTTAACCAGTGCTCAAGGTATGCAAGACATGCAAAGCAGTTTTGGAGATGACAAAATTGCAAATAATCCAATCGGCTCTTTGCAAGAATTGTGTATGTCTCGTCATTGGCCGCCACCTAGGTATTCTATGCAAGGTGAAGAAGGATTACCTCATGAAAGAGAATTCACAATTATTTGCCATATTTTACAATTTGAGCAAGTTGGTCAGGGCAAAAGCAAAAAATTAGCTAAAAGACAAGCTGCACATAAAATGTGGCTAGCTCTTCAAGATACTTCTAGTCTTACGGTAGCTGAAGAAACCAAAGTAAGTCTAGTATTTGATTTTCTTTAAATTATTTGTTCATCAAAATTGTTTAATAAATTATTTAATCATAATTGATTTTTTTTAATTTTTTTTCTCTACCAATAAGAAGTAGTTAGATATATCCTACTTTAATTCGAGTGGAAGTGATTTTTATAAAGTAGTAAAAAAGTGTTTTAAAAGTTCAAGTTTCACAGAATCTGTAACGGACACTTTAAATTAATGCATACACTTTATTTAAACTTCAATCATTAATCATTTCCACTTCATTACTCAAATAATTGATATGCTTTTAAAATTTTCATTGTCCGTAATAGATTCCGGGAAAATCTCTTGTTCCTCAATATACTGAGCTAAAAGAATGTAGAATTGCCACATTGACAACTGTACATAGTCATAAAGTATCACAATTTCACAAAACTCTAAAATGTTCTAAAGGTGATAAACTTGATGAGCTTCAGGTTAGTGAGTTCAGTTAAAAATGCTTATATTAATTTTTAAAAAATTAATTCAGCCCAACAATTCAGTTCAACAAATTAATGCAAAATATAATGACCATTAAATCAAATTATTGTTTAACAGGATAAATCTCTCAATCATGATGTTATCAATCTTGTTCAATTTTTACAAGAGATTGCCCTGGAGCAAAAGTTTGAAGTAACCTATGTGGACATTGAGGAAAGATCAAAAACTGGTAAATTATAAAATAATTTATTACAACTTATAAAATAGTTAAAATCTTTAGTACATCATAAAAAAGCCTTATACAGTAGATTATTTAACAATCTTTCTCAGACAAAACAAGATCTACCAAAACATCTTTATTGCCTGTTGGAATGTCTTGATAAATTTGTTCATTAAATGCAACAGCCACTAAATAAGGCATTCGTTTCTCGTGTAGTGCTACAGATTCTAGATATTTATCGTAATATCCTTTTCCATGACCAATTCTTTTGCCGCTTAGAGTAAAAGCCACCCCTGGTAAAATAATCAGGTCTAGTCCTCCTAAACAGAAAATAAAATTGTTATAGAATGTTCAATTTAACATTTCGATTTTAATTAAAAGTAAAGTAATGCAAATATTTGCCATTTTCAAAGGCTCTTTCTCTAATTTCTTGAATGGTTGGTTGTTTGATATTCCATTTTGTCAGTGGCAGTTTTTCGTAATCCTCCATAGAATATAGTTTCACCATTTCCATTGTTTTTCCATTATACCGTGGGACAAAAACTTCTTTATTTTTATTAAAAATGTCTTCTAAAATATTTACTGTATCAACTTCTTCTGGCGTACTTAAAAATATTGATATTCTCTGACTAGATTGGTATTCTGGCAAAGATATCAACTGAAAAAATTATGAGAAAATTTTTTCACTTGGTACAGGTGCTAATATGCAAAATTATGGTATTTAATGACAAGTACTTTCTCCAAATGGAATACCATTTCATAACCTTATCTTTGAATTAGATGGCTTTTAACAATTAACATTTTAGTGCTTTTTAAAAATGTCTCTCAAAATAAACGTACGTATAATTCGGTAAGAGTGACGTTGAAGTATTGCGCATCACTACTTCAATGTACATACGTAAAAAGTAAGAGTAAACGATGTGCGCGCTACAACTACCGACTTCATTCAAAATGATTTTCAACGAAAAATTCTATAGTCAGATTTGAGCTTTATCGGTATCGATAAGGTCGCGATTTCAGGGGGAAAAAAATTAATCAAACTTACTTTTTTAAATACTGCATCCGATTGGCGCCGCCTTTCCTGGCTATCCATTCGACTAATAATTTCTCTTACCTCTTTGCGCACACGAGTTTTGGCTGATCGTAATGTTGCCATGGCGCAAAAATACTGCCGTCGTGTTTATGTTGTGATTATCGCGGGCCAAGCAGTAGAAGCAGTAGCAGCTTTGTCGATTCGTTTGCTAGGCTGAGACGCCGCGAAGCACAACATAATACGCTTAAGGACGCACGTGGACTATTGCTGTTTTATTTGTATAATCGCTTATAGCGCCGCAGACGCAATTTTGCACGATCTCTCTCTCTCTCTCTCTCTCTCTGTCTATTGAGGAAAAGAAAGTGAAAGAAAAAAAGAGAGAAAGAGAATGGATGGGGATCACTCGCGATCGCTTCGTGCGTCGTTATATATATAAGTCACAATTCTCGCAGCTGACAAAAATCCTCCCCACTTGATATATTTTATACATATAGTCGTTTCGTTTTCAGCTTGCTATATATTATTACTGAGTATAGCTTAGAACATCGTCATTATAATCATTATTATGCATTGATCGCTTCGATGACGAGCGGTATGCATGCTTACGCTTGGATCGGCGAAAATTATTTTGCAATCTCTGTTTTTAACGTAATGTTGCTTCGGGTGACCTATGGCTTTTTCAGATTGCAATCAGACGTGATTTTGTCTCGCGTAACTCATGTATATGAGTTCGAAAACGTGAAAGTATGATAATCCTCTGAAAAATGTGTCTTTCCTTTTTTTTATTGCTTCGAGAAATTTTTTGTCTTTTTTCCTCATTTAACTATTGGAATTTTATGAATTATCTACTTTTTCAACTTCGAAAATTATATGAATGCATTAACTGATTTGTCTTACGCTCCGTGTTTTCTTTATTTGTTCATTAAAGAAAAATATTCGATTTTTCTATAAAATGATGAATTTTCTATTAATGATATAAATAACTTACAGGTAAATGTCAATGCTTAGTACAATTGTCAACACTACCTGTTGCGGTATGCTACGGCTCAGGCCGTACGAGCAATGATGCTCAGGCGGCAGCGGCTCAGAACGCCTTGGAATACTTAAAAATCATGACTAAAAAATGAGGTGTCTAATTCTTTTGCTTTTATCGGACCAACGATTCTCCTTTTTGAGGTAACAAAAATAACACCGATCATAAGAATGTCGTCAGCGGAAATGAAAAACTTCGATTTCACTAAAATTCAACTAGCAACAAGTATGGTAATGAATGTAATGCGTGTTGTAAAAACCATCACACCAAATTACCAATCCCAATATTGGTAGGAGACTAACTAATGTGGTTCATATTGAATCTGAAGATTATTTTTCCGTTTTGAAAGATGAGCAAAATTGTAATAGAAAATCGATTGATTCGCAATTTGTTTTTAAAAAAGTTATCCAAGACATATTTAAAAGGTATATAATAATCATTTCCTGTGTCAGATATCGTTGTCTGCTCTAATAATAATCATTAAACGGTTGTCATTATGATTTAACAATAAACAATATCAGTATACAATTTCTCATTTTTCACAATCATGGAAAATAATAATGAATTTTTTATACTTAAATTTTCAATTAGAGTTTTTTACTTCCAAAATATTTCAAAACCAGATTTAAAAATTATTTCTAAACATTTAAGAAGTAGTGAATGAAATCATTCCTGTAGTTTTAGTTGCTAAAATAAAACTAGTCACTTTTTTCAATAGTTTATCTTACATTTAAAGATTTTTTAATACTATTTTTGGTGACCATTTCAATTTGTGATCCACATTCGTTTTCTTTATTATGGAATTGGTATAATTGTTTTTTTTTTCAGTTGTTATGGTAAATGAACACCTTTATCTATTTTTTTGGATCCAGTACAGTAAAGTAGCTTATAAGCACCAAAAATATCATGATTTATTAACGACTTTTTTTTTAGAACTTCCAATCATTTCAAAATAAATCATCAACTTTTCATACGAATTAAATCCCTAAATTTGTTGTAAACATGAGGTTGAATGGTATACTTTCAAAGTATAGCTTGAGTTTAATTTTTAAATTAATTTGGATGTAAGTGAGTTTTGAAAATGACCAAAACCTTTGTAAATACTAATTTATTCAACGTTTTTTGTTTGAGGAGATACTGAATGCAAGGTTAAAATTAAAATTTTTAAACATATTTTCACTTATACTTATTCAATAAAAGGTTTTGGAAAGATTCCATTTTTGAAAATTTTGTTCACCTTGGATTAGGTATCTCTTCCATTCAAAGATAGGAATTTGTATATTAATTAATTTGATGGTCATTTTTCTTTTCCATTTTACCAATAAATTAAAAATTGTAATTACCTTTGATAAATCATCTTTCCATGATGATGTGATTTCTGAACGAAACGTGTTCAAGATTTGAATCAATGATGAAACACGTTAAAGCGATCTTAATTTCTTTTAAGAGTAATTTTATAATGGAAAATCAGCTGTCAATATTATTTCAATAAATTGTTAAAATATATTATCCGATAATTATTGTGTTCTATAATTAATATACCAAATATTTTAATTTTCGTGAAGGTTTTTGATTTAAAATATAGCAGAATTTAATGTGATGCTAAAAACTACACATGTATAGACAAATGGTAAATAAAAATGTGCGTTCAAGTATCCGTAATCGACATTTTTTACGATCGCATTTTACATGTAATGAAAATTCTATAATTATTATATTAAAAGAAAACATGTGAATAAAATGCGATAACTTTCAGAGCGCAAGCAGACTTTTAAGTATGCAAATAAAAAATTGTTATTCATTGATCAAGAAAATAATCAAAATTATGAGGATAGATCAAGAAAATAATCAAAATTATGAGGATAGTTTATGGATAAATTAGGGCAGACCACTGATTTCTACTGCGCTCCGTTCTAATAGCTACTTCAAGTCTGTCTCAATTCTCTGCTATAAATCACCTTTATTTTCAAGTAATTGCAGTTAACTCACAACTCATGCGTAAACTTTTTTGTGATCTCATTCATTGAAAAATTATAGTTGTATGACCTAATTATTCGTTTTACTGTGCATGAAGAAAAATAATTATCAAAAAATTATTTACTTATTAAATAATATTTAAATTTTATTTAACTTTTTTTACAAAACATTTAATTGTATCCAAGACTGTTAATGACAGCAGTATATGGTGCTGCTCGTGGAGCAATAACTTCACCAGCCTTCTTAGTCAATTTCTGTAAAAAACATTTTAAAATTAGTATTGCATCACAATCGATTGAAATTGCTTTAGACTCAAATGAATTTTCATTTACCTTCAGAGTATTTCTCTTTTGAACTTCCATGATGGATTTGACTCTTCTCTTATTTTCTAATGTGCGTACAACAGCCTTGTACTTCCATCCAACTTCGTGGGATAGACGTCCAACATGACAGTACTAAAAATAATATATTAGTGTTATTGATTTGTAGAAAAATAAATATTTCAATAGTCAAAAGTCTATAATAAATCAGTAGTAGTTGTCATCAAATTGGATATACCAATGATCAGGCGCAAATTACCAAAGCATCATTTTATAATTACAAATGAAGTAAAAAACATTATCTTCATTAAATATACCTTTCTGCCAGGTTTCAAGCACATTACTCTCAATGCTCCAGGTACAACAACACGCTTCCTCCTGTCATAGGGTGGTGGGCATCCTTCATAGGCTTTCAATCTTCTGAGAGCATCCTTGCCTCTTTGTGTTTTGTGTGGAACCATTCCTGATGAAATAAATTTGAATGTTTAATTTATTTCATCTCATATTTATATTGTTAATATTTAATACATTTTTATAACAAGCATTCATACCACGAACGGTCTTGAACAAGATTTTGCTCGGAGCTCTGAAATGGAATGGACCTCTTGCAGGGTTGACATTGCAACGCTTGCGAAGGAACGACAAGAACTTGAGTTTGTTCCTAAAAAAGTATAATGTTTAGCTCAATGAAAGTTTACCAAGTCAATTCCACAAAATCAGAATAAGAAAGGTTTAACTAATTGTATTAAATAGCAATAGATATGATTCATATTTAATATAGACAATAAGATAAAATTTATATTTTACTTATCCAATATCAAAACTCAAGTCAAAATGGTTATATTTAAATAAGAAAAGAACCTTATTGATGAAACTTACCGGAAGAAATTTCCGGAGATGTTTAGCTGTTCACAACGAACTACAATAACTTTGTTTCCTTGAAGGATGGTTTTGGCAATGATAGCCGCCAATCGGCCAAGCAGATGACCTCTGCCATCGATGAGGATCGCCTAAACCAAAATCACAGATTATAAAATGATGATTGTTTTATAATTTTGTACACGATGTTAAAAAATGCCATTCGCGCGTTCGGCCAAAAGGTTAGAAGACATTCGGGTAAATATGGTTAGCACGTGCAGGCAGCATCTGTAACGTGTCTGGTTTTGCATTAAAAACGAATGCAACATTTGACAAACCTGCACGTTACTGTCAAAAATGATACGAACGAAGGCAAGATTTAATTGTTACACAACTTTGAAGATGCATTTTTTATTAATAAATGTTTAATGCACAAACCTTTTCTGAAAAACCAGTCATCTTGTTCGGCACACAGTGTGAGAGACCGTGGTGAGAAAAAAAAGATTCTCCTTCCACTGATTATTCACCAGATGGCAGGCACTTACGCATTCGGAATTCCTCAATTGTAAGACTCGACTAAAGAGACGCTATAACGCCGCAGTCTGCAGTGACTGAAAAACTTTGAAAGCAGCGCGTTTCTTTGCGTGTTCGCTCTTTTTAATTTTTAAATGTTTCTTTCACGTAAATTCAATTCATTTGAGTAGTTTATTGCAAGTTTTACTTAGCGATTGTTGTCACAAGACAAAGCAATTATTTCAAGTTTTACGGGCATGAAATTGTTATTGATTAAATGTAATTGTGGATTTGTGTTTTTATTTTTATTAAAAATTATAATTATTGCAAATGATAGATTAGTATACAATTTTTGTATTTTTTAATGCGTTTAGATTTTTGACGATTCACACTTGAATTTCGCGCACTGCGCATGACGTCGAAATGAGTGGAATCAAATTCAATTTTCAAACATAATTTGGTTTAAAATATTAACTAATTTTTTTTTTCATTTCGTTCATAATACAGTGTAAAAATGTCCAACAAATACAAGGTACAAACTCATCAAGACGATTATCAGTCCAGGACCATAAATATCTAGTAATGCCAATTGCCACCAATAAAAATCAAGAGCTGGTGATCTTAGTACGTTTCCATTTCTTATGACATATTCTATCCAGAAAATCGCATTATTCATGGGACTGACGGGTTGATCCCGAAACACGTTTGAATAATAAATTGCGTTATTCCTGTGAAAAATAATGTAAATGAAAAACCTCATTTATATTTGTTACATAACATGCACAAACTTACTTGAAAGTAGAATCATTAATTAATCGATTCAACGCGTTGTCCAAATTTTTTTCGTTGATCTCGCTTAATTTTATTTGAATCATCATGTTCTTCGCCGTAAATGCTTCGACATTGCGAAATTGATCACTGAACAATGGGATTCCAATCATCGGTACTCCGTAATAAAGAGCTTCAATGAGACCACCCAGACCACCATGAGTTATAAAAACTCTCATATTTTTATGTGCTAAACCAATAAATATTAATCATTTCCAATCGTAAATAAAAATTGTACACATTATGAAAGTGAATTTATGCCACGCGGTGCTATAAAAAATTTGCAATCATTTCAAATGTAAAAAATAATTACCTAAGAGTGGTTGTTGTGGCGTCCATGGTAGAACTTTAACATTTTTTGGTAATCCTGATGGTAATTTCGTTTCGTTCACAATCTTAACTAATACTCGCATGGGTGCTAATTTTTCGAATGATTTATAGATTTCTTTCAAAGTATCAGTTGGTAAAGTTTCTATCAAGACCATTGATCCAAGCGTAAAATAAACGACACCACTCGTACTTTCATTCATCCATTTTTCTAATTCCTTTAAAAAAAAAGACATAAGCTGTTCATAATCTATCCATTTGAAATGCGTTAAAAATGTACAAAAAATTATTTACCCGAGGTAAGATTTCGTCGTTTTCTTCGACGTGCAAACCAGCTATTTGCACCAAGCTAGGAACGAGCGGCTTGACGCCAAACAAAATCGGATGGCTATTGACCAAGACCAACGAAACGTCTCGTACGACTTCTCGAATATCCGGCATATTGGCATCTATGTATTTTCTCATGGACTGCGTTTGACTGTAGTCGGTCAAATGGTGAAATTGTATCAACGCTTTGAAATGACCGTAGACGTTAACGACGCGTTCCCACCAACTCATTTCTTCAACTCCAACGTGAAATGCATTTGGCACGTAAGCAAGATTATCGTCGTTGCCCGTGAAATCAGCGATCCATGGGTACTCCGTCGCAGAAGATAGAGCTACGACGGGCACTTTGAAGAAACGACCTAATCCTATGTAGCAATTTGCTCCGAATACCTTTTCAGTAAATGGGTGAGATTCGATGTAATTGCTTGTTTCCAATAATTAAATTTATATCGGATTGGAAAAAACATTATTACCTCCGTTATCACGACATCGTATGGAGGATTTGGCAGTGGACCGTGTATCAATTGTTGCATCTCGGGTAAACCCATGAATTCGCAAATTCTGTTTCCGTAATTCGTCGCGATCGATTCAACGATATCGCCGGCCATTTGATTGACAAACTCGATCGTAAAATTATTCACGAGATTCTCCATCGTTCCGTTCAAGTTGATTATATCTCTATAATTTTCCGGAGGTTTCGACAGTGGAAAATGCGTCACAACGTCCACTTGATGTCCTCGTTTCGCCAGACCCTTCATGAGAGATTCGAATAATATATTGTGACTCTTTGCGGCGAATGGAAAAACGCCGAGAATTCGATACGCGTCGCACATCATCAACCCAGTCGCACAATTCAAAATCAAAAAAACCGTAATGTAATTCATTGTGTTCAAAGTAATGGGATTCGCGTACGCGGTAAATGATAACTTCCAACTGACGCAGTATGAAAGGCGAAAACTTCTCGCACGTGTCGCGCGTAGTACACACACATACGCTGGAATACCGGCGATGTCTGAGCGAGTTTGAGACTTCTTATACGTTCGATCTTCATCGAAATCAACAGCTCGTTTGCTTTATTTACAAATCGCGCTGAAAAGCGTGTACCACTAGTAGCAAGTTTATATTTATTGGAAAATGTGATAAACATTCCCGCAAAACCGAAACATACCGGAAGAACTTGGACCCGTACATTTTTTTCGACCTAGTGGCTTATATGTGGCCCATGGTACCGATGCCATGTAGAAACCATAAACACCCTGACGGAAACAGAACATTCTAAAAAATTTAATAAAAAATGAATTCCTAATCACTGTTTGAAAGCGATTGAAAAATTTGTAACTCCGTTCACAAGTATCTAATAGCTACTTATACACTTTAATAGAATTTATACATTTACTCAACTACTTTTGCTAATGAATAATAATTATTTTTCTATAAATGATATTAGATGAAAAAGAAATTTAAAAAAAAGATTTTACGGTGGGCGAAGATCATGAGAGGTCAATTTCACAGTTAAAAAACCGCTGCCAATTTATTGGCAAAGAGCTTCCTCGTAAAAATTATATTAATAAAAGATATCGGTTGTTTAAAGGAAAATTTTTACTTCATTTTTAAATTTTGATTCACTGTCTAGGGACCTAAATACTAAACGACCTACACTTCTATCTTAGCCAACGGACCGAGAAAACGAACCCCCATATAGACATTTGTTGGTAATTCAATGTAGTTTCCAAATATGTAAACCAAATTGTCCTACGACGTCTTGTTCCAAATCTCGTTTTCAAGCCTATCGCAGGACTTTCTCTATGAGGCAGCAAAATAAAGTATTTTAAAAAGTAGCAGACATGAATGAACTCATTCAATCACCGGCACCGTCATTTTTTATTGCAAATTAAAAATTTTTTAATGCAAGCGAAGTACCAAAATTGATATTCGGTGGGATGCATCTCAATAAAAAACTCAGTTCGATCTGAAATTTGAACTCTAAAGTCGCTCAAAGTAAGTGAACATATTTTTTATAGAAAAAGTAACTGCTCATGTAACCATAGCTTTTAAACTATTGAAAATATAATCGAACAATTTTGTTTACAAATCATTTTACTCGCCATGAAAATGTGAATGCAAATGAATTTTTTATAAGTGAAAATTTGTTTATTTAGAAAAAAGTTATGGACGATATACAATATACTGTATCGAATAATTTTTTTTTCTGTATCTGCATACATTCACATATCAAATACAAAGGTGTATTACATGTATTTTGATACCTTTTTTGACAATGAAAAATATTTAGTAAAATCATATAATTGCAAAATTGAATTGGCAGCCCTTTTTTGTTTATGTTGAGACTAATCTTATAACAATTATCGATCAATTTAAGAGCCAAATATACATAGGCTCCCCAATATAAAAGATTGTATGAGTGAAATACGAAGGTCATAATTTTTAATTTTGTGGGCCATGCTTTTAACAGTTGAATAATCAAATTTTGTAAAAGCGAAAACAAAATTGGAATTTTTTTCATCGCCTGGAAATGGCCTAGTCTCTCAAAGTTTTTTCGACAGTTTTTACATAATAAAAGACAAGTTTTCAAAACTTTAAACAGCCCAAATTAATCGCTGTCTGTCTATACCCAAAGGTTTTTATCTTTCTATTTAAATAATATGGGAGAATTAATCATCTTTCAGCAAATAAGTTCTCGAATGCGCCTGGAATGACCACAGGTCAATAACTCAGAAAATGTATTGTTGTATATACTATGTAAAACGTATTTGTAAAGTTTGGCGGCTGTTCGTAGAAAAATTTTTGTAGTCAATTTTTTCTTCATTTCCATATTTTTTCTATGAAAATAGTATCTAAAAATTATGCTAAATGACATTATCGAAGGAAAATTTAATGAACTTTTTGAATCTGACCTCGGACTTTTGAAAAAATGAACATTTTAAAAGTTATACTTCATTTTATACAAATAAACGTGGCTTTTAGAAAAAATCTAGATTTTCGGTTTCAAGTATATAAATTAAAACGCATTAACAAAAAAATTTTCAACCATAGGCTGCCAAACTTTACAAATACTTTCTATATACCTAAAATAATAAATTTTCTGTGTTACATTCATATTAATCATTCCAGACGCATACGAGAACTCATTTGCTGACAGATTATTTTTCCCAAGTTATATTTTAATGGGAATGTCAAAGCCTTTAGAGGAATAGATAGCAATTCAATTGGTCCATATGAAGTATTGGAGACTTGTTTTTCATATGATAACTGTCGAAAAAACTTTGAGAGAATGTATAAGAACGAGTTTAAGAAATAACGAACACTATAAAATACAGTTTGAGTCACCTTGATTTGATAACGATTAGAAATTGAACGTCCAGGGAAGTAGAAGCAATGCATATGCCTAGTCATATACAATTGTTATGATTGCCACATATTGTTATACACATAAACTGCCTCCACCACGATAGACTCACACTTTCTAATCGTTTCCGAAATTGACTCCTATGCTTCATAGTTACTTTTATCTCTGGCGGCTTCACCTATGTGTGTTTTTTCGGTCGTGTAGTGGGTGTATAGTCAGTTCACGGTACGACACCGAAGCGTAAGCAGCTAAAAAATATCAATTCGACTGTAGCAATTGATTTTTGTCCTACAAAAGGAAATAAAAAATATCTTAAATTATAAGTGACTGTGATTGTGTGTGAGTAAGCAAAACGATAGACATGTCTTCCGAAGACGAATCAGATGCGCATGATTTCGAAAATGTGGATAATTTACACCAAGAACAAATAAAAAATTTGAAGAGCTTCCATAAAAAGATGAATTGGATTTATTCAGACAAAGGGCGATACGATCTTCTTGATGAACTTTATCCCTTAATCAGAAATTGGAGGGGACAACTTCCCAATTTTCGAGACATTTTCGGTAAGAAAAAAATTGAGCGTCTTCTCACGTGGGCCATAAAATACATAAAGGAATTTGTCCGGAATAGGACTGCAGGAGAAGCATTAATTGAGTTCGTGGCTCGCAGCGGCTACAAAGACGAGCCCGACGTTGATAAAAACGTCAAACCATTATTGTTGCGTCGCACTACACCACTGCATCATGCGGCTGATTCATTAAGTTTTCAAGAGCATACCGTGATCAGTGAACTTTTTAAGATTTACGATAGATTTGATGTGAATTACATCAGCAACTGGGGCATGACCCACTTCCACGTGGCTTGCAAGTATGGCATAAATGACGCGGTCGAGAAATTTCTCGAGATCGGTCAAGATATCAATTGCCTCGTGTCAGAAACAGGTGATTCGTCGCTGCACTTGGCTGCGGCTGGAGGCCATCAACACGTGGCCACGATGCTACTGATGAGAGGCGCCGACCCAAACTTGGCTAACAAATATGGATGGACATCTCTGCACTTTATTTGCAATAGAATTTACGATGATGACTTTACGGAGTTATTTTTTAAGATTTGCGACGAAAAACATCAGCTGGTGCAGGTCAATGCTCAAGATACGGAGGGTCGAACGCCGCTAAGCTTAGCTGTGAATTATAATGTCAAGAAGACTGTCTTATTATTGTTAAAAAGAGGCGCTAATCCGAATATAAGCGAATATAATTTTAGAAGTACTCCTTTGCACGTGATATGTCAAAAAAAGGTTGACGATGAAATTTTAGGGAAGATGTTATTTGAAATCAGCGACGAAAAAAATCAAGCGGTGCAAGTCAATGCTAAGAACAGGTCGGGTAATTCACCGATATTCTATGCTCTGAATGGTGGGCACAAGAAGATGGTCGAATTGCTGCTGCGAAGAGGCGCTAATCCCAATTTAGCTAACAACAGGGGACTGACACCTCTGAGTATTTGCCTTCAAAATGAAACTGAAGGGTTAATGAAGCTATTCTTCAAGATCAATGATGAACTCAATCAGCAGGTGCAAGTCAACGCAAAGGACAGATTGAAATGGTTGCAATTATTCTGTGAGGACGATCTGATGTATGGTGCGGGTGCAGTAGATACCATTAACCGGACACCGCTGCAATGGGCTGTGGAGAATTTAAGGCCGGATGCGGTCGACATACTCTTGGATCATGGTGCTGATCTGTCCAGCTTCGTTTTTCCAACTGCAAATGCGTTTGCCTCGAGATGGATTTTTTCGTATTTTGATGATAATTTTAAATTGAAACTGGCGTCTGGTCTGTTGGCCATCGTCAAAAGTTTTGAGGAAAGAGGATACGAATTGGGCAGGAGCAATGCCTTGCAAATAATGAGATTGTTTTGTTATTACAGATTTTTCAAGCATCCGATAAAGAAATTATTTATTTACTACGGATTTTCCGAGCATCCGATAATGAAGTCATTTAATGATAATGGATTTTTCTACTGGTTGATAGATGTTGAAAAATATTTGTTTACTGACGAAGAGTTGAAGAGTAGAGCCAAAGAGATCATGATAAATTCGAGTGTGCCGCTTTACGATCAATATTTGGAAGACGATGAAGATGATGCTAATGATGAAGAGGAAGATGATACAGAGGAGGAGATTAAAGTGAGTGAAGCCAAAGAGTTATTGTCGCTCTATGACCTTATCCAGTTACGACCTGAGGAGGCGACAAAACGACTCACATACAAGGACTACTTCGAGATAGCGCGCTCGGAAAAAATGTATAAACTGTCCAGAAAGTATCAAGAGGCTTGTGCTGTGCATCTGTGCGAAAAACTATCGAGAAAATTTTTTCGGCGATGGGCACTGGATTCTTTCTTGGAGCTCACACGCTACCGATTGCCAATCCTCTGCAGTGAAATAATCATCGGGAAGCTGGAGAACATTGATTTGTGGCGTATTTGTTTGGCTGCGTCAGGCCAAACCTCGTGGTGGCTACATATAAGCATACTTCCAGATATAATAGAGTTTATTATATATATTAATGGTATTTTTACTTATGTTTACATATTTATGCATGTTATATGTCGCATTATTCATATGTCTTTTTATTGAAGCTATTATAAAACTTTAAAAAAATAAAAACTAAGACGATAGAACCTTTCATTTTACAGAATTCTACCTTCCGCAACTATAAAATTTCCATAAAAAAGACCACATTGATTTGCCAGCCGCATAAACGTACAAAATGTCCCCTCCGTGACCTGTCCTGAACTCATAATCGATCGTTTTCACTCATTAAACACATTTTTACAAATATCCAGCAATATTGTGGTACATGGGCCTTATTCTATACATCCTAAAGAAAGTTTTTTTGCATCACTCGTCATCTTAAATAGTTTCAAAACAATTTTACATAAGTAACAAATGTGTCCTTAAATTATGTGAAATTTTACATCATTCCGAATATAGGGCCAGTAAACGAGCTAGACAGTAATTTTGACCTCTCTAACTATACGAAGGTCATCTTTCAGAACTAAGGTACTCGATTTTTACCCGTAGAGTAATCAAATCTTAGTTGCAGCTTCGCTATAACAATATTTGCACACGAAAATCGTAATAGTAAAATAAAGTGTCCCCTCCGTGATCGACGAGTTTTCGAGCTAGCACTTTTTGTTTTTGACTCTGGTGGCATAAAAACGTTCTATTTTCGTTTTTACTAAATAAATTTAAAACAATAATAATATTTGCTTTGGAACTTGTTATCTACATTTTTCTAAATTTGCACGTACATTTACATTTATATTTGGTTGTTATTTGTTATTTCACAAAGCATGATTGAACATTGCAAATAAATTTTCCAACGCAGTACATCACCTAATTGCATTTCGATTCCGTGAAACTATGGTAAATTAATTATCGTAATAGATTAGTTTAAATACATATCATATTGTCATGTGTGAGGCATTTTATGACAAGTGTCACAAGGCGACGGACGCACGGCAGCTTAATTTCTATTATTCTCGGATTTTCCGAAGAGTTCAATTTTTTCCGGAAAATTGCCAAAATAAACCTTCAACATTAAATATCTCAAAAAGTTCATTTTTTAAAAAGCAGTTTAAAACAAAAGCTGAGAAAATTTCCCATTAGACCGCATGTTATCCCATTTATTTTTACTGGCTGAAATACAGCGATGAAGGTGTAAAAACGCGAGATTTTGTGCCGTGCGGGTTACTGCGCGTCATTATACAGCTGCCGATGTATTTTGTTTGTCATTGGTTGTAATCCTTTTCTACTCAAATAAAAGCTAAAAGGTATCAATGATGATATAATTATTCATAGCCCACCAAATTTTACTCCGTTAAATAAGAGCTGTTTTTGTTTAATATTTGAAATTAAATTCTTAGCTCGTAGTTCTGTTTGACCGTGCGTTGATGTGGGCGATATCGCGGCAAGCCCGGCCGGCGTCGAAAAAACTATACATATATTATATATTATATAGGCATATAATACGACACGACCAGTCAGAAACTTCCCAAGTCGAGCAGAATACCGCATCGCACCGCGACAGACACATGCAGACATCAGCCTATCTATAATACGCGAGTGTGCGCGCAACACACGCGGAGAGCAGCAGCGACTCCACCGCGAACGAATGCGAATTTATACACGCAGCGAGGTATTCGTCGAGCAGTCAACGTCGGAGCACTGCGGCGAGCGTTTCGTCGCCGGTTGCGCGCGCGTTGTCCCGTTCCTCGGCCGCGCTGGGGCTGGGATAAGGCCCCTCTCGCGCTCGTTCATGTATATATACACACATCCCGATAGTATAGTTGTCATAACATAACCGGTGTTTATACGAGAACGCGATTTCATTTATTGTACGCATGTACGTACAGCAAAAAAACAACAAGCAACAACGATTATCGAGCCAATTGAAAGGGTTTCTCGGATTAAAGCGAAAAATTTTGCTCGTAATTGCCCCGTGTGAGTCGTGCTGGCCATGTGAGTGCGTGCGCGAGTGTGTAATACTGTGGCTGTTTTATTTTACTTTTTTTGTGTTTTTGTTTTTGATTCGATTTTGGTTGATGCGTAAGTGCCGATTGACCATTTGATCCGATCGCTTTTACATGAAAAAAAATAAAAGAAATAATTTCGATTCGACGAGTGTGCGTTTGTTTTGAAACACGGTGCGCGGAACCTCGAGAAGAAAAGAGTCGAATGTGCACATTGGCACACGATCCTGCGATATCACTCGACCGTGAGGATCGTAACACATATATTGTGCTTGGAGAGGTGTCTCTCGATTCTAACGAGCTCGTGGGCGCCCCGTGCCGTGATAAAAAGTTTGTAAATACACACAAACGAGGCTCTGTCCTGCTGCTGCTGCTGATCGTGCGAAGGAGGCAGCCACCAGCCACAGCCACATGCGTGCGTACGTGCTCGACGATCAATTATTGATATTGTTGCTGCTGGCAAAAAGTCGCCCATCGATAGTCGCCAGCCAAGGATGTCGACGACCAGCCGCAACCTACCTTTATTATTGCGATATCGCGTCGCAATCGTAGTCAGACCTGCGAGGAGAGAATAAAAAAAATGAAATTCATCAGCAACGCGGCGATGGCCACCGAAGATCACAAATCGGCCTCGTGTCGTTGCCGCTGCTCCGTTATCACAGCGGCGGTGGCCGACGACGACGCTACTACTACTACTACTACTACTAGCGGCGGCTCACATCGCTGCTCCCGTTATCGTTCCTATCGCCGCTCGTGCAGCTGTCAACGCGGAGGAGGAGGAGGACTATTATCATCGCGGCCGCCTCGCTATAAATACCGCTATCACGGAGTAGCAGCAGCCGCGCCGTCGCTGCTCCTGTTTCTGCTCCTGCTGCTGCTGACATTGCAGACGCTCGGAGAAGCGGCAGCAGCGACGACTCCGCACCAACAAAATGGGCCCGGAGCAGGTACGTCCTAGACTCACGCACACCTTTGTCTATTGCCTTGTTGTATACTCGATCGATGGCTCGCGCGTGCCCTACCTACAGCTGCGATAATTTTCTCGTGCGTTTACTTCCGCGTTTAATAGCTCGATGAACCTTCCATGCCCTTGTTAGCCGCAATTTTATACTATCAACAAACCATTAATGCATACAACAATAATATCTGTATTATACTGGAACGCATCTCGCACGTAGGCGCGCACACACATAGCACCTTACGAAAAAAGAAATAGCGGAGGCATGTTCTTACTCGCTGGCAGCGAAGGTATATATATAAATCTCGTACAATAGAAATATGGGATAGGTGCTCTGGCTATATATGTGATGCGCGGCGCGGCGCAGGCTGTTGCTTGTTCTCATGCTTCCTGTACGTACGCACGTACACCGAAATAAAAAAAAAATCTGCGCATTATAAACGTGTGCAAGTTTCTGTGTGTGTGTGTGTGTGTGTGCCAACTGCCAGTAGTATGCTGCTGCTGCTGCTGCTGCCCGCGTGAGCACACGCGTGTTAGTGTCTTATGCTATACAACAGCAGCAGCAACAGCAACAAGCAAAGCAGAGAGTACTAACTCGCAGAGAAAAGCAGAACGAGAGAGAGAGAGAGACTCGCTAGAAAGAGAGAGAGAGAGAGAGAGAGAGAGACCTTGAAAGCCGAAAGAGAAAGAATAGAATAGCTTTTATACAGAAACTCCGTGTGGCTATATGGCCCGGATTCGTGCTATACACCGATATATATACTACATGCATATACTCGTTTATATGTATGTATAGGTGCGCGGCGCACACATTTATAATATTATATATCTACGCAGAAAGAGAGACATGCTACTACGCACACACGAGCCTCTCGGCAGAGAGAGAGAGAGAGATCGAAAAGATCCAAGTATTGAATTTACAAAGAATATCGACATATCCCGATAGTAATATAAGGGCTTTTAGCGCGAATGCCTGTAGGTATATTAATATAGACGAGAGTTAATATAGTACACATAATAAGTATATATCTATACGTTGACATTGTCAATGAGCAGATTGCGCGCAGTAGACGCGCGGGGCCTCCTATCTCTGCACACATAATAATATTCAAACTGCAGGCGCGCGCGCGCTCGCACGCGGCTCCGAGATATTATTGTATTCTTGCAGCTGCAGTCGCGCGCGAGGATTGTCAACGCGTATGAGAAAGAAAAGCACGTGGCTTTACGATACGATACAATATCGACGTGAACTGCACGCCGAATCTGCGTAGCTGCACCTCCTTTCGCGAATCGCTATCGTTTTTGTATGCAAACATACCGATGTTTTTAAATTTTTTTTATTGTTATTATTGTGACATATTCGTTATAATAGAGATGTATACGCGGCCGAGCGGCGTGCCCGCAAATGACGCACGAGTCGTGAGACGCACACGCTTTGACACGCACTCTGTATAGTAGTCCTCGCATCACGGATCCACTATAAGCCGAAAATTTTCCTCGTCAAAACTTTGCTTTGCTTATGCAATGAATGACATATGCATCAGCCGATGCCCACGAGTTTCGCTTGGAATTCGTGTATGATTATAGGCGCTACATAACTCGTCTCGCTGCTGCTGCTGCCCGAGAGCTCCGCGATCGTGTGATCAACGTGTTGCGAACGCTCCGATTATTATATGAAGAAAAAAAAGAAAACAAGCCTGCATCGATGTTCACTCTTCGTATGCCCTTATCGTTGTTTCTTTTTTTTTTTTTGTACTCTCTTCGGGATGCGATTCTTCGACCAACGCACCCATGAATGTGCGCGTCTTTTTTTTCTGCATGTATAGCTCCAGTGTATGTATAATGCGTGTATGTAATAATACGTATATACATAAAGACTCTGCTGCGCGCCATGCGCCTCCGATTTCAAGAACTCAGCGTGCGCGCACGCGGCTCTCTTATACACGGCCAGTTTGTGAGTGTGTGTGTGTGTGCCATGCGATATATACGCACTCGCACACACATACATTTGAACTAATATTACGAGAAGGAGAGAAAGAAAAGAAGCATATATATAAGACGCAGAAGGCAGCAGCAGCAGAAGAAGAAGGCGCGGAGGAGGGAAGTGCAGGGGGAGGACGCAATGTTGAAGGAGATGGCACACACACGGAAGAAACGTGATTTTTTTCGTCCTAGAAACTCCGACGATGAAAGATATTCCACTTGGTATTTATACGCGCGAATGGGTCACTAAGTGACGGGGCCAGCGTCGATGATGCAATCGTTTTTTCGTACACGTTAAACTTTCGTTAGCAGCAGCAGCAGCAGCCTATATACTATACATATTGGCTCTCTGCTGATTTTCGGAGCTGCTTTAAAATACGTATAGCGAGAGAGAAGACGCACACGCACGTTATTATAACCCAACCGGTCCGTATGAGAAATCTTTTTTTTTTTGCTCACTTTATTATATTATTATCGGACGCGCTGTGGCGTCTGCATTGCGATGCGCGAAAAAATCATCGAGCTTTCTTTCTGCTCAAAGTTACCAAACGTTGCATCATTTGATTATCGAGGATACACGAGTCCTATAATTATTTTACGTTGCGGAAATCGAAAAGATTCGTCGATCGTGTCGTGCGTTAATATATCGAAAAAAAGGCAAGTGGCGACGCGCACGCATTGGCCACGGACAGCTGCGCGCATTATATACAGATCGGATATTGCCGCTGCTGCTCCTCTCTTTTTCTCTATGAAAGCATCGCCATTTTCAACTGGAAGCGCTAAAATTTTGTATATATATATATGTGCGGTATATAGAGAAATTTAACGTCTCGTGTTTCAGCGCCTCGTAGCACAAGACGGAGCTCGAGCTGTGCGCTCCTCGTGCACGCGCTCATCGTAATATACGATCTATATGGCCATCATCGCTTGGTTATAGGCCGCACGAGCTACTGCGCGACAAGTATACAATAAGGCGACGAGAGAAGCAGCAACACCAGCAGAGTAGTTTTAGTTAGCAAAAGTCACAGTAGTAGTAGTAGTAGCTGCTAGGCGATAAAAATAGTGTACTCGGTATTATACCATACAGTATATACGCACACACGCGAGAGAGAGAGAGAGAGAGAAAGAGACGATGTTTGCCAAGAATACCGGCGAGGCATTACTGATAAACGCGCAACCCGGCGGCAGCCGTATAGGATAATATATATTTATTTTTATTAAACGACGAATGCGCGCGTGCAGTGAGAGAGTGGAAGAAGCGCGGCGCGAACAAGGAGCATCGCACCCGACTCGAATTGCTGCGCAGAGCTCTCTTCTCGCTTTCTTTTTCCTCGTGCAATAATAATGCATATAGCATTTATGCGCTGTGTGCGCGTTATCATAGTGTCCTGCTCTGCCCGTGCAGCTGCGTTAATACATACACTTTAAGTATATTATATATGTATTTGTATACATATGCGCTTGTTATTTCCAATCGTCGGGCGTGCTTATCTCGACGCAGCTCGAATTTGCACCGATGCACTCGTGCATCTCTGCTGCCTGCCTGTCGTCGTCGCTCGAATCCTTTACGGGCTCTACTCTGCGCAGGCGAGTATGTTGTTTAGCGACTCATTTGTGCAGCCGATTCGATCGCTTCGTTCTTCTATCTCATGTATGTAGCTTCAACAGCGCAAGTATACACGAAGCTACACCGAGGCGAGCTACATGAAATACGTATTTTTTTTTTTTTTTCAACGCACAATACGAAGGGAGACTAGATAAGCGCGAAAAAAGGGAAAGGAATTTTCATGACGAAGGGTTGGCTGTCAAGTGCACGCACGCGTATATGCAAAGCTACACGCATACATAGGCACATGCACACACAGCTGCAGCGCACGATGCACGGAGTTGGAGCGCGTGGGTTCTTACACACACGCATACATATATCTCTATATTGCTGAGCTGCATCGGATTTTAAGCCGGTGCGCGCACACCCATAATGTGTATCGCACTCTTTTGCACTCGCGTATAGCTGATATGTGCGCACACTGTGTACATACACACGCTCACACACAGACATGTACAATGTACATGCGGCACGTAATATTCTCTCCTATGTCATGTGTACACTTCGAAGGTATCCGCGTTTAACAACATACAAAGAGGTAGATTATTGATTTTTCTCCTCTCTCTCTCTCTTTTCTCTCTCTTTCCCGCTTTTTAACGGAACTACATGCAATGGGGTTGCGCTAATCGATTTCGATTCTAATGCCCACGGAAGCTGCCTGCCTGTATGCGCGCGCTCGTGAGTTTTGAAAAAAAAAGCTACAAAGCTCCATCTACATACACGCGAGTCGAGCGCACGGATAATTGCGCGAACTCCTCCGGCCACACACCAGCACCTGTGCATGCATCGTCGTCGTCGTCGTCGTGTGTCTGTGCGCGCCTAATACGAAGAAAAAATAAAGAGAGCCGCACACACACGCGCGCACGCATTATTATGCATAAAAGAGAGGCATAGCGGCGAAAAACGACGGAAAGAAGAGAAAGAAAAAAAAGATACAAGTCCTGTCCTGTTGCTCCTTCGTCGTAGTCGTGCCTTCTGTCCACGTGTGCGAGTGTGTGCGTCTTTTTCGCAGCACCATTCGCGCGCCCGCACCTCGCGACATGTTCACTACTCTGCGCATTGGCATATTTAGTCCTTGGCAACACACGACATATATAGGCGCAGCGTTATATACCTATGAGTATAATAATAATAATAATAATGGCAATGTATAGAACGACGATGAAACGCTAACCTTGACTGTATTCCAAAAATTTGGCTTAGTCACATCGCCATATAGCTTAGTGTGATGGTGGTGGTGGAGGAACTGCGCAAAATATAATGCACGCACACGTCGATATAGGTACCCATATCCTATATGGACTCTTGCGTATTCTATCGCGTATCCTCGTGGATAGAGCTACATTCGGTTAAGCAAGTGAGATTGGAAGTATGCGCGGATAACAGTAGCTCTACACGCA